AATATTAAGCCACAGACTGATAAGCATCAAAGGTATACTGCATGGCCAAAAGTATGTGGACATCCCTCTTAATTATTGAGTTCAGGTGTTTCAGCCACACCTATTGTTAAGACGTGTACAAAATCAAGCACATAGCCTTGCAATCTCCACAGACAAAACACTCGCAGTAGAATGGGTCATACTGGAGAGCTCAGTGACTTTAAACATGGCACTGTCATAGAATGCCATCACTGCCACAAGTAAGTTTGTGAAATTTTTGCCTTGCTAGATCTGCCCCGGCCAACTGTAAGTGCTATTATTGTGAAACAGTAGTGTTTAGGAGCAACAACAGCTCAGCCACAACGCACTAGACCACGCAAACTCACAGAGCAAGGCAGCTGAGTCAAGTCAAGTCAGGCTTTACTGTCATTTCAGCTATATACAAGCACACAGTGAAACGAAACAACATTCCTCCAGGACCAACACAGGAACACAAGTGCGAGACAATGCAATAAATACAGTGCAGACAATACAGTAAAATAAATAAATACGAAAGACTTACAATAAATACAAAACAGAACACAGGCAGTACACAGAACTGAGAGTATGTGGAGCTGTGCAAAGGAGGATGTAACATACTATGACATATTAGCAGCTTAGCAGATAGCCTAGCAGAGCAGTCACTGAGGTAGCAATAGTTAGGTAGTTGATACAGTAATTCTAGCAGCTCACATTGTTAAAGTGAAGTAAAATGTGCAAAAATGCAAGTATTCAGATCTACAGTCATATCAGATGAAGTACTTCAGTGAAATTCAGTAATTATATTTAAATACAGAATAAAATCACCTATCCTCTGTTGCACCACTCAATACAGAATTCCAAACTTCCTCTAGAAGCAACATCAGCACAAGAACTGTGTGTTGGGTGCTTCAATAAATGGGTTTCTATGGCCGAGCAGCTGCACACAAGCCTAAGATCACTATCCGCAATGCCAAGCGCCAGCTGGAGTGGTGTAAAACATGCCGCCACTGGACTCAGTGACGCAGTGTAAACGTGTTCACACGTCACTATATGGCAGTCTGATGGACAAATCTAAGTTTGACGGATGCAAGGAAAACAATACCTACTAACAGTAAAGTTTGGTTGAGGAGGGATAATGGGCTGGGGCTGTTTCTCAAGGTTTGGGCTCTCCCTCTTAGACCCAGTGAAGGGTGATGATAATGCTACAGCATATAAAGACATTTTAGACAATTATACGCTTCCAACTTTGCTTGACTGTGTCCCTGTGCTCAAAACGAGGTCCATAAACGGACAAGGTTTTGACAAGTTTGGTGTGGAGGAACTCTAGTGGCCCTGACCTCAACCCCACTTTGGGGTTGGGATGAATTGGACTGTCGGCTATGAGCCAAATCTTCTCATCCAACATCAGTGCCTGACCTCACAAATGCTCTTTAGACGCTGTTATTGCCGCAAAGGAGGGGTCAACTCCATATTAATGCCAATAGTTTTGGAATGTGCTGTCCAACCAGCTCACATAGGAGGGATGGAAAGCTGTCCACATACTTTTGGCCATGTAGTGTATTAGAACAAGCATTAGCTAGGTTTAACTGCTAGCACTTAGCATTGCAATAAGTACTAATTGCCCCAGTATACAAAGCCCACAGCTTTAATTTAGCCTAAGTGATCTGTAGGAACAGTTGACGGCTAGACAATGGTCATTTCCTGGGCTAAATAACCCCCCAACAGCCTCGCAAATGGCAGGGAGCAGAGCAGGGAAGGAGTTATTTAAGCCGAGATTGAAATCAGCGTCCAGACAATACAAAGTGCTGCCTATTTATGGCCTCTTTCAAATCAGGCCAATGCCTTCCCCTCTCTTACTCTTTAATCACTTCATGGCCTCTCTCTCTCCCTCTATCTCTCTCTGTCTCTCTCCCTCTGTCTGTCTGCTTGGCCCCGTTCCCCACGGTAATTAGTAAATCATTGCATAACTCCAGTGCTATTCGCTGTATCAGAGCAATAGGCCTGTCGCTTTCTCGAGCTGCTCTCATGCTCGCCGTTCAGGTTGAGAGCACGCGTCCACACATTCACGGCATTCTTCTGAGCCGAAAAACGAGCCCTCGTTGTTGTTTGGGCCAACATAAAAGAGATTCTTCACAGTCATTAGATTTCACACGGTGACCTCTTCAGTCCAAGGCTGGTCTTACTTTGTTCCAATTCAGTAGACTTTCTTTTTTTTTTTTTATCCAAAGCTCTTTGGCAACGGCTTCATACAAGCATGTGCCATGGTGCACCTTACCTGGAACCACTGCAAGGATGTGGACACCTCCCAGGGCTCATATCCTACATTTACCTTGTATTTTTCTTTCCTCCGAAGGCCAACTTATCACATGTGTTCAGTCTGATGCAGCAAAAACAGTCATAATTCATTTTTACAGGACCTTTTTCCAGCCTCTCCTAAGCCTTAAGAACTAAGCAGGCTGTTTTTGTTGCTGTTGCACCCTGAGGTAAACAAAAACGTCAGTAAGTTTTTATGTATGTACCTTTTTTTCCCGCAAATGTCATCAGATCCTCTGAATTTCAAGGACTTTAAAGAGTCGAAATGCGAACATTGCTGCATGTAAGCTAACACTGCAGTGCAATGAACTGACTTTGTAAGCCTGGCAGCTTTGCCAAAATATCCCACACAATCCAGCAAGATGAGTCAAACGTAGTAGATGGGTCATTCTACAGAAACGTCCACTTTTCTATCTCTCCATAGGAGTCACTGGTGTTACTGATCCTCTTCAGTGTTACACATAAGAAAGGGAACACCAGAGACATTTTAATGAACAATGCATTTTACAAAACGGCTGCTACAGAGCATCAAACATCATGTTGTCAATCATGGAATATCCACTAAAATATGTAATTTAATTAATTTGTATTCTATTTTTTCACAGTTACCTCAGAATAAAGTCGGTCACACCAGTGACTTCAACTAAAAGCCTCATATTAAATCATGAGCTAAATGAGAAAATTTTTGATAACTGAAAGACACACTGGACTCACCATGTGCTTTTCTTCATAGATCCTCAGAAAATAGGTAAAAGGAAGTCAAATGATGTCATCAGTGTGATTTTTATTTCAAAATAAGAGGTTTTTTGTTACGCAGTAACACCATAGACACAACTCCTGGGGACTTTCATTACATATTTTATAATATTTATTTGGCATTTGTTTCCTTTATGTCATTTAAATCATATATTTCATAGTCATGTATAGATTATTGCAGTTAAAATTGCAGAAAAATGTTTTTTTTACCTCAAAATATGGCCTCAGCCTTTACACATGACTGAGAGGACGAGTACTTCTGTGGTGCTTGGAATTCTATATGATTGATTTAAAACCAATATTGCTGAATTGAGGCTCGAGAAGTGAAATTGTTATAATAACTTATTGTTTTATTTTAAAACATAAATAAATTGTAACTCTAATATGTTTTTAAGTGTAATATATCTGTAAACGCTAGGGACACAAAAATGGACATTTCTGTAGAATGACTCTGAGATGCTTTAGCAGTAGCTAAATAGTCTACAGTTTGAGTGTAACAGCGTTAATGTGCGTTTAATAGACTTAACACAGGACATGACAACAGCAATTTTTGAAAAAAACATTAATTTTTCTGCATAGACCTGCACAGAGCTCCTGATACGGACATGAGACCAACTGCAAAATGATGCAAGGCTGGTATTAGACTCTGTGACATCACAAAAATAATGAAATAAGCTGTTTTGGCAGCTTACTTTCCACTTAAGGACTGTATGGACTGGGAACTGAATGGTAAGTTTTATGTTAACAAATATAAATGTTAACAACATTTACATACAACAACAAACACATTAATTAAAAATAAATAAATAAACAAACTAAGTTTTCCAGAATATGCGCCTTTTAACCTTCTCTCTTAAAAAAGACGGTTCTTCAATGGTTCTATGGTTCTACATAGCACTAAAAAGGTCTCTTCTATTGTTATGGTGTCAAGCTTGTAAAAAATAGAACCGTTTTTGGTACTACATAGAACCATTCTCACTCTCAGAACCATATACACCACATTCTCCATCAATCTGAAGAACAGTTTCACCATGCAAAGAGCCATTTGACCATGCAAATTATCGTTGAGTGTTCGTGGTTCTATATGGAACCACTGTTTTTACTAAACAAGAACCATCTTTTTTTATGGGTGTTGAGTCTACAGTGTGCACGACCACAGAAACCACTGAGGCACTGCTGTAACACTTAGCAGTGTTACAAGTGAGTGGTGGCAGCTGGACTTGTGGTTTAATCTTGAAGGCTATTTAAGGCTCCACCACAAGTCCACTGTTAGACACCACACAGACGTAGGTGGCTGAAAACTTTCTCAGGCACGCTGCAGCGCATAGACGGCCTCCATACTCACGTAAAAGCATCATATGTAGTATTTAGTGTCCTTTTAAATCCTTAAAACTGTTAAACGAAGTTTATCTGGCGCAGAAAATGTGTATACATTTAATTTGCACTGTTGAAAAAAAACCCTCTCTTTGAATGGGCTGCACCAAATTCATTACCACGCGCTTGCTGCCATCTGCTGGTCATGCTGCGAACAGCAGGCTAAACGTTTATTTATTTATTTATTTATTTGTAAAAAGTATAATTTATACTTTTCATTTTTCATTTTATGACATCTGTCTGCAAAACCCTACAATCTGTCTCAAACAAGAAAAGACAACATTTGTCCATTAAACGTGGCGAGGAGATGCCGAACGAGCCCGTGTCGTTGGGAGTGTCAGGCGGCCACAGATATTTGTCCGACCCGCTAGATGGACAACTTGAGTTGACCGTTAAAACTTTTACCAGCGTTTTCATGATCTAGGCTGAAGTCGGTTTCCTGCTCGCCAGCCTCTTGTTCGAATTGTCCCGTTCCACCTTAAATGGTGCAGCAGTTACGTTCCGGCGCTTGAGGCTGAGCGTGTAGCTGCTGCACCATTTAAGGTGGAACGGAACAATTCGACCAAGAGGCTGGCGAGCAGGAAGAAAACTTCAGCCTCGTCTTTTTTTTGACAAGTTTATTCTCTGTCCTCATATTCTGGCACCCACAGCGGCATGACAAAGCAGTACAAGACTTCCCCCAAACCGCCCAGTCGTAATTTTTGATTTTGGGGCGCGTCTTATTATTTATTTACCAAAAAAAGAAAATGTCCGCCAGCTTGCTAGCGTAGCTAGCTAAGTTTTCGCTGGCGTTTCTACCTTTAGCTTAGCTTAGCTGCTCAAACCGCCTCGGTTGAACATCTTATCTGTGCGGTGTGGTGAGTTTTTGGTTTTAAATGCACAATTTCAGCACAACAGTAGGTGTAAGTGCTGTTGCCAAAGGCGAATAAGCTGTATTTATGTCAGGTTGATAAGCTGTTGTGGCTACTAGGTTAGGTAGTTCGCTAACTCAGCCAGCCGAATAACTGACGGCTACATAGACAAGCTTAGGCGATTTTTATTGACATATAATGAGTTATCATATGTGATCATCACATTTTCGTGGCTGTTTGTCCTTGAAATGGCATTGTTGCAAAGATATAAGGAACATCTTTGTGTTGTTTTGCTAGTAACGTTAGCCGGTAGCTGGCTTGTGTACACAATTATGTACACAGTAAGTTGGATTGCATTGTATTCGAGCCACTAAATCAGCCTGGCACAACCTTCTGGTATCACAAAGCTACTTATAATACATTAAAGCTGTGATTTTAGACAATGTGCAGCTCTGCAGGCAGTTATTACTGCGATTTAACACAGCTGGGCTTCCAGTGTTGCACTGCAGGATGAGTGGATGTGATGCACATCTCCAGTTTCAGCCTTGTAGTCTCAACCTTACGTTGCCATTGCAAGGTCTCATCTCAATTGCATGCTAATGTTACGTTTGGAACTGTCTTCCAGGTGATCCAGGAACACAAGGCGCTTTTCCTCCCCACCCATTACCCCACTGTCAGGTTCCTGGCCATGAGCGCAGCCTGAGTACCTGAGCGAGGCAGGTGTGGTTAAGATGGCTGCAGAGCTTTATCCTGCCAAGAAACTGCCCCCCGTGTCCGCCAGCGCCGTGCAGCAGTACCAGCAGCAGAACATCAGCAACAACAACACCATTCAGGGCTGCAACTGGCAAGGCCTGTATCCCACCATCAGAGAGAGGTACAGCCACTTCACCAGCTCTGGGAGGAGTTCATAAGGCTATAGGTGCAACTAGGTAGTCTTCAGAATAGCATAGTTCCTCATGGGCTGGTTTTAGGCTTAAAGCAATAATATGTGGCTGCAGAGCTGCAGGTTCAAGCCAGTGGCATTCAGCACATGCGCTAAGACTTGTATTGTTTTTTCTTGGCGAGTTTTAGGGTAATCAACATTTCAGACGTTTTATATGGATTTCCAATAAATATGTGATTTATCTTGGGCTGATGTTATATTTTGAGCTGTAGGCTAAAACAAATTTTGGTTTGAACGCATGTAGACATTCACAAGGTAAATACTACACAAACTAAAGCTGATGTGGCCTGGGTAAACTAATGGGTTATGTAGACATATAGCTCAATTAACCTACTTAAGGTTTTCATGTGTAAACAGCTTAAACTGAGTATAATATTAAGCCTTAGGCTGAAACAAACTTTAGTATGTGAACCCATGGAAGTGTTTCTTTTGGTTTCTGATGGTTCTGTAATGTGTTTAGGCTTGTGGTTTAACCAGTTACCAATGGTTGATTCGTATATTGGCAGCGATCTCCCTTCCTGAATGGTAAAATTCATGGCGACACATACAACCAGCACAAACGGTCCCTGTTTATATCAGAGACATTATGAATGAGGAGACCGGCCAGTGGTTTAAATACGAATGTGGCGCTCATAACGCTCAACTTTCCGATAAGGACTTTGTTTACATGGCACAGTCGCACTGTCCTACTGCGCATGCGTTCCACCGCTTTCTATAGCCAGCAGTGGAGGCCTGTTTTCGGGAGTGATCAATGATGCTGCAGTATGTGGCAGTCAGATGGATGAATCATTTGGCAGATGCCAGGTGAAAGGCACTTACTGGACTGCACAGTGTCAACAGTAAAGTTTGCTGGAGGAGGGATAATGGTCTGGGGCTTTTTTTTAGGGATTGGGCCGCTTAGTTCCAATGAAGTGTAATGCAAATGCTACAGTTTACAAAGGCATTTAAGACAATAATATGCTTCCACCTTTGTGGCAGTTTGGGGAAGACCCTTTCCTGTGCCAGCAGCAAGAGCCCTGACCTCAAGCCCACTGAACACTTTTAGGATAAATTTGAATGGTGATTGCAAGCCCAACATCAGAGACCTTATCTGACCTTACAAATGCTCTTTTTACGAAATGGGCACACATTCCCTCAGACACACTCCAAACTCTTCCCAGAAGAGTGAAGGCTGTTATATTAATGCACACACTTTTGGCCAGATAGTGAATCTGCATCAGTATAATGTTGATTTTGCCTTTAATTAAGCCAGACCTTATTTTTAGGCCTGCAGGTGTGACGCTGATATGTAAAGGTGTATGACGTGGTGTGAAAAACTCCCCCGCATCCCACCCTTCAGCTTTTTAATGATTATTTCAGGCTTTACAGTGCAACTCGCAGCAGCACACGCACACCATGTTTTAGACTGTCTTTCACCTGACTCAGTAATGCTACTCCTTTTTTACTTCAATTTCCACGCTCTTACATAGTACAGCTTTAAAGCAAATATTTGCCAAATACAGTATGATTCCGATGCCATTGTGCATCCCTAATAAATGTCTAGAACACCCATAATATGTGTCCACAATACAGCTTCCTCCAACAATTACGGCTACGATTCAGCTCTGTGCAGATACGAGATGATGAATTGTGAATTTTTGAAATGAAACGACTGTGGAAATTATTTGCGGTCAGGTTAAAAAATTGTGACAGACCTATTTATGATTTAGAGTCTAGCTCGCTCTTCGCCCATTCAGCAGCACAGCTAGGCGCAGGCGCTGGAAAACGGCCAGATGTGCATGACTGTACCATTGTGAGTGAAACGCGGCGGGTGCCTCAACATAAAAAGCCCCTTTGTGTTATTGTCCATGCAGGAACGCAGTCATGTTTAACAATGAACTGATGGCGGACGTGCACTTCGTGGTCGGCCCTCCGGGGGGGACGCAGAGAGTGCCAGGGCACAAGGTGAGGGCACACTTGTTTATTCTCAACTTAAATTGTGTAGTCAAGCTGCACAGTAATGCAGACGCATGCAGTACAGTGCTGTGTAGTGTCACTAAGGTAAGTGCCTCAAGGCAAGACGTGGCATTAGAGGCATTTAACTCTTCAGAAGTCTGGTTCCTAATGGAGTATTTCACATCAAACTACTCTGATTGACTTTAAAGGGTCAATATCATGATAAAATCAATTTTTGTCACTTTTTTAAATGAATTTGATGTATTAGGTAAACACTGTCCAGCCCGTATGTGGAAACAAACAACTAATTTAGGCTTTTTTTTTCTTTAAATCTGATCTCTCTGACACGATGGTTCACACTCGTTTAGGTAAGTGATTCAAATCTGTCATTGATGTGAACGAACCGGCATCCTGAAATGAGCCGCGTCCTGCTTAGTAACGTCACGTTCATCATCAGCAAACAGACTAACGAGCAGAACGAGCTTTGCTGTGAAGATAATTAACTCTGATCAGCTCTCAGCTTCATTATTAGAGCGAGACGAAGGAGAAAAAGGTGGGATGTGTTTCTTTTCCACTGTTTACAGGCTTTAACTTCTGTTTGGCGCTGCTGCCATGGTAACGCTGAATGATGGTGCACGCGCAGTGGAATTCCGATCTGAGCGTCACATTAAGGTCGCATGGCCACGAATCGGATACGTATGCGATCTAGGACCACATATGAAAGTGGCTCAGGTCGGATTTGAAACGATCAGATTTGTTCCACACAACCCTGAAAACATCAGATCTGAGTCACATGAGGGCAAAAAATCGGATTTGTGCCACTTCAGCCTGGTAATGTGAATGTAGCCTTATATGCATCTGCCTATTCAGACCACAGCAGTTTAGCCCCACCCACTCATGTTGAAGCTATAAGGAGTGTTTCAGCCTGGACTGCCTTTTGAGAGAGGCACAATACAGGAGAGCCAATCAGAATAGAGGTCATTTATGTGTCAGTCTTAAAGGCACAGTAACAGAAATAGCCTGTTTAGTTTTAAGGGTTAAACAGTGGTTGGAAAATAGTCACATGAAAATAAAGTATGGTTGCTTTTGTACAAAAAAAAATGTACAAATGCTGTAAGTGGACCCCAAGGGAAAAATAAAATGTAGGATATGTGCCCCTTAGCAACGTAACAATCAAATTATGCAGACACGTTAAATTAAGTTCTGTGACCCTTATTAGTCCCACAATGGGGAAATTTCACCTCCACATTTTGACTCATTCATGCAGTGAAACACCACATACTCACTAGTGAACGCACACACGTACACTTGCCCAGAGCGGTGGGCAGCCCTATCCACATCGCCTGGGGAGCAGTTGGGGGTTAGGTGCCTTGCTCAAGGGCACTTCAGTCATGTCCTGTCGGCTCAGGGTATCGAACCAGCGACCTTCCAGTCACAAGCCTGGTTCCCTGACCTCCAACCGATGACTGCCCGCATCAGTCCTCATTAATTGATGGAATTCCCTTTTGTCCGTGTCTTAGGGATGATCATTTTAACCACTTCTGCCATTTGAATATCTGAGTAGTTTTCAAATATCCCATTGATAAAATATTTCACATTATGAATAAAAATCAAAACATACAAGGTTTTGTTGAATGCAGCTAGTCTAAGAAGTGTAGATGATCATTCGGTTGATTTAGTGAATTTTTGTGTTTCAGGAGCAAAACACTGCCAGAGCAGTAACTCACTCAGACTTCCACTGTACACATTCATCATCTTTTTGTTTGACATTGCTTATTTTGCTTAGCTTGATACGATATTAGCTGCTTACAGGTATTGGTTGTTACAGCATTTTTTGGTTCTTTTCTAAGTGAAAAGAAGTTATACAGAGAAAGCACTTTTTCATGTTTTAATGTACAATTACAGTTTATTCCTAATTAAATATCTTATTTAAACATCTCGGTAATCATTACTAACATGAGTTCAGATGTGTGTTCAAAGAGCCGTCTCTCTCTCTTTCTCTCAGTATGTCCTGGCTGTGGGGAGTTCTGTATTCCATGCAATGTTTTATGGAGAACTGGCGGAGGGTGAGGATGAGATCCGCATCCCTGATGTCGAGCCGCCCTCCTTCCTCGCCATGCTCAAGTAAGAAATAGTTAAGCTCCAACTCAAAGTTGGCTGCTGACAGTTTTTCTTATTTTTTTTATTCTCCTGTTGTGCTCTTCCTGTCTTTGTCACATTTTCTTTTCCTCCTGCTTTCTTCTTTTTGCTTTTCCTTTCCCTGTATGTTCCTTTCCTTCATGATCTGTCTATTCTCTCTTATTCTCTCTTATTTTTTCCCCTCTTCTCCCTCTCCCTCACTCTCTCATTCTCTCTCTCTCCTGCAGGTATATTTACTGTGATGAGATCGATCTGTGTGCTGACACCGTTCTCGCCACTCTCTACGCTGCTAAGAAGTACATTGTGCCTCATTTGGCTCGGGCCTGCGTGACGTTTTTGGAGACGAGTCTGAGTGCGCGTAACGCCTGCGTGCTGCTGTCTCAGAGCTGCTTGTTTGAGGAACCAGACCTGACTCAGCGCTGCTGGGAGGTGATCGACGCACAGGCTGAGCTGGCGCTGCGCTCTGAGGGTTTCTGTGACATTGATGCTCAGACGCTGGAGAGCATCCTGCGCCGAGAGACCCTCAATGCCAAGGAGACGGTGGTGCTAGAAGCGGCACTGAACTGGGCCGAGGCTGAGTGCCACCGACAGGTAGGACTAGGCAGTAAGAAGAAGAGTTACCGTTTAGACCCCATGTGTCAAACACAAGGCGCACAGGCCAGATCAGGCCTGTGGCACAATCTAATCCGGCTCTCGAAATCATTTTGATTTTCTGTTCATTTTAGTCCATTTAACAATCAGCAGCACTACCATCCCCAGCATGCACTGCAGTGCGCTGACATGCCACTCCCAAAAACAACCTATGGGACAGTAGTTTTCTACCCAATTGCACGTCATATCACCAAACACACCAGCTGCGTTTCAGCTGCAGTTCAACCAGCGTAAATACTATAAACACTCAGCAGCTCAGAAACTGATGCAAAGAATTAATGAACTTGCGGAAAGAAAAGATGTCAGGTGTCGAGACCAAGCACACAGGTAGGTTTAAAAGACCTACTTCCTGGGGACACTTAGAGAGATTTAACAGTTATCTGTAGCTAACATAGTATTTACATGTAATATTTGGTGGTTCACTACCAGTGGCTGTTTTGGCGTATTAAAATATAAATACTCTCTGGCTCTCAAATTTGTTGAGATTTTTAATATGGCCCTTTTAGTGGTTGAGTTTGACACCCCTGGTTTAGACCATTACAAGTGCAACGCATTGCAGAGCATTGCTTCATTGTAAAACACAGAACGACTGCTTGTATTATAAAAAGATTTAGATAATTATATTTTTTATATATGTTACTGTTGTGAGAAAATAAAGGCTATTTTCAGTACCTGTACAACACTAAACAACTGCATGTATCACTACATGACAGCTTTAGGCTATGGGTGTGCTTGGGGTACGATGGTATGTTACTATTATTGTGATAAATTATTTTATAATGTACCACATAAAGACCAATTTAGACCGTTTCAGACAGTTTTTTTCAGACTGTAGCAAACCAACAACCAGTGTATAGTAACAAGTGGCTGACTGGGTGTCATTTTCTGAATTTATTTTTTGTTTTTGTAGCCTTTTTTCAAAATATATGCAGCTTTGCTGGTGCCTATTGCCTGTTCTAACTTTAGAAAAACTACATATTGCCTTTCGTATCATATATCATGAAAATGTCAAGTATTCTGATGTTTGAATTTTTTTTTTGCCATATTCCCTGCCCTTATTGACAGGAGCTGCAACCCACCATGGAGAACAAGAGGCTAGTCCTGGGCAAGGCGGTCTACCTGATCCGGATACCAGCCATGTCCCTGGATGACTTTGCTAATGGTGTGGCGCAATCTGGTGTGCTGACGCTCAATGAGACTAATGACATCTTCCTTTGGTTTACAGCGGCAAGAAAGCCTGAACTTCCGTTCGTCTGCAAGCCTCGAAAAGGCCTGACGCCGCAGAAGTGCCACCGTTTTCAGTCATGCGCCTATCGCAGCAACCAGTGGCGGTACCGCGGACGCTGCGACAGCATCCAGTTCGCCGTGGATAAGCGAGTTTTCATCGCTGGCTTCGGTCTGTACGGCTCCAGCTGCGGCTCGGCTGAGTACCAGGCCAAGATTGAGCTCAAGAGGCAGGGAGTTACTCTTGGCGTGGCCGTAATCAAGTACTTCTCCGATGGCTCCAGCAGCACGTTCCCCGTGTTCTTCGAGTACCCTGTGCAGGTAGAACCAGACACGTTCTACACAGCCAGTGTGGTGCTGGACGGGAATGAGCTGAGCTACTTTGGCCAGGAAGGTATGACAGAAGTGCAGTGCGGAAAGGTCACCTTCCAGTTCCAGTGTTCCTCGGACAGTACCAACGGGACGGGCGTGCAGGGGGGCCAGATACCCGAACTCATATTTTATGCCTGAGAAATGAGAGCAAACCATTCTTCTGAGAGAGGATGGGTAAAAGGTGCCACTTGACAATCTAGAGCTTTGGTCCTGTAGTACACTCTTAAAAAATGTTTCTAAACAGTGCTTGGCTTGAACCTACGTTAGGGGAGCCCATGTCGAGTCCTAGTGATCTACTGGCCCGGAGAGTTTAGTTCCAGCCCTAATCTTACCATGTAGGTAATGGTCTTCAGCAGCTTTTGAATATTACAGCCAGATAATGATGCTCATTGCTAACATTTGAACCGTTTGAGCAAAATTAATCCCTTCAATCTGATTCTAAGTTCACATTAGGGTTCACCTATCATATCCACAAAGGGCTGGTGTGGCTGCTGGTTTTCATTCATTTCATTTCAGTCATGCAGAACCACACATCATATAACTAACCACCTGTTTAAAGACGCTGCATTGGAGGAACGCTTGTAACTTGGAATTTCCTAACCTCTGACTGGGAAAAGTGGAAAGTCGGGATGATCTTGAAATCCATGCTCAGCGTATGACATCAAATCAGCATCACACCAATAGTGATTAAGAACCACTTCTCTACCTTGTAAATGAGATTTTCTGTAGATCAACCGTAAAGTTCACTGTTTTAGGAAGTTATGACTCATATCGCTAACGTCGCTAATTTGGGTAGCTTGAAGGCGGCCAGGTTTTTTTTTACACTTGAATGCTTGGCGGTCAAAAATGACACGGTCTCGCTCCACGTTCACTTGGGAAGTCGAAGCTCGGAACTAACTGATGAAACCTGCGGCCACATAAGCCCTTTGTGGATAAGACTGGTGACCCCTGGTTTATATATTCGGTGTGAAGTAAACGCAAATTACATGCAACTTCATGCCTGGATATTACGTAATTGTCTATGAATTGAGTAGAGCCCCTTAATAAGTTATAAGTAAATTAGTCCTTTTTTTTTTTTTTTTTGGTTTTTTTTTTTAAATTGAGCCTAGTCTGTTTATTCATGTTATTCAACTGCTGTTGTGAATTTGCCCTAAGAAGTAAAACCTCTGTAGGGCTGAAGGCAGTTAAGGGGCAGTTAAGGGTCATAATGCCTAAAAAGTCGAGCAATAAACTTCTCTCTGTCCTCTAAATGCTTTCCTAAATTGTATTGACAAAGAAACCTGAAAATTCTCAGCATTAGTGCTTCAATTTTGAGCTGCAATTCTTCAGTTCTGCACAATTATATGACGCACGAGTCATTTTGAGGTGTGTCGGCTGAACTAAACTCTCCAGGGTAGCAGATCACCAGGTCACCAGTTGGGCACCTCTGCTCAACATTGTGCAGAAGGTTCTGTAAACTTCGGAAGGGTTCTCTTCACCTCTGCACATTTTAGTGTTTACTGTTCTACACACACGTTTCAGCTCAGGAAGGGCTTTTTAATTAGTGGATCAGTTGGATCGAATGTGTTAGAGCAGAACATCAAAGTATGTGGGCCAGAGTTGCTGCAGGACCAGGGTTGGGGACCTCTGTCCTTGAGACAGTGTCCTGTACAGATTACATTTGTGGTTGTTGTTTGAAGACCATGAAACACTAGTGGTAATGTAGGATGGACAAGCGTCTACTTTTTGCAGTAGTTGTTCAGATTTGCTTCTAAAACACTCCCACCATGCACACAATCTTGCCTCAGAGACGTTTCATCTGTATATATGATGCACAATTTGGCATCTCACAAGCAACAGGCCAATAATAGCGTACACTGCTGAGGGCTGGAGCTGTCAGATTCTGGACTTTCACATTCCCTGAGCTCTGAACTGTGTGAATTCAGAACTCGAAGAATACTTTAATTCCCAAGTTCTGGGGTCGGATTCACGAAAGTGTCTTAAGAAAGAAAATCTTCTGAAATGTTTTTTTTTGTTTGTTTGTTTTTGTTTTTTTTTCATTAGTAGTTTAAAGAAGATGAGTGCGTTTACATGCACTCAATACTTCGATCATAATCAGATTTCTGCAGTTATCCGATTATTCAGATGGTCATGTAAACACCATAGTCCGATCTAAAATCTGATTAAGAAATCCGATAAAGAGAGCTGGATTTTAGCTCAGTAATCAGATTTCACAGTGCATGTGAACTCTTACTCTGATTTCTTTCGGATTTCTCAGTCTGCACGTGCGCGAGAACAGACTGCTGTACCGGAAATATGCGAGCAGCGTCGCAGCAAAACACTTTTGGAGCGACGCTGAAACCAAATACATGCTTCACTAAATGAAGGATTTAAATATTTTTCATCTTCTAGATGATGTTTGTTCATATTTTCAGGTAAAGTGGCGCGACATGAGGTTTGAGTTTTACTTTACATTTACGTCACGTCTTCTGTGAGTTTATTGGCTGGTTGTAAAGCAGAAACACGGTTGCTGTCTGACTCATCTAGACCTGGAGTTTCCCCATTATGTGATTACTTAGGTGCATGTGAACACGTTGATTGGATTACTGACAAAATCCGATTTTCTGCAGTTATCAGATTTTTAAGTGCATGTAAACACACTCCTTGTTATTCTTCAAATAACTTCTTAGGACTTTTCTTAACTATTTTCTTAAGAATAATTCTGAGAAGAAGTGATATTCTTTAAAAACACGTTTTTAAATGTTTTCTTCACTTTACGATGGCCTCACACTTGTTTTAGGCAGTGAGAGTTCACAAGGTCACTCCACAACTATTATATTTTCCAATGAAGATTTTCTTTAGAAGATCCAAAGGAAATAATTGATTATCTCAAGAGATTATTTGAGAACTTCTTAAGTTTTTTTTTTTTTTTCGTGAATATCATTTACGAACGTTGTTATGAACCTCTAAATGTTTGTCTAAAGACCCTTCACTAGTTCTTTCTTAAGAAAGCTTTCATGAATCCGGCCTCTGAATTCTGATTCTGTACATCTGTCTGTGAGCGACTGCGCTGCCCACAAATGCATTCAAATCTTTCTTGCTGTTGCTACGGTGGACGAGTTCTACTGGATTTTTCACCTTGGTTTAGAGTTGCTAACACTGAGTTTCCAGTTTATGCTACCAGGCTGGACTGTGTTGTTGTAGCTAAACTGGGCAGCTTGGAAACAGCAATGATGAATTAACCACCATGCTAATGTTGGCTTGATTATGCGCCAAAGCAGGAATACATCAAAACTATTGTTTGAAATGACATTTTATGAAAACTGCTATGGTTTCTCATTGGGTTCAATAAGATTTCTGCCAACATTCTGTAAAGCAACAGTGACTACAACAGAATGCATCTGTGGACAGATCATGTATAGATTACATTTTTGGGCTTCAGTCTACACTTTTGACAATTTTGATAATACAGAAGCCTCAGCTGGTTCTCGGGACCCTCCAGACGGTCCACGTTTTTTGCTCTATCTGTGTGTTTAGGTTGGAGCATAATGTGCACCGTGATTGAGGACCTGCTGGAGAACCACTGGGTGAAACTCTCCAGGGATTATGTCATTTGTACTCGGTCAAAAATGGGTTTCCTGCCGTCTAGGTTTTTATCTTCTTCAAGCACAGCTCCAACAGCAGAAGCACGTGGTAGACAGTGGCTGAGCTGAGCTAATCTGTGCTCACAGTGAGTGAACATCAACTCCAACTCAGACTTTCATCAGTTGTGATGGTATTTACGGCTTTGTGGATCACACTGGCTTCCGTCAGACTGATGGTCTTTTTGTTTTTTTTTGTTTTGGATACTGCTTTATTTTTAGTAGCTCAAAATCAGTTCTCTTCAAACTCGACGACGATTCCAGACTCCTCCACACTCCACTACGGTGTCTTTTTATTCACTCCGCTACGGTGTCTTTTTATTCACTCCACTACGGTGTCTTTTTATTCACTCCGCTACGGTGTCTTTTTATTCACTCCACTACGGTGTTTTTTTATTCACTCCGTTACGGTGTCTTTTTATTCACTCCACTACGGTGTCTTTTTATTCACTCCACTACGGTGTCTTTTTAGTGTAATTGTTGTTGTTATTATTATGTAGAACTGAGTGAAGTGACTCCGTTATTAGTCCAGTGCTTCGTGGATGGACTGGCAGCAGTAAATCCTGGGGTGTCTGTCTCATGAAGCAGGATTTCTTGCTTAGCTGGACATCTGTTAATCTGACCCTGGATTTTTTGTCTTTTTACCAGGCTACGTGACAGTGCCAACTTTCGCCGCACACTTAACTTGTTCCAGGGCTGATTACAAGTTAAGTTCTGCATAATTAAATTGTTAAGATGTAAACAGAGTCATTCAGAGTGGTTTGGTGCGAAATGCTCTGTTCTAGAGAAACTCACAGAGTCAGAATTATTCACAGTGTCGATTATAGGAACCAGAGGTCGGAAGAGTTTAATGCCTCATAAAGCTCCCTCACAGACAGTTATTACATGAAATGGCTATGAGTAAACTGCCTGATGTCTGAGACACTGTTTGACGACAATTTTGCGATCACGTTTTGGCATAAAATGTACTTTTTCACATCCATTTATGGTGGAGAGGTACATGGAAGGCGTTGTAAGGCAAAATAGTCCCCATAGAAAACATATTTGTCTAGATTTATCACTGTTTTACCATCATTACATGTAAAAACTCAGAAGACCTCTGTAGGTTCACTGGTCATTTTGGATAGTAAATGAAATGGCTATATTTGTAGACACAGCGACCAACAGTGAACCGTCTCACGTCACGCTGAATGACTTTGTTTGCATCTTAATGATTGAATTATGCAGAAATTTCCCATCGAACTTGGGATAGCAGATCAAAAACAGTTCTTGGACCAATCAGAGCTCAGTTTCTGGCCAATCAGAGACAGACTTCTGACGGAAGTGGTGCCCTCTGGTCTTTTTTTTATGTGTGTCATGTTTGTCACAGTTTCGTCGCACTTTAACGTGGGGGGTTAATCACAGCCTGAGTATCTGAATCTGGATTAACAGATGAAGTTGTTAATCATGGTCATAAACTGCGTTTGTTGGGTTCTGTGAAGCTGAAACTCTGTCAGGAACCCCGTCTAAGCTGAATGTGCTTTGTGAGACGGACCCTCCCTCATCATTTATGTTTATTTAGTTTGATTTGAAGGAAATGACGGACTAGTTTTTGAAACACAGTTCCAGTTCAGTGGTGCAACATTAATGTGACAGTCACCTCGTACTCAGCGCTACAGAAAAATAATTCAGTTAAACTATTTAGCATTCAAATGGTTTTTCTGAAAACTCACATTTGTACTCATTCACATATGTTACACATGTAAGAAATAAAGTACTTATTTTGTTGAATTTAATACTTTTTTTATACTCTAATATGTCACTAAGGTCATTTGTCTGAAGACAAATGCTAAACAGTTATGTTTGCTAAACAGTTATGTTTGTGTGTCGTATCTTTCCGCAGTGTGTACTGTAAAACAATCACTGTTTTTAAGGGACTTTTTTAATTTCCTGTGAAGATAAAGGCAGAGAACTTGTAGAGAGGAGAACAACCACTCCCTAATGTCTTCCGGTTTTCTCAAACACTAGAGGCCACAATGAATGGGTTGAGATGGAGCATTTGAGCAAAATCATAGTTTATAAACACAAACATTTTTAATGTAAAATAATACAAACATTTCCTGAACACAGAGCAACATAAAACATTTTAACACTGCTGTTATATTTTTAAGAGCTTTTAAACTCGAGTTGTAGGAGTTTAAAACGGCGCCTCATGTACATCCATGACGTCAGTGAGCGCGAACAGCCAATGAGCTGCTCCGCTCGATAACCAATCAGCACTCGGTAGCAGTAATGCCAGCGTTCTGCTGCCCAAAACCTGTTTGTTGTAGAAAAAAGGAAACAAACAGGTGAGATTGCTTTTTTAGTGAAATACAAAACTAAAGGAAAGTTCTGGTTCAGTGATTAGAAACTATTTCAACTGTTTGTTTTTAGCCGTTGAGCTCCATTCACTCCCATTCACTGAGGACTCACTCGCGGGCGCCCTCTGCTGTTCAGCAGTCCTGTTTTTGATATAACGGGGGAAATAGGAAGTGGCCAGGCTCCTCATTAACGAGCTCTGGTAAACGCTCCAAGCTCTGACTAAAATCTCACACACATCGTCATGGTGGACAAGCAAAAAAAATACTGTGAAATTGTCACGAGCTCACTCTGTTAATAGAATTTGAACACTCAGTGCAAGTCCTTTCAGTGACTGTCTTTCATCTGGAACTGCCTTTGGTACATATTTTGTGTTTTTCCTGCTAGAATCAAACTCATGAAGGGCTTAATCATCAGCTGACGAGTGTAGTCAGCTGTGTTAGAGTGTGGAGTCTTCACATCTGGGACTGGGAACTGCTTTAAAGCAAAAGTTAATTGAAAAATCAAATTTGGTTTTTCCGCTCTAATTTAAATTGTGGTCAGTCAGCGAAGACATGTTTGGGGTCCGAAGTTTGCTTCCTTTGTTTTGCACTGGAGCTACAAGGCTAATGTTGCTAACAAGCAACGAAAGCTTAGCACTGTGCTAACAGTACGCCTAATCGATACTTGCCTCAGACTGTATCAAGTCGTTGGTTATATGGGTTCTGACACTGTATGATATACTGTTATCTATAAAAATGGACAAAAGTGCTGTAGCATAGCAAAAGAATAGTAATAGCCTGAATTTCCTCAATATTTTGTTCAGTTATCTGGGCTGATTAATTGCATTTTTTCACCAAACTATTGCTTTTTAAAAGGTAAAATAATTTCAGTTGTGCTGCTGGTCATAAATGAAGTAACCTAAAAAAAAAACCACAGTAAATAAGAAAAGTTTACCAGTTTATAGACCATGTGAGCTTTGACATTTGACCGTCTGTAACTTCCCACACCTGTTACTGTTGAAGTGGTTCTGATTTTTTTACGTTTCTTCCAGTTTTTAATAGGAAATTCTACCTGTTTTATTGCACCTTTAGTGAGATTCATATCTCTATGACCCAAACTGAATTAAACCCATTAATAACCTTCTCATTGGTGTTTAAAGAATGATGGGAGAGAAAGGAAATTCTGTTTATACTAATGCAATTTTTGGCCTTTTGGCCCAATTTCGGTGCAGTGCCAATATTATGCAACACTTCTGTTTAAACTTCCACCAATTTTTCAAAATTCGTATATAATTCAGTGGTTGAGATGTAAACAGTCATTCAGAGTGGTTTGATGTGAAATGGTTCACTGTAGAGAAACTCACAGACTCAGATTTCTCTACAGTGGTGCTGATAGGAACCAGGGGTCGCCAGGTCTACAACACAGATACAGCCATTTTATTTACTATCCAAAACCACCAGTGAACCTACACATTTCTATGTAATGTTGATGAAATATTGGTAAAACAGAAAAAATAAGTTTTCTTTGGTGACTATTTTGCCTTAAAACGCCCTGCATGTTCCTCTCCACCATTAAATTACTGTAAAGAAGTTTTAGCCCAGAGCCTTGTCAAAACTATCATGTCTCAGACACCATAACCACTTCTCATGATTACTTTAAGTGAGAGAAGTGTAGTAATAATTTTCAGAGCCATTAAAACTCTTCAGACGTCTGGTTCCTATCACCACCACTGTAAACAAATCTGACTGTAAGTTTCTCTAGAACAGAGCGTTTCACACCAAACCACTCTGAATGACTCCGTTTACATCCTAACCATTTAATTATAATTTAAAATTTTAAATATTAGTGGAATTTCACTTTACAATTTCTAAAATAAAGTTGAATTTAGTAGGTGAGTTCAAGCTAAATCAAAAATGAAACATAAGAAACATAAGTATAAAATATAACAGCGACAGTATGATTCAGAACGTGTATCCCATCCTGTAAACGCGGGTGTACAATCGGGGGTTAATTTCTGGATTGGGTCTACAACCGTAACTTGTGCTAAACGTGTGATTTATAAGATGAGACTTACGTTTTAATCTCATTTTGAAGTGTCAGTGTTTTTGTGTATAACAGTATGAATCACTCTATGTGCCTCTGTGTTGCTCCCCAGTGATTAAGTGCCAACGGACTCCTGAATGTGTGTCTGAATTTGTCTGTATGACGAATAAAGGAAGTTTTCATCTTAAACTCAACCTGAAATCAAAACAGACCTTTTTTACCTTGTTAGTTCATGTTGCTGGTCATGTTATGCACAACTCATCATACATCATTTAAAAGTTAGTGTTCTAGTTGAAAAAATGTGTGGGGGGAAGTGTCCCATATTTTTTTGCAAGTATGAATTTTAACCAGTATATACACTCACTTAAGTACATCTTAATGAGTGCGTTTACATGCACTCGATAATCAGATAATGGGAAACTCCAAGTCTACATGAGTCAGACAGTAATCAGATTTCTGCTTTGCAACCAGCCAATAAACTCACAGAAGAAGACGTGATGTAAACATAACGTAAAACTCAAACTTCATGCTGTGGCTTTTTTTTTAATATCACGCCGCTTTACCTGAAAATATAAACGTACATCATCTAGAAGATGAAGAATATTTGAATGCTTTATTTTGTGTTTGGTTTCAGCACCACTCCAAAAGTGTTTTGCTCCGTCTCGCTACATCCACAGTCTGATCTCGCGCATGCGCAGACTGAGAAATCCGAAAGAAATCAGAGTAAGAGTTCACATGCACTGAGAAATCTGATTACTGAGCTAAATCCAGCCTCTTTATCGGATTTCTTAATCGGATTTCTAGATCGGCGTATGGTGTTTACGTGACCATTTGAATAATCGGATAACTGCAGAAATCATGATCGGATTAAAACACTGTAGTCTTCAGCACACTGCCTCATTAAACACACCTGATTCAGCTCATCAGCAAATTAGCCAGGCCTTCATGAACTGAATTCAGAGTGTTAGATGAGGGTAAACGCTGATCTCCCCAGCACTTTGGCCTGGAAGTCCCCAGTTTGACACGCCTGGTCTAAAGTTACGAACTATGTTTTTTTATTTAAAAAAACATGCAAGGAAATGTATTTTTCCATGATACATCCCCTTTAACTGAGGGTTTCTGAATCAAAGCCCACTCCGTTAAGCTTCTGTACAAAAGGAATTGTCTTTTATTTCCACAAAAACCTTGTACTTTAGGCACAATATGAAGAATCTCCTAACAACAAAACACAGCAGTTACTGTGGAAATGAGCCAGTTTAATCCAGTTCAGGGTGGTTCATTCTGGTTAATTCTAAATGAAAAATAAAAATCAGTAAAACCTGTTTTCGTCTCTGCAGTTCTATTTTGTCCTCTGTTTCTTGCGGGCCTGAAACTGCTCAGTCTTGTTCTTAACAGATTTAATAAGCATAGACAGACTGGGGTCCATGACTTTCTGTGATGTCAAATCCGCAGCGCTGCTGGTCTTCTCTGGCTCAGATGTGTTCTTGATGGGTTTCTCTGCCGTTTGTTTCTTTAGCGCCTCCTTCTGGCCATGCTGCTGGTGCTGTTGCTCCTCTCTGCGCCTCTGCTTCTCCTCCAGGATGCTCTGAGTGCCCTTGGTCTTCTTGTATGCCGGATCTGATGGGTCCAGGTTGTAAAGGTGGGACGTGAACATGGCCTGGAATCGAGGGTCCTGCACATCCACCTGTTTAAAATGGACAGAGATGATTAAATATGATTCGTACTGCACAGATCAGCTAATAGTTGACAACAAAAAAGACACTATGACTTAATAACAGTAGTGAAACCCTTTTTGGTGCCAAACAGGACTATTTTTAAAGGTTCTATAAAACAGATTTCTTTGTATTTTTTGCTTAAAAAGTGTCTACATGGCTTCTATATTTCATTTAATAATCGCTCTACAATGTTCATCCATAATGACTCACACGGTTCTTCTGGGGAACTAAAGTGGCATCGCTCCAAAGAACTCTGTCTAGTTCCATTGGGATCTTTATTTCCAGTGGTTTCATTTATTTAATTACACGTGTATCATATTAAAAACAAGTATGAATGTGGCCTCTGACCTGGAAGCTGTCCTCCTCCAGCAGCGTGTTGGTCTTCAGCAGCTTCTTCCGCTTCTTCTTGCTCAGGTTCTGCTGCTCCACAATCTTATCATAGTTAAAATGACGGTGCTTCTCTTCATCTTCGTCCTCCATCAGAAGAGCCATTTCGGCCTGAGAACAGAGAGACAGACACACAAAGACATGATTAAAATAGGCCAACAGCTCCCAGGAGCTCCACACTGATAATGATATAATGAATATATATTATATATACAGGTTGCTGGATCAAAGCCCAGGATGGGTTCTAATAACGCAGAGTCTGGAGCAAATAACTGACGGTCTCCTGCTGTGTCTGGAGCCTCAAACGGCTCCTGACCTTTAAACCAGATTGTGCCCTGCGCCCGTCCCCCGAATCCCGAACACCACCGAGGGACGGCAGGAGGAGGATGTCAGCTGCCAGAGAGGAGACGACGACGATAGCTACGTCCCAATTCAGGGGCTGCATCCTTCAGAGGCTGCATTTGAAGGCTGTTTGCATCACAGCGGTGCAACTAGGCTGTCCTATTTCGAAGGCTCCTTCACATGCGGCCGAGAAACATGTCCTTTTTTTCCCATGGCAACGAAGGATCCAACGGATGGATCCTTAAGGGCGGGAACAGCGGTGCTGTGACGCAAACAGGAAATCCACCGTCTCATTTCAGTTCAACCTTCACAAGTCTGCACAGCCTTTGAAGGACATGCCTTCGTAGACCACGTCCTCTGAAGGATGCAGCCCCTGAATTGGGACACACTGGACGACGGCCACGAGAGGCACGAAGGCAGGACACGAGTCCTGAACTCCAACGCACAGGCCCCGCCTCCTGTTCCGCAGCGAGGCAGCTTCACTACACCTCACGATCCAGGTGGCCGAGATGCGGAGCAGGGGCGGTGACGGGGAGACAACGAGCTCTCCGTCCCTCTCGGCTCAGGTGCTCACGCTGCCAGATCAGCATCAGCTGGCTCTCATTAAGGGCGGCGCCTTGTTAAAAGAGCAGAGAGGGAACAGAGAGAGGGGGACGTGCAGCAGCGACAGACCGAAGAGCTGGAAAGCTCGAGTGAGAAAAGGACTGAAAGGTTTCGTTTAAAGCCACTGAAAAGTGGCCAGCATAAGCTCTGGTTGTGGTTTCTTTTTGTTTGTGTTTGGAGTGAAATTGAAGTGAAATGGCTGCTGCGAATGTTTCTCCTGCCTCCAGCGTCCTCCTTGTGCCCGGGGTTGGGCATGACGTGCTACACAGATTTCATCTACAAATGAAAATCTGACCTACTGGATATTGCCTGAGGATCTGCAGACGATGGAGGCAATCAGAGACATAAACTCAGGCTATCGATCCTCAGACGTCTCAGTAATCACCAGTGAGAAAGAAAAATGTTGGAAAATTACATCAGAGTGATTTCTCACTCGTAGCTCACTGACACAGTGGAGAAGTTCTGTAGAACAGATTCTACACTTTCAATCTGAACCACGTTTGTGTGGCCTGTTTAAATAGTGATTTTTATCACTGGTGATTACATGTTTGCCACATTTCTGTCATTTTTTACCATCAAAACTCAAAAATGCAAAATCAAACCAGTTGATTGATCCATGTAAATCAAAAATCAATAAGGTTAATCACAGAAGCACAGCAGTAGAGCAACACAGCAAATACAGGGTTAACAAATGGAACCCAGTAAGGACCTTTAAACTATCATCTGCGACACTTAAACACATAAAAAAAAACACAAAAGCTAATATTCACAAGCATCTGAATATCGTGATGATTGTCCAACATGTTTACCTTCTGCTTCTCTAACTCCGCCTCCTCCTCCGGTGTTCTCTGCTCCTCCTCTTTTTTGTTTTTCTTTGTTTTCTTGTTTTTCTGAGACGCTCCTGTTCAAGCAGAGAATCGTCTTCGTTAAAAATCAGCTCCAGAACAGCTTTGAGGTTTAAGACTGTGTGTATTTACATCACGATTAAGGCAACAAAAATGTTTCGACCTTCGGATCTCTGAGAAGGTGAGCGAGAGATGAAGTGAAAAGACGGAGGGGGAAAAAAGAAAAACATGTTTAGGACTGACCGGCGGTGCCGTCCAGTTCTTCAGAGAAGAATGGGTCATTGAGGTCAACATCAGGAGGAAGTTCATCATCACTGATAGCAGCTTCAGCCTCGGCATCCTGGAGAGAGAGAGAGGGGAAGAGAGAGCAAGAGAGAGAGAGAGAAAGAGAGAAGGAGGGGGAGAGAAAGTGAGAGACAAGGGAGAGAAAAGAAACAGAAAAGATAGAGAGAGAGAGAGAGAGAGAGAGATAAAAGAAAGAGAGAGAGAAGAGAGAGAGGGAAAGAGGAAGTGCATCAACACCTGTGTCTATGTGTGTCTATCAAAATGTCTACTCTCTCTTTAAAGACTGTCCTCTTTACCTTCTTTTCTTTCCTCTTCTCTTTCTTTTTCTCTTTCTTCTTCTCCAGAAACTCCTCCCATGGAGTCAGTTTGTCTTTGCCTTCCAGTTTTTTCTTCACCAGCTTCTCGGTGGTCTCCTTCAACCCTGAACAAAACCCCCCCCAGACCTCCATTAGTGGTTAGTTACTATTAGCCTCATGGTACAGGATGATCTCCGGCTTTCTCAAACACGTTTTCATCCGCGGTGCGTTTCAGTTTCTCGAGGAAAAGCACAAACAAGCACTGACACAGCTTCTCAACTTCACACGCAGAACTGACCCTAAAACAAGTTAACCCTGTACAGACGTTCACGCTGCGGCGCTACGGTGACGCCTCTGCAACCTGGACTGGGCTGCACCAGCTTTGTGTAGGTTTCTGCTGAGGTCTTTACTGAGTCCTTAGTCACACTACTTAGTTTCAAACTGTCCTTTTACTAAATTTGGTTGCACCACAAATCCGTAAGTCGTGTCTTAACTAGTAACGACTAATTAAGGCCTGAAACACACGCAAGGACGCGAACGCAGACGCTTCGAGCTACGCAGACGAGGTTTCATGCATAGTTGCGTTCAAAAATGTGTTACGACGCATTTCATAACGCAGCACAAGCGCAAGCTGCATTCTGAGTATTACAGCAAGGAGGCGGTATAACGATAGCTAAGCCTGACCAAGCGGTCTTGTACTGCCAGCGTGCTTCTCAACTGCAATAGCGGACGAGCAGTTGAGTCTCACGCAAAGATGGAATAAAAATATGATTAATTATCGGATTTCCAATCCAACAGAAGAGGTAAAGCAGCTCACTCTCCTCTACTGTCCACATTTAGCTGTTGAGGCTGTTGGAATAACAGTAGATCCTCTCCGATTTGTACTCTATCGCCCCCTTCAGTACTGAGTGTTTTAACCTCCACAGCAACGTAAGAACGCGTGGTGAGTTTGTACAGAACGCGTTCGCGTCCTTGCGTAAAGTATGTTTCGGCCCTAAAGCGTACGCCGCTTTAACACGCCGATAACATGTTCAGAACCAAGTGGTAAACCTGCTGCCATGGAAACGCAGAGGCAGTCGCTCTGACTTTTTCAATGAAAAAATATCCAGCATAGAAGAGAACGACATGTACAAGTTAAACTAAATACAACTAATTATCTACAGCCGCTGTCTGTTATTCTTTAATATTTCTCTGAGAAAACCAAATACACAGCTTTTTAAACGACGGTTTCTGGATAAACGACACAACAGAAGCCTCGGTTTAGCCGTTTGGGCAGCTGCTGAGTCTGTGAGTGTATATCTTTAGGCTCAGAGTTTAAACCAGGCCGACGATTAGAGCTGTGAGTAAAATCACAGCGTACAGCGTTTAGAGTTTTTAGCTTAGTTAACCAAGAAAGCCATGTTCTTGGTCTTTCTTGCTCTTTCTACATGGTTTCTGATGGTTTCTCCAACACTTACACCTGCTGAGGGGGTGTAAATATTTATGAGCTTCTAAACTCAACATTAAAACTAGTTCATATGGTGCAAGTAATGCGTAAACCTAAACTTACGTTACAACTAGCCTACGTTTGATGATAAGGAAACAGCTGATGCAACCGGCCACCTCACTGAGTCTCTCACTGCAGTACATTATTTTACTTTGCTGAAGTGGGTACGAAACACAAGTGCCTTAATGTGCCACAGTCACTGAGAAGTCTGAAGTACGGCTAGGCTAGACTAGACTAGACTAGACTAGACTAGGCTCGGCTCGGGCCGATCTCTGAAAATCCCATTTATTTTTGCCATAGAGAAATCCAGCTCAGACCCAGAGTTCCTAAAAGGGGCATAACGCCCATTAATGACAACATGACTGAAGTTGTCTTTTTTTGATCGTTTCACTTCATATTTGAATGTGGGTGTGTCCACAGCATAAGGGCTAAGCGCCCCTTTGTGCTGAGGGCCATATTAAAAATCTCAACAAATGCGTGGGCCTATGTTTTATTCCATTTCCAATTAACATTTTGCTACAAACTAAACTGACCACTGTTTATTCAAAAAACTTCAACAGTAAAATACAGACACCTGTAGTAAACTTTGAAATATTAAAATTTTTTTCAAGTCCCCAGGAGTAGGAACAAGACTCCTGGCATCTTTTCTTTGCTGCAAGTTCGTTACTACTTGCTTAAATTCTGAGCTGCTGAGCTGACGTCAAGTGTTTTTATCTGGGCTGAACTGCAGTTAGTGTGTTTGGTGATATGACTGGGGTGGAACTGTGTAGAATCCCATAGACTGTTGTTGGGGGAGGAGAGTCTGAGCGTACATTATGTTGCAGTGCATGCTGGGGACTGTAGTGCAGTGCACGGTGAAACAGGCTAATATTAATAGAAAATTAAAATACTTTTGCGGGCCAGTTTGACACGGGGAGTCCAGACATCTTAGTGCCACCCATTGTTAGACAGTAGTGAGGGGTGATAGTTCTACATTTCCGTTCACTGTCTCACACATTTATCTCCCCGCCCCCGCCCCATTCTTCAATACCGCTTTAAAATCACTGCATCACTTAATGGTGAAAAGTTCATATTTTTTAAAACAGACAATAAAGTCTACAGATGTTTTGATAAGAAATTTAGCTTCTTTCTAATGTTAAACGCTCTCACGTTGAAAAAACCTTGAAGTGTCTGAATTCTATGCTCCACCAGGGGGCAGTACAAAACAAAAGGTTTGGGTGCCCCAGTTTAACATAGTGAAAGAAAAAAAAATAAAACATAAAATGTAGCCTGTGCAAAAGTTACAGCACATTTTATGTTCTTCCAATGTGTTACACACAGCAGATGAACAGAAATTGAATGAATCTGCATAAAAATGCCATATTTAAGTTGGTCCCTGTAGATGATGTGTTACTTATAACACTAATAATATGTTACAAATTTAAATATGAAATCTGACTGAAACTCTTACCCGGCACCCATGTGATCTCCATCTCCATGTCCTTGTCCTTCTCCTTCTTTTCTTTATCCTGGATGCTCTGCAGTAGCTCACGGTATTTAGCGATCTGCTCTTCCTCCTTCTTTCCTTTCTTCCCTCTCTTCTCCACCGCCGAGCTCTCCGCCAGCTTCATCTCTGAGAACAAAATAAAAAAAAAGTAAAAAAAATAAAGTTAATAAATAAAAAAGAAAAGCTAATATCACTAATAACAAAAAGAAACTAGCAGGTTCTCATTGTTTTTAATTTATCGTTAGGCATTTAAGCCTCTTAGCTACCTTTACTATGTTACAGTACATTACACATATTAGGCTCAAGAGAAGTGGTGTGTAGTTCCCTCCCTAAAACTGGACATACTTGTAGGCTCTTCTATGATAAGCCAATCTAAGTGATGGCTCTGTTGTTAGGAGTTCACTCCCCAGGCTGGCAAGACAGTCTGTTAGCTGCCAGCCAAGACAGGCGTCTGTTAGCTGACATAGCTTATTGCTTTAGAATTGAGGATGAACAGAAAAAACAGACAAAAAATGTACTAAAAAAACCCAAATACTTAACAGATCTACAACAAAGTGTAAAAATAAAAAACACTCGAAGACCATCACCACTCACCCTCTTCCTGAACTACTCCTTCCTCTTCAAACTCCTCATCCTCACTGGAGGAAGCGAGGTAGGCCTTGAAGTCCATGTCCAGCAGCTCGTCCTTACTGAACTTCTTACTGAGGGCGGTCACTCGATCGTGATCCGTCTCGTCCCACGTTAGCTCCACCTGGAGACGCAACATTTAAAACTTTAAACGTACTATACTCCCGCAAGATGACATCCCGCTCCCGCAGAAAATCGGAATCATTTGTCCCGCTCCCCCACGCAATCGAAACGTTTTGTCTCGCTCCCGCCCGTACAGTTCTGTCACGGCGAACTGACATCCAATATCTGACAAAGTCTATTCACAAACACATTATCCTCTACTGAAATAACACAGCAGTCATGGTCGTCAGGCTCACTGTGTGTAACTTCGCCAAACGCCTTTTATTCCCAGTAAACACAGAGCAGGAATTAAACCACAGAGCCGTTATGTTTGGTGTTTTGCTGGGAAGCTGTGGCCGTCGGACTGAAGGCTGCTGTTTCTGTATATATGCCTTTAAGACTGATATATGTTTCTGTAGGAAATGGGCCGTTTAGCAGGACTAGCTGACCTTCGCAGTAGTGGTTGCAGTGGAGGTGAAGAGTTTGGGCTGGTAGGTGGACAAGTCCACGTCCGTCGCTCTGTCTTTGGGCTCTTCATCAAACGTGACGTCATCAGGAATGAATCTGCAGTAAACAGAGTCAGTTCGTATAAACATGTCATTTAGAGCCGGAGAACAATTCTGCATTCTCATTATAATCTAACAAACTGATTTACGGCTTAATGCAGAAACATGACCAACGCTATTAAGCATAATGCTAACTGGATGCCACTGACGTTAACACCAAGAGTCAAAACAAGCATGTAATTAGTTATTAGTGATAATTTGCAATGTTAACAAATTCTACAAGCTTCCATTCACTGTTAGCCAGGTTAGCGTCTCTTCCGCTTATTATTACAGTACAGTGAGAGTCTGGGGGTCTCACCGCAGGTCCATCATGGAGCAGCTGCTCTCGTACTCAAAGCCATCACACTCCTCATAGAGCTTGGTGGCTGTTTCCACAGAGTCGCACTCCACCACGGCGTAGTAATACCGCAGACGCTTGAACTGGTAATCTCGTACCTTCTCCCTGTAGATCCTGACACACGAGAACCAACAGAGATTAATCCAGTTTGTCTACATGCTGCTAGCATGTAGCACTGTTATTCTTTGCTGACTTGTAGCCGGTTGTTGCTGGTTCAAATCAATAAAGAAATAATTCAGGGATAAAAAGCAGCACAGATATCGTAACACAAAACAGAACCATTTCATAAAAATTAAAAAACAAAATTAAAACACAATTATCCCTTTTTGTAATACCTTCAAACCTTTTCAAAATATTACAGTATTACTGGGGATGGAGGCGGCACGGTGGCGCAAACGCGTCTTCTTCCACGTGGGTGCTTTTCCTCACGCGAGTAGTTCTCCTCGCACGCGTCAGTGTGCTTTTCTTCTTTGTTTGCAAATTTTGAATTGTATTTGACGCCACAGAAACCAGCCGACCCAAATGAAGAAGACACAGTATTAAATAAACCCAAACTCTGGTGCGGACTTCAGAAAACACACTGGGTGTGAAAACAGCCTCAGATGCTGCCATTTCTCACACCTTTAAATGGGGATTTCGTCTTTACCTGATTGTTTAAGAGCACAGCTGTGATGATACAGTGATACAGTGATACGTTGTATCACTGTATCGTATGTCTTGAATCTTCTCTGTATCACATCAAATTCAGAATTTTCTGAACTTCTTTCTGAACTAACGAAATATTTAAAAATGTTAGGTCTCCTCCACTACAGGACGAAGCAGCGTTATTAAAGTTCTTACACTTTCATTAGTTTTTATTTTTATTTAGTTTTTCATTTCGGTTTTTGATTTTAGTTTAATTCCAGTTTGTCTTAAAGGTGCATTAATAGCTTAAGTTTTGTTTGTATTTTCTGAAAAGTAATAGTTTTAGTGTAGTTTTTATTTCGTTTCAGTGAGTTTTGTAATGAATGCTGTGAAAGTAGGTATTTGATAAGGGTAAGAATAAAATTAGCCCAGCAGTGGACTGAACTCTGACCTCCGCTTGGCTTGAGCAATCCTTAAAGACAGCCAAACACAGAAGGGATCCACTTCTAAACTCTCATTATCTTCTCAGTAATTCTATTTAATTTTGGTTAGTTTTGCAGTGGACATTATAGTTTTGATTCACACTGTGCACTCGAAAACAAGTTACAACAGTTAAAGAGTTATGTTATTAAAGAGTTATTAGTCATGCACAGTTAGTTTTCGTTTTAGTAATAGTTTCAGTTAACTGTAATAACCCTGTGGGGAAGGTAAGCAACATCCCACCCACCCAGAGAGGCTCCAGGCCACAGATGGCTGTGGCATCACCAGAGATCAAACTCATGACCTACCAAAGTTTGGGACAACGCTTAAGGAGTTCCATCAGCCGGGAGCCCTAAATAAAATGTTAATAAAATAAAAGCTTGTGTGCCTCTTTTCATAGTTATCAGGAGTGAAAAAGACTAAAAAGAGCTTTTCTAGGCTGTGCAATGCACTTCACGGTTTTGAACCAAACATTTTTTTAAAGTTTTAACTTTTCCTCTGAGCAGCATGAAAAAGCACCATACGACATCACAGAGGACACCACCTCTCTCGTTACCAAACGCGTTAAGGCCAATTTACAGTCTAGGCGACCAAAAAACAGTGTAGTCGACAGATGCTGTCACAACGCTGTAGGCTTTCATAGTCCTGCGGCAGCGACACGTCAGAACAGAACATCATCTGTAGTTTCTGTGAAAACGTGTACGACAGGGCAGCTAATACAGCAGAACAGTCTGAAAACAGCTGCTACAGTGAAGCTGCATTAACAGTAGGATTTTAAGCTCAGGGTCGCCACGGCAACCAGAAATACTACTTGTTTCCCACACGTTGCGTTTCACTCGCGAGCTCTTTCTCTGTCGCGCAGGGTCGCCAGATTCATGGTTTTCCCAAAAATACCAGTTAGTCTGAAAGTGAGTGCGGGGGGTAAATCACACTGTCGCGGGGTGTGTTTTCTGCTTGGACTGCTTTTTAAAGTAACTGCAGTCGCGGAAAAACGTTTGAAAATGAAAACATATCATCATATAAATGTACATCGATCCTAGTTCTGAATACCTGGCAACCCGTTCGGTTTCTAAAAGCAGCACAGCAGCAAGAAAGTAAACACAGTCGCATACTGTGACCACGGCAACAGTCCAGAACGTAGAACTTTCTTGAGTTCCTATACAATCAGTGTGAGTGACGGCGTCTGCGCCCTCTCAAAGGTTTTGATGTACGCAACATAATTTTGTCTCTTTAACGTCATTTTTTGTTGAGCGATGCTTTTTTTTTTGTCACCTGGACTATAAATTGGCCTTTAACGCGTGTCTTTAAGCAGCGCATGCTTCGTTTGCTTCGTTTCACCATGATTTACCACGTTGTGGCGTGCTTCCCATTTAAAAGGCGCTGTCTGAACTTCCCTAATAAATCTGTTTAATCTGCTGACCGGCTCTCTCTGGCATGTGTTACCTTTGTTCTTCTGTGTCTGCATCTGGGTCGTCTGGCAGGCAGGTCAGCTCCAGCGGCCCCTGAGTCTGTTCTGCCTTCAACCGCTCCTTACCGAACTCAGACGGGTAGATCTAACACACACACATACACTCAGTCATCATATTTTACACTGTGTCCAGTACACCTACGTGGACCACTCTAACAAATTAATACAAACTGTAGTCCTGCAGTAAAAGAACTATTAAAAAAAAACAGTATTCAGACCTGAGATATTTACACGGATTAGACTGTGATCTATTTAAACCCAAGGCTTTAACAGAGATAGTAATAAGTTAATATTAACCCTAACCCTTTCTACTGGGAGGTGTCTGTCCCAAACCCTAACTCTGAAACTTGCGCTAGGTTAAATAATACCTACATTTTCATTCATTTCATTCAACTGGACTGATCATTAACTTAATAAACTTTATTCAAATAATGCTGTCCCACATTTTCATGTCACTACTGAAACACAAAGAGTTTTAGTCTGCAGGCGGAGCCTTATTGTAGCCACGCCCCTACATTTTGGTGACACATGGTGAGCAGTCAGATTCCACTGTTTTGAAGTAAACGTCTCCCAAAATCTAGAAATCTATGTGGAACATTAAGAATCGTCACTACCGAAACACTAACTAACTGTTCAATGCCTTGTTTTTTAGTCATGTACTGCCTGGCGTTTGAGTTCTGCTTGTTTTGTTAGTGACAAAATGGAATGTTAAACTAATTTATTTTTAATAAAATAAACATAATTAAGGTTTAGAGTCACTGAAAGCAAAAGTCAAAAAAGTCCAAAATGCGTTTTTCAACTCTGACTTTGAACCAATTCAGTAAAATGATCCCTGTATATATACACACGTCTAATGGCCGGACCTCAGTATATGAGAGTACATGGAGTAGAATAACAGTACCTACAGTGGGTCTTAGGCAGTGAGATACTTACCGTTACAGACAGCACCACTCCGTCTTTGGGTTTGAATGAACTGAAGAGAGCCAGCAAGTCTTTAGCCTTAATCCGGTCCCAGTTCATATTACACACCGCCAGCCTTCGGCTCATCTAAACACACACAAAACATAAACAATGAGCAGGTTTACATGCACTCAACAATCCGATCATTGTTTTATATTCAAATGGTCATGTAAACAGCATACTTAGATCTCTCTTTAGATTTCTGAGATCGGAGTAAGGTCTAGAAATCCGATTAAGAAATCTGATTAGCTGGATTTCAGCTCAGTAATCAGACTTCACGGTGGATGTAAACTCTTACTCTGATTTCCTTCGGGTTTCTCAGTCTGCGCATGTGTGAAAACAAATGGCAGTACTGGAAATAAGCGAACAGCGTCTCCGCGAGACGCAGCAAAACACTCTTGGAGTGACGCTAAAACCAGCTACATGCTCAACGAAATTAAGGATTTAAATATTCCTCATCTTCTAGATGATGTACGTCCATATTTACAGGCAAAGTGTTGTGATGTTTTTTTATAAAGTTTTACGTTACGTTCACATCACTTCTTCTTCTGTGAGTTCATTGGCTGGTTGCAAAGCAGAAATCTGATTACTGTCTGACTCACGTAGACCCAGAGTTTCACATTATCTGATTACTCAAGTGCATGTAAACGCGTTGATCAGATTACTGACAAAATCTGACTTTCTGCAGTTATGAGAGTATTAAGTGCATGTAAACGCACTCACTGGCTGTGTCTCAAAACCTAGTGAGCTCTACATAGACAGCATTTTGCGCGCTCCCAACAAGAAGCCTGTCCCAATTCTTAGATATCTCAAACATGCTGCCTACTGAGGTCTCTCATTTTGGCCCAATATCGAGAGAGCATCGGGTGTTTCCTCAGCCGCTGAGGCAATCCCACGATGCAGCGCGGCGCAACTTTTGTTTGAAGATGGAGGGCAGAAGCGCTTCACCGAGCAGCGACGTCATCTTCAAATGTAAGTTATTCTGATTTTCTGGGGTATTTATCTGTTTTCTAGTCATAAAGGTGCACAAATAGCCTATACTGTCCGCGTTTGACCACAACTATGGTCAATTTTGCTGTTTCATTCAGAGCAAATACAGTTAAAATCTCTATATAAACCGCCAGAGCAGGTCCATGTTGGCTAACTGTGATTCTGACGGCTGAGGTCAGTAAACCGCCGGTCTCGTGCAGTGGGCGGGAACAAGCGGCGACGTCACTGCTGCCTAACTAGAGCGTCTCATTTATCTGTCTTATAAGGACAGATGACGGTTGGAACGCTGCCTACTTAGACAGCTGCCTATGTAGACAGCGGCTACTTAGAGAGCTCACTAGGTTTTGAGACACACACGAAGTCTCTTTAAACCAGCACCAGGACAACACAAACTCAGGTCATTCCAAAAACTTCAGCTTGCGTTTCTTGAGGTACTTCAAGGTAGATCTGGATCACTGTCCTGTTGTAGAAACCTGCCTCTTTTCAGCTTCAGTTTCATATCTCACTCTGTCATCTTTCCTTCCAGAATTTGCTGATATTTAGTGGATTACATTCTTCCATCTACCCGTGCAATGTTTCGTGTGCCACTGGCTGCCACACAACCCCAAAGCATAACAGATTCACCCCCATCCTTGACAGCTGGCACGATGTTCCTTTCATCAAATGCTGCTCCTTTTTTCTTCAAGCAAACCTTTGATTCTTGTGGTCAAAGAGCTCCATTTTTACTTCATCAGCAAACAACACTTCCAAAATGTTTCTTAATGCTGCTCTGCAAAGTCTTTGCTACAGACTTTTGTGATGTGGTCACATGAGGTTTCCTTCTGATGACTCGTCCATACAGCTTCTGTTTGTGCAAGCAACGCTTGTGCACCACAGCTCCTGTATCAGCTAAACCCTCCTGCAGGGTCTTTGCTATGATGTGGGGGTTTTGCTTTACCTTTCTGACCAGCATACAAACAGTTCTGTTTGTAAGTTCACATATGAACCATTAAAATCAAGCTGTATAAGAACCTGTTTACATTGTCACTCTATAATCGACCATTTGATTATCTTTTTACTTACCTTCTCTGTTGTTTACCCATCTTCCTCTGTGTTTCTAATGATCTTTTTCTGTTTATTTTACTGTAAAGCACTTTGAGCTGCATTAAATGTATTAAAAGTGCTATATAAGTAAAAACTGCTTATTATTAGTAGTAGTACTATTATTATTATTACCTAGTAAATAGAGAAATGAAACATTTAATTTTAATCAAGAATGTTCTACAGCCTTCCTATGGAAAGAAAACACTGACAAACTGCACCTCTAAATTACTAAAAAAACAGACAATACAAAAACAAACACATTCAAAATGCTACTTATTGCATCTTTCAAGATGAAAACAATGAAAATGCTACATATGGCACCTAATAGAGACAAAAACATGATATAAAAAAAAGATGCGCAAGTATCATATACAGAAAAAATGAAAATGCTCTCTACGGCACCCAAACCGATAGAAAAATGTCAATTACAGAAAAAAATGGAAAAGCTGAAGAAAAGCTGAAGAAAACGTGAAAATACTACTTTAATAAAAAATAATGTTACCAATTGCAACTTTAATCCCTGAAAAAGATGTAAAATGGAGCTTTTTAGAGATTGAAAAAAAAACATGAATCCTGTTGCACCCATATTGATTGAAAAAGGTACTTAATATAATAAAAGTAAATTAAATAAATAAAAACTTCAATTAGACAATAACTCCATTATAAAGGCTCGGTACTGCATGCAGCTCGTGTTTGCAATAGAAGTAAACACTGAATGAGTCTGACCTCCTCTGAGCGTGGAGCGTCCTTCCACATCTCCCCCCAGTCGTGCTCAATCTCCTCTTCCTCACGGCGAAGATAATCCTCCACCTCATTATCATCCTCCTCCTCGTCCTCCTCTTCCTCTGAGCTGGTCTCGATGTTGCCTTTTCCTCTGGCCAAATCAGGACCACTGTCACTGTCACTGTCACTGCCTTCCTCATCCTCATCACTCTCGTCTTCATCTTCGTCATCATCATCACTACCTTCATCATCGTCGTCATCAGCAGAAAGACCTAATCCTTTGTCAGTGTCGCTGTATTCCTCTTCTTCTTCTTCTTCTTCATCATCTTCATCAAATTCATCCTCCTCTCCTGTGTGAACAGAAGAAGATGTTACTGTACTGCATGTTTAATTTCTGTCCTTCAGACAGATTTACTATCTACAATCACTGACCTGCATCCAAACTCGCAGTGATTCGATTCATCTATGATTCTTTAGGAAACGATTCAGTTCATTGACAAATGTCAACAAGATTCGATTCAGTTTGATTATTTTGGTTTGATTCTGAATTATTCATAACAATAGACTGAATACAGAAATGTGACGGCCCAGAGGAAAGAAATTCTCTCTTAAAATTGTCTCAGAGAAATGAAGCAGATCTCAATATTATATTAATGTAGAATCACTGATTTCTGAATTGTTTCTCCTAAACCCCCTTAGGAGAAAAGAGGAGATTAACATCAGCATTTCACTGTGAGAAGTTCTGGTGATGAAGGAGAGAAGCGTGAGTTCTCCTTCTGCACTGAGAGAGTTCTGTAATATAGAACAGAGCTGTATAAGCAAACAGTGAGATCTCATACTTTTCTTATGGTGCTATTATTCAGCTGAGACTGAGGTGAGATGAGTGAGCGACAAAAGAGTTAAGCCACATGTGTGACAACGTTTTGATCTAAGTGAGAAAAGTTTTATTTCTCAGGAGACAAACTTCAGAAACAGGAGAAAATGGCTAAAGTCTCACTCTGATTTACTACTAATTGATTAACTGTGTCTAGGAGAAGTACCTGAGATCAAAAGGAGATCTCATTTAGAATACCTCTCTCCTCTGGGTGGAGAAACTGTTTACACTGTAGTGGGTAAATAGGCTGCGTCCAGAGACCCTATACGTTACTGCTTTTTCCTCCCGATCCTCCTCCGCGACCTGGAAACCGATTTCGTGACACCATCTTACAGTCCGAATACTGGAGGAGACGAGAGGAGCCGCTTACAGCACCTGCCGAAATGGCTTCAAGTGGAGGATAACCGAGTGCATTGCTGTCCCATTTCCCCCATTTCTGCTCATTCCTTTCCTCCTGCTCCTCTCCTCGATCTTCTGAGGTAGGAGAGGAGAAGCAGGAAGGGAGGGGAAGGACAGGAGCAGTAGCAAAAGCTTCTGGATGCAGCCAGAGACAACGACAACAAGCTTTCTTAAGATTTTAATGGGTCTGACATTTTTCAAGAGTTTAATTTTTTTCTTTTACAGCCACCAGCAACATTACTGTGGCTTATTAAACAGCCATGGCAGCCTAGCAAGTCATAACCCTATAGCAACCACCTAGGATACCTTAGCAACCACCTGGGATACCATAGCAACCACCAAGCAAAATCTTAGCAACCATCAAGAATACCATAGCAACCACTTAGCAACACCCTAGCAACCACTTGGGATACCATAGCAACCACCTAAAACACCATAGCAACCACCTGGAAACTGCTTAAGCTGCGCAACCACTGCATTTTCTTCAGGAAATGCACTTTTCTAGTAATAACTGATTAACCTTCCAAAACCAATACAGTTGAATCACCACCTTCAGATAAATTACAAATTAAAATTTACACTGTAAATCAAATTTTTAGACCCCTAAAATAATCCGAGTGGGAGATTAACCATACAGTCCCATGCAAAAGTTTGGGCGCCCCTGGGTAAGTTACATTTAGTTGTTTTGTGAAGTGAAAGTAAGTGAATACATCCAATACAGAGAACACACTTCTGCACATTTCAATCCAAAATCACTGTTTATTTGCTGAATTTAACACATTGGAAAAAATAAAACCCAAAATGCCGCCTGTGCAAACGTTATGGCACATTTTATATTTTATGCTTTATTTTTTCCAACAAGTTAAACTCAGTAAATAAACAGAAATCAAATATCATATTTGAGTGAGTTCTCTGTACAGGATGTTTTAACTTATCTTCACACAACACAAGTCATTTGACCAGGGGTGTTTAAACTTTTGCACATGACTAACTACACTAAATGCATGTGTAAAGATTTCAGTTATTCTGATTATTACCTTCTTCAATCACTCTCACTCCTTTGACTGGTCCTGTTTTAGGCTTTCTAGCCTTTTCTGTGAGTTTTAAAGCCTTTTTGTCTTTCTTTAAACTCTTCTCGGGCACATGCTCCTCCTCTTCTTCCTCCTCCTCCTCTTCTTTTTCCTGCTGAGGCGCCACCTCCGCTTTCGTCTTCTTTTTCTTCTTCTCTTTCTTTTTCTTCTTCTTCTTTTCCTCCTCGTCTTCATCTCCATCAGAGCCCTCAGAGTCGGACAGTTTGTAGAAGCGTTTGAGGTCCTCCGAGGACGTGTGGCTGACCGGCCGGCCGCGTTTGTCCACTGTGTACTTCAGCTTGAACCGCTCGTCATGGAACATGGACTGGAATCTCTTGTCGATCTGGACTTTTTTCTCCACGTCGGGAATCTCCCAGAAGCGAGGGTCCTTCTTGATCCGACTGAAGCGGTCATCGCTGCTCAACTCTTTCTTCGACGACATGATGACTTTACAGCTTTACACACAGCAACCTGTTTATGAGACACAGAGAAACATTCATTTAGCTTTATTTGAAGAGCCCATATCCTTCAATATTCTTGTATTTTATTTTTATTTTTCTCTGATGTCCAGTTATGATGTCTGTGTGGTTTTATGCACCAAAAAAAGTCATGTTTACATGCCCATTTTCTAACCTCCATTATCCCCAAACAGCCTGTCTTTGTTACTATGCCTTTAAGACTGATATATGTAAATGAGCGCTGTTCTGACTGGTTGTCCTGCATTAAACCTCATTCAAGACCTTTTAGAACTACCTTTTCTGGAGTGATGATGCTCAATCCAATGCCTTTGTGATGAGCTAGAGTGATTCAGAACTGATCATCCAATATCAGTACCTGATCTCACCAATGCTCTTGTGGCTGAATGCTATCAAATCCTCACAGCAATGTTCCAACATCTAGTGTAAAGCCTTCCCAGAAGAGTAGAGACTGGTACTGCAGCAAAGCAGGACAAACTTCCCATTAACACCATTGGTTTCAGAGGAAAAGCTGGAGGAGCAATTGTCCACAAACCTCTGGACATACACTGATCAGGCATAACATTATGACCACCTCCTTGTTTCTGCGCTCATTGTCCATTTTATCAGCTCCACTTACTATATAGGAGCACTTTGTAGTTCTACAGTTACAGACTGTAGTCCATCTGTTTCTCTGCATACTTTGTTAGCCCCCTTTTACCCTGTTCTTCAGTGGTCAGGACCCCCATGGACCCTCACAGAGCAGGTACTATTTGGGTGGTGGATCATTCTCAGCACTGCAGTAACACTGATGTGGTGGTGGTGTGTTAGTGTGTGTTGTGCTGGTCTGAGTGGATCAGACACAGCAGTGCTGCTGGAGTTTTTAAACACCTCCGTGTCGCTGCTGGACTGAGAATAGTCCACCAACCAAAAATATCCAGCCAACAGCGTCCTGTGGGCAGCGTCCTGTGACCACTGATGAAGGACTAGAGGATGACCGACACAAACTGTGCAGCAGCAGATGAGCTATCGCCTCAGACTTTACATCTACAAGGTGGACTGACAAGGTAGGAGTGTCTAATAGAGTGGACAGTGAGTGGACACAGTGTTTAAAAACTCCAGCAGCACTGCTGTGTCTGATCCACTCAGACCAGCACAACACACACTAACACACCACCACCACGTCAGTGTTACTGCAGGGCTGAGAATGATCCACCACCCAAATAGTACCAGCTCTGTGAGGGTCCATGGGGGTCCTGACCACTGAAGAACAGGGCTAACTAAGTATGCAGAGAAACAGATGGACTACAGTCTGTAACTGTAGAACTACAAAGTGCACCTATGTAGTAAGTGGAGCTGATAAAATGGACAATGAGCGTAGAAACGAGGAGGTGGTCATAATGTTATGCCTGATTGTTGTACATTAGATACATAAGACCACCAGCTAGCATTAGCCTCCTGCTAACTGACCTGCTGTTTATCATCACGCTAGAGAAGCGAAGCTGTCACTAAATTGTCTGTAACTGCGGCTGTTTGTAAAACAACATGCAGCTGGTTTGAATTCGGACTAAAATCTGAAATAATGCGGAGCGAACTCGGCTTTAAAGACTCTCACCAGGCGCTGATCCTCCGCTGCTCCACCATCCACGTGGTTTACCCGACCTTTCTAAAGCCCCGCCTTGTTTTTCTACGGCAAGCCAGAGGACTCGAAACGCCTTTCAGCGCGTTTACTCTGTTTACTGTCATTAACGCCGGGTTTCCGTGCTAATCCACATCTGTGTGTGCGGTAGTCTAATGAGAGTGTGGGTCCAGCACGGCTCCAATAAGTTATGTTCTCCTTATATCTGACAGCGATTCTCCCAGTGCTGCAGGTTCAAAAGGCTGTGTTCCAATCTGAGTATTAGTCGTCTAGAGCACTTCCCAGCTGGAAAAAAACCCATAGAAACCAAGAGTTTCTGTTGGTTCCTGATGGTTTTGTAATGTGTTAAGCTTTTTTTAATGGGATATCACAATATAAAGGATCCTAATGGTTAAACAGGTGACCAATGACTGAAAGGCATTTGATGGTTTCCTAAAGGGATCTGAAGGTTTTCTACAGCAAACTAGTGGATTCCATTGGAAACCATTGAGCCAATTCCCATTAGAAAGCAAAACCATTTGGTTTTTAATGGGATGACATCACAATATAAAGGATCCTAATGGTTTAACAGGTGACCAATTTCGTGTTAACACGTAAATTTTAGTTGTGTTAACCCCGCAAAATGTTAAAACGCTAATTTCCAGTATGTGGATTTTGTCGCCCTTGTGAGTCATGATGCTTTACCGCCACCTACTGGTGTGGCGTTATTGCTCAAACAACATACAGAACCAACAGACCAAATAATGGAAAAAATAGTTTTAATTTATTTTAAAATATATCCTGAACAATGTATTTTGGTTGAATTCTTATAAGCATAAATACATTTAATATGAATATGAATATGAATATGAATATGCATGTATGTCCGGATTTGAGGCCTCCCATTGGCAGAGACCTTATAACCCGTGTAAACGTGTTTTATTTTTTTTGGTCACGTTATCGCCACTAAATTTTACATGTTAACGCGGAAAACTTTATTAACGTGTTGATTTTATGGACGCCTTCCATATTAAAGAACCGTCTCTTTTAAACAGTGTAGTCCACTAGATAGTGTACAAGTCGAAGTGCGCCAATTGGAACACGCCCGCTACGTCACAGTCAGAGTCTCACGCTGAAAGGTCAACGCCGCCGAGTGGAAGCGACGCTCCCGCGTGAGAGTGTCCTGATCTCAGTCCAGTCTGCTTATCTCATGGACTGACTAGCCTTATTTCAGACTATGAATAACCTGGTCAGTAGCCGCTCTGTCGGCGGAGCCTGTCTGCTCTGCCGCAGAGGGGTCGCCGTCTCAGCTCGGGTCACTCAGCGGGCTCAGAGTAGCGGCACTGCTGGCCGTGTTAACCCCGCACAGCACCAGCTTCACCCCCCAGCACTGACCCGGCTCTCCTCCAGACTCCTCTCCTCCAGACAGGGAGGCATGATGAACGTGTTCGACAGAAGCATGAAGAGGAGGCAGAAGAAATGGGCCTCTTCTTTACAGGACAACACCAAATACGACTACTTGAGAGACGAGGTCAGGCTTTGCTGTAGGGCTGTCACAATCGATTATATTAGTAATCGAGTAATCGGATCCCAGTATTTCTCTTAAATGCCTGAAAATGAACAGGGGCTGCAAATCAGATGCAGCTGGAAGTCCTGTAGAGCCCGTGTGACGTGCTGCATTGTATGTAATGTTAATCTGAGTGCCCTTGTCAAATAAATACATATGGACGATTAATCGAGGACTCAGAGATTTTCTTTAAAGAGGACAAACAATAAAAATGGACTTAACTGTACAATAACATAATTCATAGCTATCATTCAAGGCTATGTAGCAAAAATGCATACAAATGATTATATATTTAGTGTATATATACACTGTTTAATGAAGTTCATTTAAACACCTCCTTGTTTTTACTCTCATTGTCCATTTTATCAGCTCCACTTACTATATAGGTGCACTTTGTAGTTCTACAGTTACAGACTGTAGTCCATCTGTTTCTCTGCATACTTTGTTAGCCCTCTTTTACCCTGTTCTTCAGTGGTCAGGACCCCCATGGACCCTCACAGAGCAGGTACTGTTTGGGTGGTGGATCATTCTCAGCACTGCAGTAACACTGATGTGGTGGTGGTGTGTTAGTGTGTGTTGTGCTGGTCTGAGTGGATCAGACACAGCAGTGCTGCTGGAGTTTTTAAACCCTGTGTCCACTCACTGTCCACTCTATTAGACACTCCTACCTTGTCAGTCCACCTTGTAGATGTAAAGTCAGAGACAGTAGCTCATCTGCTGCTGCACAGTTTGTGTTGGTCATCCTCTAGTCCTTCATCAGTGGTCACAGGATGCTGCCCACAGGACGCTGTTGGCTGGATATTTTTGGTTGGTGGACTATTCTCAGTCCAGCAGTGACACTGAGGTGTTTAAAAACTCCAGCAGCACTGCTGTGTCTGATCCACTCAGACCAGCACAACACACACTAACACACCACCACCACATCAGTGTTACTGCAGTGCTGAGAATGATCCACCACCCAAACAGTACCTGCTCTGTGAGGGTCCATGGGGGTCCTGACCACTGAAGAACAGGGTAAAAGGGGGCTAACAAAGTATGCAGAGAAACAGATGGACTACAGTCTGTAACTGTAGAACTACAAAGTGCACCTATATAGTAAGTGGAGCTGATAAAATGGACAATGAGCGTAGAAACGAGACGTTGTCAGATATTTACACGTACGTTGTGGTTATATGTTGCAGGTTGGAAGCAGAGTTGCAGACAGGATTTATGACATTGCGAGGTAAGATTATGTTCCTTGTTGTTTGGCAAGGATGTGTTGAATTTCAAGCAGCTGTCTGAGACCCCTGCCCTGCGATGGACTGGCGACCTGTCCAGGGTGTATCCTGCCTTCCGGCCAATGACAGCTGGGATAGGCTCCAGCACCCCACTGCGACCCAGAAGGATAAGCAGTTTAGATGATGTGTGTGTGTGTGTGTGTCTGAGACCCCAGTCTTTGAGGACCACAGTGGTGCAGAGTTTAGTGTTTGCCCTGATTTGACTAATTAGCGACTTTCAGAGGCCTCAACAAGTTCAGTAAGACCTATGAGAGCGTGGGTCCAGCAAATAAGCCTTATTGATACAATTTCCCTTAAATGTAGGTGACCAGCCAAGACGCTTTAGTTGTGCACTGGAGCTGTGAGGCTAATGTAGCTAACAAGTAATGGAAGCTTATACTCCAGCAATTAGCGTTGTGCTAACAGCAAGCTTAGATCATCACACAGAATCTTCAACCATGTGGGTTAATAAACATGCTGGTTTCTGACTCAGTATGACCTGCTTTTAGTTATGAATCGGACAAAATTTACTGCCGCTATTTTTATGTTGTCAGCATTAATCTTTGCAGTGATGTGCCTCCCCAAGATTTGAGTCTTACGATGTTTCTTACGTGTACGGCGTGTCTGCAGGACCTTCCCGTTAGCGCTAGACGTGGGCTGTGGGAAAAGCCACATCGCGGAGCATCTCAGCAAGGTAGGCCTGCCAGCTCTAATCTGAGCATCAGTTAGCTTTAGTGGCAGCCCTGTTACATTTGGGGCTGTCTGTCGATTCTGTTAGTAATCATGTAATCTGACACTTATGTTGATGATTAGTTAAGTGTTTGGAGTTTTATAAAAGGCCAAATGATAATAATAGACTCAACTGAACATTACATCACCATAACCTCACGGGTTTTTCACAAACGCTGTATCACTCCGCTGAGACGCCGTTGCTAAGCAACGACTTTGACAGCTGTAGGAGACGCTCAAGACATCTGAACGTTTTTACTTCTTACTTTGCCACAAACAGAAAATGGACACTTTTAAGGTCACATTTGACCGACAGCCGATTTGGTCCGACTCTGAAGATGAGACTACACTAAATTCCCAAACTGTCAGTTGGTCTGTGTGGAGCTGGAGAACGAACTTCCGGCTCTGCAGCGAGTGGGCGGAGTTCGTTTCTCTGACGTAGCAACAAGCTGCTCATTAAGGAACTATAATTTGGTGAAGAAACTGCGAACATTAAAACATATTAAACGCCGCGTTCACGGCCCAGTTTATTAATTTATTACTTTATTTATTTAACTGTTGTATAAAAGCAATATAACACTTGAGGAGTGTGTTATTGCGAATAACATCACAGCTGTGACGATCTACGACGACCAAATCACAGCCGTGATGTTATTTCACGATAACACACTCCCTCTCATGTTCTATTGCTTAAGTAACAAACTACGCAAACACTTTACAAGATAGCAAAATACTTCGCTGTGTAAAGATAAATTAGAAAGCCTTTAATAGACCTACATGCTTATAAATGGGAGTCACCAGGCTCTGTTTGTCACTGTAAGAGATGTGAGAGCAGCAGGGGCAATAAAAATACGCATTGTCAGTAGAAAAAACTGCACTTATTAATAGTCTATCCCAGGGGTCGGCAACCTAAATGTTAAGAAGAGCCATTTTGTCCTTTCAACAAAAACCCTTTGTTGAAAACCAACATGTGAAGCCACAACATTTTATGTCCATTTTACCATCTTGGCTGTAAATAAGTCTCAGTGTGTGCTGATGTACTAGTATAGGATAAAAATATAATATAAACAAAAACTCAGACTTACTTTGCTCTGCTTTAAGCTTTAGCTCAGCTATAGCTGCTTTTCTCGCATCTCCAGCAGGAAACTTTTCCACAGAAGTTGAACAGTTTCTTTTAAAATGTCTCTCAACGTTCAACTTTTTACGAGGCTGAAGTCGCTTCTCATTCGTCAGCATCTTCTTCGAATTTTCCTGTTCCACCTTAAATGGTGCCTGAGGTGGCAGAATATAACTGCTGCACCATTTAAGGTGGAACGGGACAATTCAAACAAGAAGCTGGCGAATGAGACACATTTTGAAAAATTGGTGGATTTCCCCTTTAAATTAAACAGACTGTTTTTTTGTTACTGCACCTTTAAGACCGATATATGTAAACGAGCTCTGTCCTGTATTGTACCTCGTTCAAAAAACAGCCCAGACTGGTTTCATGTTTTTCAATGGTGCTGGGGAAATCCACCAATTTTTCAAAATTTCTGCATAATTATATCATTGCGATGTAAACAAAGTCAATCAGAGAGGTTTATCAGAGTCAGAACTGTTCACAGTGGTGGTGATGGGAACCAGATGTCCACCTCTGAAAGCTCCCTTTAGAGGAGGACGTTATTACATGAATGGATTACGAATACATTGCTTGGTGACCGAGACACTGTTTTACGATAGATTTGATTTCGGCCTTAAAACGGAATCTGTTTAATCCATTCAAGGTGGAGGGATACATCAGGTCGTTCTAAGGCAAAATAGTCCCCCCAAAAAATCATTTTAAATTTTCCACTATTAAACATTGTCAAACATGTCAGTATTGCACACAAAAACACGTGTAGGTTCACTGGTAGATCTGGATAGTAAATAAAATGGCTACATTTGCTTTATGGCTTTATTAGGCATGGCAACACCTGGTTCCCATCACCACCACTGTACAGCAATCGGAGCTGGTACGTTTTCTTTATAATGAACCATTTCACATCAAACCACTCTGAATGATTTTGTTTACATCTTAAAGACTCAACTATGCAGAATTGTTAAAAAATGGGTGGAATTCCCTTTTAAGGGATAAAGAGTGTTTGGAAAAAAGGAGTGAAATGCAAGAAAAATGGGCCCTTTAACTTGTTTTCACTTATAAAATCAACGAAACAGTAAAACAAAAAAAAACTGGTATAACGTTCTGTACATTCCTCTCTTTTCAGGAAGTTGTGGAGCGTCTTTTCCTCACTGACATCTCGGATGGTTTGCTGGTAAGTAACGCTGTACTAAAGTAAAGGCAGGGAAAAGGTCGAGAAAACGACGCATGTAAAATGAGTATCTTGGTCATGTTTACAGAGTCAGATTAGCTGAGCGTTTGGTTTGAGGAAGTCTGAGTCTCAAGTTGTTCTGTGTCTCTCAGAGGCAGAAAAAAGGGAGTGAGATGCCCACACACTGTGTAATGGCCGATGAGGAGTTCCTGCCCTTTCGGGAGAACACTTTTGACCTGGTGGTCAGCAGCCTGAGGTAATCATGTTTATTTTATTGTATTACAGTCAGTACAGAATGCATGTTTACTATGTGCTCTACTGTCTACTGCAGCATCACTGTAGAATAAGAGTTGGTTTTATTGTATAAATAAGATACAGCAGTAGCTCCCATTAAGATAATAAGAACAACAAGTAGTCTGTCTAGCAAAACAGAGAAAAACAGTCATAACACAATAAAGAATAAAATAGAATAAAGTGAAAATAGTTGCAGGCAGTAAAGATATCTACTAATTTCTGCTGTACATATGATAAATTCATCTTTCTATGAATGTGTGAGTAATCAGAGGATCTTTACCAGCCTTGTCTTATTATGTAAATTGTGTTTGTATTTTCTTCCTCATCTTTTCAGTATGCACTGGATCAATGATCTTCCTGGAGCTTTACGACAGGTACTACAATTCATACCTCTGACGTTTTGTGACAACCACTTGGGGAAAAAGGCTGTTTATTAAAATGTCATAATGTTCTGTTTATTAAGTCATAACATCATGACAGGTCTGCATAAACAAAGCACCATAAGTGAGTGATGACAACAATTGACCGTTAATGCTTAACCATTAATGATTAGTCCAGGCGACTAATGAAATAAGATAAAGATTAAACATATTAAGATAAACGCTTTTATTTCATTATATTGTATTTTTTAAATCTAATGAAGATGTTTAACTTTATGGCCATTGACTATTATAGTAAAATACATGAAAAATAAGCACAAAATAATTTTGGAAGGAAAAAAGTCTTTAAAACTTTAAAATGTCTTTAAAAATGTTTGTCCACAGAAGACAAATATCCTGTCTTTTCAGTAATTTAAAAAAATATAATTAATTAACAATGAAACAAAATTACAATAAACAACAATATTTCTCAAGTGCTCAGTTTGATCTGCTGAAATGCTGTACTTTATCATTATTATGAGATACTGGGTCATTATCTGTGAGTCATTAAGTCATTATGAGATCATGATGAGTAAGTCATTGTTATGTGATAGTATGTCTATTATTATGATAAAACTGTTATCATCATTCTTATGAGATAGTGAGTCATAATAATGAGATATATTGTTATTATGAGGCAGTGAGTCATTATTATGACCCACTATTGCATAATAATGAGATATTGTTGTTATGAGGCTGTGAGTCATTGTTATGAGATAGTGAGTCATAATAATGAGATATATTGTTATTATGAGGCAGTGAGTCATTATTATGACTCACTATTGCATAATAATGAGATATTGTTATTATGAGGCTGTAAGTCTTTATTATGAGACAGTGGGTTACAATAATGAGATACATTGTTATTATGAGGCAGCAAGTCATTATTATGAGATATTTGGGTCATTTTTATGAGGTGGTGAATCTTTATTATGAGACAATAAGTCATAATTATGAAATAGTGGGTCACAATAATGAGATACATTGTAAATTTGAGACAGTAAGTCATTGTTATGAGATAATTGGTCACCATAATGAGATACATTGTTATTATGAGGCAGTCAGTCATAATTATGAGATAGTTGGTCACAATAATGAGATACATTGTTATTATGAGGCAGTTAGTCATTATTATGAGATACTGGGTCATTTTTATGAGGTGGTGAATCTTTATTATGAGACAGTAAGTCATTATGAGATAGTAAGCCATTACTATGAGATACTGGGTCTTTATTTTGAGATAGTAACTTATTATGATCAATATGATTATAGTAACTCATTATTTCCCAATCCCAGCGCTGGGGACCCCACACTGTGCACATTCTGTGCGTTCCCTCATGTAGCACCTTCAAATGAGCATAATTCATTTATAAGATCCTCGTGTTCTGGGTTATAGGTCATTATTAATGGATAGTAGGTCATTAATATAAGATATTAACTCATTATTATAAAATATTAAGTCATTTTATAACAAAACTTTCTCTTTATTACAAGTTATTAAATACCTTTTATGTTCCAGTGGCAGTAAAGGGATTACGAAGGCTTTCAGTACCTCCTGCAGTTTTTCTGGAGAGGTAAAACTCCAGAATCTCTACCACTAATGACCTGATGGGCTTTTGTTCCTCTCCTCTCCTCTCAGATTCATCAGGTGCTGAAGCCGGACGGGGTGTTTATCGGGGCGATGGTCGGAGGGGAGACTCTGTATGAGCTACGCTGTTCTCTGCAGTTGGCTGAGCTGGAGAGGGAGGGGGGCTTTTCCCCCCATATATCCCCCTACACCGCCGTCACTGACCTGGGCAACCTGCTCGGCCAAGCTGGCTTCAACATGCTAACAGTGGTTAGTAGTGACTGGATAACCTATAGTTTATTAACAATTCTACAAGTGGGTCATTCTACAGAAATGTCCATTTTTGTGTCCCTGGCGTTTACAGATATATTACACTTGAAAACATATTAGAGTTACAATTTATTAGATTTTAAAATAAAACAATAAGTTTGACAGTTACACCTTTTTGAGCATCAATTCAGCAATATTGGTTTTAAATCAATTATCTAGAATTCCAAGCACCACAGAAGAGCTCGTCCTCTGAGTCATGTGTAAAGTGACATATTTTGAAGTAAAAACGTTTTTCTGCACTTTTAACTACAATAATCTATACATGACTGTGACATATATGATTAAAATGACATAAAGAAAACCAAATAAAAATAAATATTATAAAATATGTAATGAAAGTTGTCCCTAGGAGTCATGTCACTGGTGTTACCGCGTAACAAAAAATCTCTTATTTTGAAATAAAAATCACACTGATGACATCACTGGACCTGCTTTTACCTGTTTTCTGAGGATCTATGAAGAAAAGCTCATGGTGAGTCCACTGTGTCTTTCAGTTATCAGAGATTTTCTCATTTAGCTCATGATTTCATATGAAGCTTTTAGCTGAAGTCACTGGTGTGACCGACATTATTCTTAGATAACTGGGAAAAAATAGAAAACAAATGGATTAAATTACATATTTTAGTGGATATTCCATGATTGACAACATGATGTTTGATGCTCTGTAGCAGCCGTTTTGTAAAATGCATTGTTCATTAAAATGTCTCTGGTGTTCCCTTTCTTATGTGTAACACTGAAGAGGATCAGTAACACCAGTGACTCCTATGGAGAGATAGAAAAGTGGACGTTTCTGTAGAATGACCCAAGTTCTGGCGTTACCGGTATTTGGTAAAGCTCAGTAATATAAGCCAAAAATAAGCACTGTCCTCTTCTCCTATTGGATAGACTTGATATTAGGCTTAAATAAATAATTCAGTCAGAAATGCTAATGTTTCCAATAATAAATGGAAATGAACAGCCTTGGATTATGCAAATTGTTGGCTACTGGCTTTGTTTGTTAGCCACATTAGCAAGACTGGTGAGTCCGTTCCTTTAAGTGATCTGGCTAACTGAGAAACCCTGCTTTATGAAGTGCACGGCTGGACTGAAGCCTATTATTAAAATTATGAAGCCTAATGTAAAACTCTCCTAAAAGAACACTTATGTGTTTGTTTATTTGTGCAGGACGTTGATGAGATTCAGGTTCATTACCCAGGGATGCTTGAAGTCATGTGTGATTTACAAGGTAGGATTCTGCATCGTCCTCCAAACGACTGAGACCTGAATAATCTAGAATTACATCCTCACACTTCTGCTTCTGTGCTGTGTTTGAGGTATGGGTGAGAGTAACTGCGCGTGGAACAGGAAGTCCCTCCTGCACAGAGACACCATTCTAGCAGCGGCAGCTGTTTATAAAGGTGAGCTGAGTCGTGAACACAGACTTCAGTCACTCAGTGCATTTTCAGGACAGGCTGCCTTTACATTATGACGGCGGATGGATGACACACTGCAGAGATTTCATGTTTTTCAGTGGTGTGGTGACGTGCAGTATTGGGCCAGCAGCATATCATTGAACTTTGAGTTCAACTTTTGTTGTAAGCCGCGGTGGAGGAAAAACCTGGCACTGAAGGGGTTAAAGGGGAATTCCACCAGTTTTTCAAATTATCTGCACAAGCAAATGATAATTCAGAGGGGTTTAGTGTGAAATGCTCCGTTCTACACAATCTTTGAGTCAGAATTATTCATAGTGGTGGTGATAGGAACCAAATGTCTCCCTCACAGACAGTTATTACATGAAATGGTGAGGAATACACTGCCTGATGCCCGAGACACTGCTTTACAATAGTTTTGAGAAGAAGAATGTGTTCATCAGCATTACATATAAAAACTCAGAAGACTTGTGTAGGTTCTGTCGGGACCCCTTCAACCCCAGGCCTCCAACATAATATTATGAATAAAAAAGAAATCTTAGTACTGGCTAAACACTTCCACTAATAACTGTTTTAAGTCTAAGTTCTCAAAAGATGTTAAAAAGGAAAGAGTCTTCAGACGCTGAGTTTGTGGAAGAGGGAAAAAGGCTTCTTCTTTATTTCAGCATCAGGTGGCACAGAGTCTCGAGAGACCCAACTGTGGTTTGATATCCCCCGCCTTACTTCTCAAATTTTGATATTAGCTCATTCTCTAATAGGTGCATCTCTTCGTCCATCAATTTGGCCATCGCATGATGAGCTCACTCCTAAAAACTGGTTTCACATGGTTTTTACCTGTCTGCTTTACTTTCATGGTCATCTTGCCCCTCTCTTCACTGGGTCAGTAGGTACACACAGGCCTCTCTGTGAACCCAGGGCCTTTCTAGTGTCTAGAATCTCAGACAGACTAAGGCCGACCCTTTGTGAAAGAATTAATATTCTCTGTCAGCCAATACTACCTATTTGGTTATTGATTACAATATCTAATCTATCTGATTACTGATTAAGGGAATATTTATTCAAAATCTCTGTCAGCTCACTGCTGGTTTTGGATAGTAATTTAAATGGCTATATCTCTGTTGTTGACATTGTGACCCCTGGTTCCTGTCACCACTATTGTATGGACAGTAAGTTTCTCTACAGTGAAGCGTTTCACATCAAACCACTGTTTTTTTTTAACATCTCGATGACCGAACTGCACAGAAATGTTGAAAAATCTGTGGAATTCCCTTTCAACACTTATTTAGGATAAAACAGCTCAAATCAAACTAACACTTTCAGCACAGGTGCAGGAACGCCTCTTTTATTGCAGCACAGCTATCACAAAGGAAACGTTTACATGGCTGCATGGCGCCGTCAGTCACATACTGTGGCTACGTTGCACGTAATAACTCTTTTTAATGCCAGCATGTAAGCGTTGCATGGTTTATGTCACGTTACGACAGTTTACTTATGATGTCAGTATCAAGACTGTTCAAGATTGTGAGTTGATACTTTTAGTGATATTTTAGCAAAAAATCAAATAGTTTTCCCATCATACCTCAAACGTAGTCAATGAAATAAGATGTGTTTGGTGTCTAATTTGGGGATTTGGAGACCTCTCTGGTGGAAATGTGTAATTGCACATATTTTGTAACACGGGTTGTGTTTCGGACCCCTTTCCTGAGGGGACGAATCTGATGATTGCAAGCGAGTTGAAAGAGAATTCAAATTGAAATCAGTCAAAACTTGGTGAAGGACTGTTAATGACTGTCCTCTGTTAATGTGAGTGAATTATCTACTGTCTACTATCATCATCATGTCTTCATCAGTATAATGTTGATTTTTCATTTGTGACTTAAACATCAAGTGGGATCATCTTTTTGAGTCTGTTTGTGTGGCGTTAATACATATAGACGTATGACGTGGTCCAAAAAACACCCACCAAATCTGACCGGACACGTCCGACTGTGAAATGATTTCAGGCTTTAGAGGGCGACTCACAGTAGAGCTCGCACACCATATTTTAGCGTGTTTTGCTACATCTTTCAACAAAATACTAATAGCTTAGCTTCAACAGGACTAAATCTGTTTGCTGTTCTTTGTTTTAGAGATGTATGGTAATGAGGACGGATCTGTCCCAGCTACATTTGAGATCCTGTACATGATTGGTTGGAAACCTCACGAGTCTCAGGTTTGTTTACAAGTTCAATGACTCTGGATCACCAAATTTTAACCAGTTATTGTGAAAATTTGTTTCAGAAACAGATTAAATATCAAAATCTGCATTTTTGGAATTTATTAATTGTCATTCCAACACCAATCAGGCATAACATTATGACCACCTCCTTGTTTCTATGTGTCTGATCCACTCAGACCAGCACAACACACACTAACACACCACCACCAGTCAGTGTTACTGCAGGGCTGAGAATGATCCACCACCCAAATAGTACCTGCCCTGTGAGGGTCCATGGGGGTCCTGACCACTGAAGAACAGGGTAAAAGGGGGGTAACAAAGTATGCAGAGAAACAGATGGACTACAGTCTGTAATTGTAGAACTACAAAGTGCACCTATATAGTAAGTGGAGCTGATAAAATGGACAATGAGCATAGAAACAAGGAGGTGCTCATAATGTTATGCCTGATCGGTGTAATTTGTAAACATGTAGCATGTTGTTGCTGTCCCAATAAAAATGAGTGTCTCAAAAATAGTAACATAACCGCTTTTAATGCAAGTTAAAAGTAAAGAGCTTTTATTTTGGAGCATTTCTATTAAAAAATCACATGTAAATGGTAGCTACTGTACCAATCAATAGATTTAAAAATAATAATACGATTTTTTTTTTGCACAGCTGCGATATCTAGAACGTTTTGTGATGAATACACCAATTAAAATGTCCAAAATTATTTAGAATTAAATTTCTTTATATTAACATGATTTAAAGTTTTTCCTTCTCCTGTAAAGTTATGGAGATGTGAGATTTAATCTGAACTACAGTTACTCTACACTCCTCAAATTTCTTACAGCAACATTTCTAAAGCTTTTAATGCGCTTAACTTTTCCTTTTCAGGCCAAACCAGCTAAAAGGGGCTCGGCGACTGTGTCATTTGCTGATTTGTCAAAGATCAGCCAATCAGAGGCCAGCATCAAGACTGACAAGCCATAGAACTGCTGCCATCCCAGACTAGTCCATAAACATTACATAAGCAGCACTGCTGCTTAATAAAATGTACATAAATGCTGTGTTATATGTACAAATATCACATGAAAAATGTACTTTTGTAGAGAAATAAAACTCAAAAACTAATCAACTGTATGAATTTAATGGGGTGGTAGACGGAGCAGAATTTCAACAATCAGCTTGCCAGTAAAATGAAATGTTTTGAGAACAAATATACATACAAACACATAAATAACTGAGATCATGTTCTCCACCAACAGTCGTTGCTGTGAGAGAAATAGAGGGACAAAAGAAAGTGCATTATTTTTGCATGGCTTATTAAATATTCCATCTCAAGTCTGAAACCCAACATATTTGTAGTGCATGAGTTAGGAAAAAGGAAAGTATAGGAAATCAAATTTTCAATGAAGAAGTGAAAATAACAACCTTTTCTAAGTAAAAAAGCAATAGAAATCAAAGCACTTGCATGAGAGAAGACAGAAATGTCTAGAAATGCTAATACAACTGTACAGTCCCTTTCACCCCCTCATATTGCATTAGTACAAGCACCTTTATACAGACTGCTCAATAATATACACATTGACATGGTGGATTCTACACATATGGCTTTCAAAGGAGCATCACTGGCTGTGCAGACGAGTTATTTAGTTCCAGTATAATTCCAGTATATGTCTTCACTATACAATCATTTTGAACTATGTATTCTGCCAGTTTTAATCATTTCTCTTTACATAAATGATGTAACCTATTTGTCCAGCATAAACTGATGCTTAGCTTTGCTTTGAAATGGACCCACCCATGTTCTGCCCACAGATGGGCTCTTTCATACATACTGTTGCAAGTTTAGACGAGCTTTGCAGGACGTTAGCAAAGATTCCATTCAAAATAATGAGAAATTGTAGCTCAGCCTTTGTCAAAATACATGGTTTAACATATTATGTAATTATTGACAATGTTGGCTTATATTTTCTACACAAAGTTGATTTTCCAGTTTAAAATGCTACACTACCCAGACTAAAAGACTGGAAACTACAACAACCATGCTAACATTAGCTCAATTACAGGTCAAAGAGAAATAAATTCATCTTAGTTAGGAGTATGTCAAAATTTTGACTTTTATAAGAAATTTTAAGTCTTTTTAAATCTCCAAAAAATTACTTATTTTCTTAAAATTTGACAAAGTATGACTTTTCTTGAGATTGAGTTAGCACATCAAAATAATGACTGTTTTGATGAGATTTTTCAGTTACTGCATCAAAACAGTTGCTTATTTTCTTGAGATTTTGAGTTGGTATGTCAAAATTATGACATCTATAGATTTTTCTCTTGATTTGATTTATCTAGAGTTTTTTAGAGTTGCTTATTTTTTCACAATCTTGACTTCAAAGTCAAAATACTGAGATTAAATCTGGAGAAAGTAAGAATTGTTTTAGATTAACAAGTACAATTTTTCAGTAAATAATACTTTTTTTTTTTTCATTATTATTTGACAGTCAAAATTTCAAGAAAAGTCATTGGGCTTCATTCACCAATATCTTCTTAAGTTTCTTCTTAAATGTGTTCTTGAGGAAGGTCCTAAGAAAAAGTCTGTGTCAGATTCATGACGTGTTCCTAAACCGCAGAACTGTTCTCACCTTTGTGCTCTCGAGTGTGTGTAGATTCTGTTGTTCCCTAAGAACAAATCCCAAATTATAAAACTCTGGTGAATGTCAGAATCTTCGTGAAAACCACGTAAGTGGTTGAAGAACGGTTGGTGAATGAGGCCCAATGTTTCGAGTCAAAATTCCACACACTGCTGAATCTCCTGTCTGGTGGGAATGAACTTCCATACGAGACTGAAACAAACAGAAAACGTAAAGAATCTAAATGTATGCACTTTGACTAAATCAGGGTTTCTCATTAGGTTAAATGGGATGTTTGCCAGTGTTCTGTAAAGCTTGTCCAACCTGGCAACAGTTGCTATGAAAAAGCATTTGTGGGCGGAGCATGGAAAGGTCCATTGATTAAACACTGAGGAAGTTTCTCTGTCCTTTTTAAAGCATCCGTGACCAGCCTGGCACATTATGATGAGACATTATTACAGAGATCAATAGAAATAGTTGATTTATTGAATATATGCATTCAGTATCCTTTATTACACAACTATAAACAGTGTTGCTCTATGCAAACTGTTGTTAACAGACATGACGACATGATGACCTATTGCCATTGAAAAGCTGCAGAAGCAGCAGCAGTATCTGTGAAAAAATTAAAAAAGGCTACATGTAAAATCAGCCTGACAGTGTTTTTGTAGGGGTCCAAGCACTTAGTGCTGGAACCCTATTGTTTTTGCTTATTATTATTAGCAGTATTATTATTATTATTATTATTACATTATTTTTGTATTCGTTTGTGCTCTAAATCCACTTTCAGAAAAATAACTGCAGCCTTCAGTGTGTTTTGGAAGACTTTTTTGAATGTTGTCCACAGTAGTGTTCATAAGGCCTTCATGACGTGACACAGATCTATATAAACATTTATGAACACTTACAAAAGGCATCATTTGTCATGCATTTGCTGTTGACATAACATATTTGTGACTTTTTTTGACATTAGGTTGTCAAGACATTCTGAGATGAAATGACACACATATGCAAAAGTTTGAAATCCCCTCGTCAAGTAACACGTTTTGCTGATTTTCAAGGTGAAAATAAGTGAACACATCCTCTACAGAGAAAACACATCAATAATAAAATCTAAATTTTTTCTGTTACATTTTATTGCAATTTCTATTTATTTGGGAAAAAAAAAACAAAATCCCACAGATAAAATGTGCCATAACTTTTGCCCAGCCCACATTTTAGGTTTATTAATTGTTAAATTCAGCAAATAAACAGTGATTGTGCATTAAAATGTGCAGAAGTGTGTTCTCTGTAGAGGATGTGTTCACTTATTTTCAAAATCAACCAAACATAATTTGACAGGAAGCGCCCAAACTTTTGCATACGACTGCATGTCACAATGCTGACTTTCTTGTGGCTGTTATGTAATTTCATATTATCCGTTTATAAGATTTAAACTGTCATATCATCAGCAGTGTCACTATTTCAATATAGTGACAAGAATTATGTCAACCTGACGTCAAATTTGACCAAAACCTTTATGACAGACGACAGCTTTTAAAATATATTTATGAATGTTTATGTAGGTTTATGTCAATTGTCATGAGATTGTGTAGATGTAGCTTTACGAATGGTGCCCTACAGTAACGTGTTACTGAGCAGTCTGTCTGTTTCTTTCCTATTGCACTGCAGAAAAAACTGCACTGCTATGAGGCAGGAGACTGTTGGCACAAGTTTGTTTAGAGTATGTTTATTGTGTATGTCATCGTGTTAAAGCAATACTCCAGAATTTTTCTAGCTAATCTGTGTTGGCTGCATGTGCAACATACAGTCAAGTACGATAATTCTGACTCATTTCCCTGCACTTCGTAAAAGAACAGAGAAGTATTTACTTGAAACTACCTCATAATAGAAGTCAATGGACAGATGCTGAAGAAACCACTCGTTGGATTTTATTATAAATGTCATTTTCTGTTCTTTTTTGCCATGTTTTTTGCCATGTTGCATTTCTTGAGACAGTCTAAAATTTGGACAATTGTTGAAGTTTTTCCAACTTTTACCTGTTAAACCTTAAAAACGTGAGGACATTTTTAAGTTTTGGCAGGTAAAAGTTGGGAAAATGTTTACAGATTTTACATCTTACGCAGGCGAGTTGTGTATTGATTTGATTAATATTTTTAGAACTTGAATTCGAAATGTTCCCTGAATTGAAATTACACTAACATTTTAGAGAATGACAGATCTTACTTTGCTTCAAATTAAGAAGGAATCAGTTCACTGAGCTCATGATTTGGTTTTGCCTTTTAGTTGTGCAGCACCCTGCCTTATCTTTTCACAGTGTAGAGCACATGTGTCAGGCTCCAGTCCTTGCGGGCCAAAACACTGCAGACTTCAGGACGCTACCTCATTGGACACACCTGATTCAAGCTCATCAGCTAATTGGCAAGGCCTTCATGAACTGAATTCAGAGCGTTAGATGAGGGTAAATGCTGATCTCTGCAGCACTTTGGTTCGGAAGGTCCCCAGTTTGACACGCCTGGTGTAGAGGGAAATCACAGTCTGTGGTAATAAACCATTTGATCCAGGGAGAGACAAATAGAGATTAGGTTAAAAACACTGGAGTACTCCTTTAAAATCTGACCTGTCGCCTTCAAGCGTCTCAGACTGTCCAGGTAAGTATATTCAGGAGAAAACTGATTCTAAGTCAGCAGTCTCACTCTGAGAAGTGTGATACATTAAGGGCAGTGAAAGTTTGCCTGTGGGTAAAAAGGCCTGACCCACTTATACATAGTTAGTATAGTCATTTTTGAGTAGTTGGCTGAAAAAGCACAAATCAGACTATTTTTGTATTCTCTGTGTTCGCGTTTCTTAAAGAAAATCCTAAAGTTGTTTGTTATATTAAGCTACCAGAGTGTCGGCAATTGCTGAAATTCATATGGAAATGGTTCAAATTCTATCTATTCAAGCAAAAATCCAGACAATTTAAAAGAGCTTAACTTTTGTCCAAATGCTATGTAATGTTTGACTCAGGAGTGTGGATTGATTTTCTTAAAGGGTAAATCAAAATGTCTGCATAATTAAATGGTTAAGATGTAAACAAAGTCATTCAGAGTGGTTTGGTGTGAAACGCTCTGTTCTAGAGAAACTTACTGAGTCAGTGTTGTTCACAGCGGTGGTGATAGGAACCAGACGTCTGAAGAGTTTAATGCCTCTGAAAGCTCCCTCACAGAACGTTATTACATGAAATGGTTGTGAATATGCTCTGAGCCATTGCTTCATGATTTGGGCCTAAAACCCATTCATGGTGGAGAGGTGCAAATTTTTTTTTCTTTTTTCTTATATTTAGCTCTATTTTACCTTCATCAACATTACATAAAACATGTGTAGGTTCACTGGTTTTGTACAGTAAAAGTGTCTGTATTTGTGTTATAGAGATGGTGACCCCTGGTTATCACCACCACTGTAAAAAAATAAAATCACTCTGAATGACTTCATTACTTACATTTAAATGATTGAATTATGCAGATTTTTTTTAATTGGTGGACCTCCCCTTCAACATTGTAACAGGATGAGATCTGGATCATATTTTACTTTAACGACGCGACGGCAGCAATAACAAGTTGCTCTTCGACACAAATCATTTACAGTCCCCAATAAGTAATTCTGTTGAATCTGGCTGGTTGCTATAGCAACGGAGAGCAGGCATGGATGTTGTGGAGAAAAAAAGAGCACATCTGTTAATTTACAGTACATCTACAGTTCACTGATCAAGTGTTGTTAAATTCTCCTTGTTGCTATAGCAACGGGGAGCAAGTCTGGATGCTATGAGGGAAAAAATGCACAGTGGACAATTTACAGTACATCTACAGTTCACTTACAATTAAAGGGGAATTCCACTGATCTTTCAGAATTTTTGTAAGTAAATAGTCAAGATGTAAATAAAGTCATTCAGAGTGTTTCCCTGTTCTAGAAAACAATCAGAATTGTTCACAGTGGCGGTGATGGGAACCAGCCAGACAATTTTAGCCTAATTTTGATAAATACAGTCATTTTTTCAGATTTATTAATATATATATAACAGCCCCTGGTTCCTATCACCACCACTGTAAAGAAATCTGAGTTGGTACATTTCTTTACAACAAACCACTTCACTTCAAACCACACTGAATGACTTTCTTTACATCTTGACCTTTGAATTACACAGAAATTTTGAAAAATCTGTGAAATTCCCCTTTATTCTAGAATTCTCCTGATTGATGCAGCAACAGGGAGCCGGTCTGGATGGGGTAAATGCGTGATGAGTGAAAAGAGGCGATGTTAAGGACAGACGCTGACAGTCCAGCCAATCTGCAACATCAATTTAAAACTGTAGGACCACCAAAGGCACTAATAAGGCTAGCACTTTGGATTTCTGCTGCCGTCTCCATGACGACCAAACACCCCTCAGCCCAATTTCTACCTGTCCTGAGAGAGTATGTTGGAGTGATTATGCGTGTGGATACATCTGCGTGTGTGTGCATCACCGCTGTCACAAGAAAACATCTAAGAAATGATATCTTGAGATGGGAGGAGAAAAAAAAAACGTTCTTAACTTTGATGTTAAAGTTAATATAACCTGATTTCATACCAAGTACGTTTGGGCCATTTCTGGCATCACCGCTGGCCTATTTGTCATGAAATGTTTAGATGCTGTAAAGGGCAGTATGTGTTTTCAAATGGTGTTCATAAATAAAAAATGAAAAAGGAAAAAAAAAAAATGAAGTTTCTGATGTGATAGAATGTGCAAAAGTTTGGGCACCCCAGTCAAGTTATGTTTTGTTGATTTTCTAAGTGAAAATAAGTGAACACATCCTCTACAGAGAACACACATCTGCACAAACTTACTGCACAATCACTGTTTTTTTGCTGAATTGCACATATTGGAAAAAATAAGGCATAAAATGTGCAAAAGTTATGGCACATATTTTATGTTTAAACTGTTTCCAGTATGTTAAAACCAAAGCAAATAAATAGAATTTGTGCACTAAAATATGCAGGAAAAAACTAAACTTTGAGTTTGATCTCTGTAGAAGATGTGTTCACTTATTTTCACATTTGACTGGGGTGTTTTTACTTTTGTGTATAACTGTACATAACGGTGTGCGTGTCAGCGTGAGTGAGTGTGAGTGTGTTCAGCCTGTTCCATGACTGCTATAGTCAAACACTCCTTTCTTAAAGAAGGGAGAGATGTTGCATACGGCGTGTTTGGAGAGATGCATGCCGGAGTCGTCAGCTCGGAGAGGAGAGGAAGAGGAGGAGGACAACATGACCTGGAAAAAGTTTCTCAGATAGCGCTGAAAAAAACAAAATCAGATCAGAAATCAGATTTTCATTAGCCTGGTTCCATTGTTGTTTTTGCCATTTTGACATCTAAACAAACAGGAAAACAGTCAGCAATGCTGACTTAAACCTGTCGATACAGAATGTAAACATGATATACAGTAATATAGTAACTCATTTGAATTATGTCACTACATATAAACAGTGTATAGCAAAATCAACCCTTTAGACTTCCAAAGGTTCATTCTACTACAGCTATTACTTTGGTTCGGGATGTGTAGTTACACATGGTAAAACTTTGTAAAACAGTACTTTGATTAAGCAATATATGATGCCATCATATTAACAGAGCAATCCTGAGTTATAGAAACACAATGAGGAGAATGGAGGGGTGAAATGAAGGTGAAACGATGGCATTAAAACTGCTTAAATATGTCTCAGTTTGTGTTAATGTAATCTAATAGGCTAGATACTAAATATAATATAAACGAAAACACAGACTTACTTTGATCTGCTTTAAGATCTAGCTCAGCTATAGCTGCTTTTCTCGCATCTTTGGCAGGAAACTTTTCCTCAAAAGTGGAAAAGTATCTTGTAAAATGTCTCCCAACGTTCAGCTTTTTACGAGGCTGATGTCAGCTTCTCATTCACCAGCTTCTTGTTTGAATTTTTCCGTTCCACCTTAAATGTTGCCTGAGGTGCCTCAATGTAACTGCTGCACCACTTAAGATGGAACGGAAAAATTAGAACGAGAAGCTGACGAACGAGAAGCTGACGAACGAGAAGCTGACGAACGAGAAGCTGACGAACGAGAAGCTGACTTCAAACTTGCGACTTTTTAGTGTTTGACAGTTTCTCGTTGCAGATTAAACGTATCAGAAAACCAGCTGGAGTGATTATAAATGCAAATAAGTCCGTTCGTCTCCAAATTATCGATGTTCGTCTTAAATCTCTCTGTGCCTTTTCTTTAGCTACTAGCTAGGTGAGCCTGCGTTGCTATGGTGACCAGCAGTCTGTGTGCTAATCTTAAAGGTTAAAGGGTGAATTAGCAGTTCTACATTAACTCCAGCATTTCAGACCATTTATTGTTAAACTGTGTTGAACGATCAGCAGAGCTTTATTTTACTGCAGAGGAGGATTATTTTATTTCTACCTACAAATCTACGAAACAGATTTACTGCAACAGGGCAGTAAAAGAGCCACATGTTGCCAAACCCTGTTCTAAGGGAACACAATGCAATGTAAAATAATAAAAATGTTTGTATCACACTAAAATTAAGTGTTATAGTAAACATTCAGCAATGTTTAAATGAAAAAATGAAAAAAGTACAAAAATAATTAAACACTCGCCGGTCAGACTGCCTGGGTGTGGCTTAATATTTAAATAAGCAAAAGATTGACAGCCCTGAGTTTATAGCTGCAGCCTGTTATGCTGCTGAAGCAAAACTAAACACAAGCGCAGTGAAGCGGGAAGAAACGAGTGAAACGAGCACTACAGGTGGTGGTGTAGACCGATCCCACTGTGTTTCACTAAAGACACCATAAATTTTATTTAAATAGTGACGTCTTAAAGAGGAAGTTTTTATTCGCTTTACTGCTGGATACATCCAGGGATTTCTGACACGGCCGGTTAAATAAATGAAATGGGTGAATTGACATTCTTGCTACCACAGGTATGCTTGGTAGGTTAGCTTTCGCTCGGTGGTTTGCTTTCTTGTGGTAAGTTTGTCCGACTTAAACAGAGAAAAGGAGATCGTAGGGGAACCCAGTTTTATGAAACTGGGAGCGGGGCAACCCACATTAGCCTTGTGATTGACTAAGGCTATGCTTATATATGCACTACCCAAGATTAGGAACACTCAGTTTACACAGACTAAGGAGAATGTTGGCTGAATACATCGGCTATTTATATGTACTTGTAAAGTTATTTACACATCACACTTTGTACATGAATACTGTGAGCCCACAAAAGAAAGCATGGATTTAGGTTCCCGGGGCTTTAAATGGAGGAACCTGGAGCTGCTTTCACCCTGCATAATCTACTAATTCCTTTGACGTCCCTGCTGACGCTTGTAATGTCCTCAGAATCGTAAGTAAGAAACAGTCCTTACCTCAAGGTGATTTCGTCGTTCGGCAACCATCCTCTCGTCCCGGTTACCAAAGAGCTTTTTGGGAGGGAACTCCAGTGCTGCGAGCTAAACCAGAGGAGCAACAGAGAAATATGAGTAAAACGCTGAGACAGCTGCATGCGAGGTGCCTTGTTTTGGGGAAGCTCACCTCTGGGTATTTCATTTTGAGGGATTTGTGCATTTCCCTGAAGCGGCTGTACCGCCGAAACACGGTCCACGTTTCATCCAAAACTGTGATCTATAAACATACAGAAATCGCATCAGGGTACAGAAACAGAACAGCTGAACACACTAAAGCAGCAGCGCGTAAAAAGTGAAATGTATGTGGAGGACTGAGGGCCAAAAACGACAGAACAATATACAAATAAAGAAGGTAGGCAGGTTTAAAGTCAAGGTTTTGATAAATGTATTTAATAACAGGATATATTATCTATATATCTTTTAGAAATTGTATTTTTGAAGTACTTTTATAACATTAAAAGTACTTCAAAAATACAATTTCTACAAGAAATTAAGAATTTAATAAGTTATATACTGTATAGTATAAACTGGGTGACCGGGTGAGCTTAGGGTAGCCTTCTGGTGGGCCCTGCACTAAACACACCACTAATGCTCTACTATACTAATAAAACACATCAAGTTTGTAAAAAAGTGTCCTGTAAGTAAAAGTATCTGAAGTTTTAACCTGGTTAGTTTAAAATTGCGATTCAACTGAACTTCAAATAAGTTATGCAGGAGAAAAATTATTGTACAACTGTCAATTTACAGTTAGATGTTTATTAAACTCAAAACTGAAAAAGGCAGTCTGGGTTACTGAGCTTAAGTTTAAACAACAAATCCTTTTATAGTGAATAGAATGAAAGTCTCAGATTTTCTTGTTTGTGGTCCTCGTCTCCCTAATTTGATCATTTCGAAGCATTTAGTAGCTTTTAAGCAAGATATCCTTACAAGTTTGCCTGTTTGTTTCCAACAGCATGTATGGGCAAATTTGTAAGGACATCCTAAAGTTTTATTTTTTATTTATTTATTTTTTTTGGTTGCAGCCCTGTTTTGACAGTTTCCTGCCTCTACGTGACTCTATTTTGGGTATTTTGTGTGTCAGTCAAACTTCTCTGTATAAATTTGGCCAAATTGCTTTAAATCCTTTCCACATCAGCCATAAAATGCAATTTCAGCATGTACTGGAGATCCCTCACTCCAGTTTTAATTACATTTGAATTTTTAAATATATATTTTATGAAATTTTAATTATATTTTGAATTGTACCATTTTATTAATATTAATAATATTAATTAAAATATTAGAGTGAGTCTACCTCCTACCATTCTACCTGCTGGCAGAATGGCCACTAGGAGGCCTGCAGAAAGGGATTAAAGACTCCCATTTTCTTACCATTTACAAACGACCTGGACCCATTCAGAAATGTATGGTGGCTCTAGAGCCTAAATTCTTCCAGCTGCTACAGCAGAATGAAAGTCCGAGTCTCAGAGACTGACCTTGACTTCAAACTCGTAGTGTTCGTCTTTGCCTTGTCCGCGCAGAACGTAGCGTGGGATGCTGATCCTCACCGGATCTTTCAGACTGTCTGGACTGGGACACGAATGGATAGACACCATGCGCTGGACATGAAGAGAGAGAGAGAGAGAGAGAAACCAGCAGCGGACAAACATCCACTATTAATACTCAACTCTACGTTCAGCTGGTCTTTAGAGCAAACACTCAGTATCTCACCAGCACAATTTACTTTTTACACTAACTTTCAAAAGTTTGCAATCAATGTTTTCGATACTATAAAACCGGCCTAGTTACTGCTACACATTATATTTAGGAGCAAAATCTTGCATCTCCAAAATGGCAACTTTACAGGGGACGTTTTTAACTAATAATTAACATCCTTTACGTTTATAGAGCGATCTAATTCAACGTCATTTCAGTCCATTTCTATTGGTCTATTCATCAAGAAAATACAATACAATATAAAGGGCAACTGGCATTTTAAACCTGTGTAAAAATATGAAAAATGACAAAAATGAAGATACAACTATGCTACCTACATGGGCAACTTAACAGCTTCCAAATAATTTGTAGGAAGCTTTAAAACAAAGAGGAAATGAAGTTGTGATGAAATTAATATCCAGAATGAAGTTATAATGGAAATTAAAATCTAGTGCAACTCTTATTTGAAAAATTGGTCATCAAATCTCCAAACAGATAACTTGACTGGAAGATTTACAACTATAAATAAACCATTACAGTATATTAGCCTTCATTATAAAATCCACTTAATTTAGAAAATCCACAAAACATCATCTGACCAGGGGTGCCAAAACTTTTGTGTACAACTGTACATTTATAAACAAAAACGAAAGAAGGTACAAACGGATTCTATCGCCTTCATGCCTGCATGTTGTTTGTGAACACGAAGCAGTGCCGGATTCTGTGAGGAAAGGCCGAATTCAGCAAAACACCTGTTGTCTAAAGTAGCTGCCCAGGTTTTGATCATTTATAGAGTTCACAGTGAGTCATAATGTGCTCTGAAACCACATCAACAAGTCTGTACAATCTTAATGAAGTTTTGGGGATGAATTTACAGAAATTATTTTTTGTCAGTGTTTTTTACTGCTAACATTTCACAAAATGTACTGAACTCCAAGAGTTTGCTGTCTTTTTAAATATGTAGACACAAAAACAAGAACAGAAATTTACAGAAATGATTTGGGTGACTATTGACTTCTGGTGCTTGTTAGCCATGTTAGCCTCATACTTCCCATTTTAAACTAAACAAACAATATTTGGACACCAAACATGTCTTAGCTAATTGACTACATCTGAGCTAAGAAGGGAAAATTCTGTAAATTAGATTTTTTTGTCAAATTGTTCCTTTAAACCAACACTACTGTGTCTCTTACTACCACATACAGATACACGCAATACTGAGATCATACCTCGTACTTCAGTCTGCGGGGGTCCATGCGGTGCATATAGCTGTCCTGTAACAAAATAAACAAATAATAATAAAAAAAAAAAACACATTAGAGCAGATACTTTTTATGGCTAAATTAGGACAGATCATCAAATATGCCTTCTGGACATTTTGGGCTGCATTTCTTTAGGGAAATCATTCAGTCCAATCATTAATCATCCTTTTATTCATAGCTCCACCAAATTTATAAGTTTATCTTAAAGGAAAACTCCAGCATTTTCCAATTTAACCTTATCTGCCACATCTGCATTATGTGGCTGATTGGCTGATTACACAGACAATCATTGTGATGCATTTCTCTGTACAGAAAACAAGCTCAATTTATACCAGAAGCTAATGGACACATTCTGCCCACTGGCTTCAATTAAAAGCATGTTTTGATGGGGCTGATAGAGTTTAGGTTGTAAAACACCGGCATATTAATTTGACTTAAGATTCGGAGGGCAAAGAGTTTTCCAGGCAAAGAAAGAGTCGTCTGTGGCATGCAGAGAGCGAAAAGGGATTCAGAGAGGCAAACCTGAATTACACCTTCAGGGTTTATGGGCAATATGCAAACGAATAGTGATGCAGCATGCAAATCACAGCCCATACCACATTCCCATCACCAGTGCTGACTGGACGGGGCCTCTGCTTACCTCAGCATTCGTTTTAACATTGTTATTCTCACTAACTTCCTCCTCCTCCTGTTGGGTTGAACATGTGTTACTACAAAGCAATCACCACAGCAGCCTTCTATCATCTTAAAAATACAGCTAGAATTAAAGCTTTAGTTTCCCAATAAGACCTAAAGAAGCTCGTCCATGCTTTCATCTCCAGCAGGGTGGACTACTGTAATGGTCTCTTAACTGGACTTCCCAAAAAGACATTTTAAACAGCTACAGCTCATTCAGAACGCAGCTGCAAGAGTTTTAACCAGGACCAGAGAACAAGCTCAGTGTTGTTAGGTTAAATTTCCCCACTTTAAGTTAACTAAGACAGCATCGCTGGTGATGCAGGCTATAATAAAAATTGCAAATCTTGTGAACATTTTCATAATTTACAACTTCGATACTGAAACGATTTATTTTTCATCCCTGCTAATAGAATAAGTGTAGTGCACAGTAATCACCAACGGAAAAATGAATTGCAGTTTATGTACAGTGTTAAGTCATTACATCAGTGTAACAGTAATGACATCAGTATAGTTACACTAACTGAATCACAGCACTATGCTGATGTCATTACTGTATCACTAACCAAATTATAGCATTATGCTGATGTCATTACAGTCATACTAACTGAATTACAGCACTATGCTGATGTCATTACTGTATCACTAACCAAATTATAGCATTATGCTGATGTCATTACGGTATCACTAACCAAATTATAGCATTATGCTGATGTCATTACAGTCATACTAACTGAATTACAGCACTATGCTGATGTCATTACTGTATCACTAACCAAATTATAGCATTATGCTGATGTCATTACAGTCATACTAACTGAATTACAGCACTATGCTGATGTCATTACTGTATCACTAACCAAATTATAGCATTATGCTGATGTCATTACAGTCATACTAACTGAATTACAGCACTATGCTGATGTCATTACTGTATCACTAACCAAATTATAGCATTATGCTGATGTCATTACAGTCATACTAACTGAATTATAGTGGTATTTGGAGGTCATTACTGTCTCACTTACTAAATTATAGCATTATGCTGATGCCATTAGTTATATTGACTCAGTGTTATGTTGATGTCATTACAGTTACATTATCTGTATTTTTGTGTTATTCTGAGGTCATTACTGTTACACTGACTGACTAACAGTGATGTGTTGATGTCACTATTGTTACAATAGGTGAACTACATAAGATCATATATATATATACACACATACATATACACACACAAATACACACAAACATTAGAGTTGCGGTGGAAAGCGGACGTACGTGCAGCGAGTCTGAGGAGAGTGAGAGGCTGTTGATGTTGTCTCCATTCAGCAGGTTCATCTTCTGCAGCCTCCTCTGCACTTCCTCTTCAATAAACGCATTTAACCTAAACAAACACAGATGCACAACGATCCTATTTGAAGCTGTAGGACAGAGCCAAGTCACATAAGCGTCTATATTTCTTCAAGAAAGTCTTGAGGCCAACAGTCAATGTATCCAAATGTCATCACATTTACAGTCAAAGGCGTGTTATGCACATGGTACAGTAGTACATGTAAAGGATCTTTTTTGGGTGGTCTTTTCTTACTGAGCTGTGTGTGTCTGTCTGCTGAACATGGTGCTACCTGTCGTCCGTTAAAGGCAGCACCGCAGGCAGGCCCTGGATGGGGCTCACTGGACAGTTAGCTACTCCGTTCTTCTCCTCACTACTGACCGACAGATTCCGTCCACTTCCCTCACTCTCGCTGATCCTCTGCTTCAGCTGAGCGATCTCCCTCTCCATCCTGAGAGAGAGAGAAATTGACATCATTACAGGATTACATAGAACACTAACATTAACAAGATGATGAACTCCTACAAATAGTCACTACTTACTGCCCTAATGAATCGAACAACATACGAACAGCAGCCCCCAACACCGCAGCCGTATGAGCCCCCTTACCTCTCCTGGTCGAGTTCAGATCCCAGCAAGGTGACGATGCTCCTCCGGCGGCCGTCCTCAGCTTCGGGCTCCAGGCTGAGGCTCCTGCGGAAGGCGGAGTGCCTCCTCTCGAGTCGCGCCACCGCTCGCTCCAGCGCCTCCCTCTGCTGCTTCTCCTGCGTCTCCAGAATCTCCTGCTCCTTCCTCCGCACCTTCTCCTCCTGACGCGCCACGTTCGCTGTGAACTCGTACGTCTGCTGAAGCTGCTGAAGCTGCTCCGCGCTGGCGCTGTGCTGGGACAGGCGCTCCTCCTTCTCCTCCAACTCCTTCTCTATCTGAAAGGAGGATGAAGCTTGTGATATTTACTCTCCTGCATGTTTAACTTTTGTTGCACTGAATGGTAATAATAATAATAATAATGCTACCAATAACAATACTAATACTGCAATATATTACATTTTAATATTATAATGAATTATGATAAATAAATACAAATACTAGGCCTGTTTAAGTTAAGTTGCAATAAACACTTATTTTTTTTTGAAACACTATGGGTGCATTTTGCTAGTTTGACCCTTCAGTCCCCCTGTAGTACTGTAGGCTGAAGCCCAGCTGCACTGTGTGTTGCTATGTTTGTCTGTGAAACTGTAGTCTCTCCTTCAAGTACAGCTTTTAAACATTCTTTTAAACAATTCCTTCAGCACTTCAGCAGACAACACTACAGAGTTCACAGGAGAACTACGCATAGCGTAACGGGCCTCATTCACCAGTATCTTCCAAGTTATTCTTAAACGAGTTCTTTAGAAAGCTCCTAAGAAAAAGTCTACGTCAGATTCAGGACGTGTTCTTAAACCACAGAATCGTTTACACTTTGGTGCATTGAGTGTGCAGATTCTGTTCTTACCTAAGAACAAATTCCAACTTAGAAAACATTGGTGAATGTCAGAATCTTCATGAAATCTGCATAAGTGGGTTTTAAAATGTCTTCCTAAGAACAGTTCATTAATGAGGCCCAATGAGCGGCAAACTAACAAACTCAACAATAAAGTAATAAGGATTTTCAGTTCACATCAAGAACCCCTACTGCAACAGGCATCCACAAGCTTTATGAACAAGAGGGAGAGGCTATAATCACAGTTCAACCACTGACTGTATATCTGATATACAGCCATATGCAAAAGTTAGGGCGACCGGGTCAAATTTTGTTTGTCTTCTAAGTGAAAATAAGTTCAACAGATAACAAGCGTTGTGAACATTTGCACAGCTACTGTGTATTTGTTGGATTTAACAAACAGGGACAAAAATAAAACTTAAATACATAAAATGTGGCCTGTGCAAAAGTTATGGCACATTATATATATATATATATATATATATATATATATATATATATATATATATATATATATATATATATATATATACACACACTTTTTTTCTTAACTCGGCAAAGAAACTGCACTAGAATGTGCAGAAATCCACATTTAAGTGTGTTCTCTGTAGAGGATGTGTAAACTTACACTGTGTATGAAATACAAATAACATTACTGTACTACTGAAAGTAATACATTCTGACAATGCATATTCTGTCAGCTCATATAGCTATAACGAAATGCACTGCTTTTTAAATAAAAACAATCTCTCTTTAGTATCAAATTTAAGCAAATAAGACAAATATGAACTACCCAAAAATAATCAGATTAATCAAAATTTATCATTTTAAATGTTTGCCAGCCCCCCCAAATTATATATTAGATACATAAAGTGACCCTTTATTCATCCCACAACAGGGAAACTTCACCTCCGCATTTTAACCCATCCATGCAATGAAACACCACATACACACTAGTGAACACACACACTAGGGGGCAGTGAGCACACTTGCCCAGAGTGGTGGGCGACCCTATCCACAGCGCCCAGGGAGCAGTCGGAGGGTTAGGTGCCTTGCTCAAGGGCACTTCAGTCACATACTGCTGGCTCAGGGGATCAAACCAGCGACCTTCCGGTCACAAGCCTGGTTCCCTAACCTCCAGCCCATGTGCATGAGTCACATTTGATTACAGTATGACATGTTTATCAGCACTAATCCAGATTTGTCAGAGTTTTTTTTTTCCCTAACCTGATAAAGCGTCTCGTCCAGCTCCTTCTCCACCTGATCTGGACTTGGCTCGGTCTCCACACTCCTGCCCCCTGCTCCTCTCGCCCACATCCTGTCCAGCGCCTCCTCAGCCCTCTGGCGCTCCTCAGAGACGGCGGGGAGGTGGTTCTGGCACAGAGAGAACAGCTGGCGCTCTTTACACTGCAGCCTGTGTTCAGCCTGAGACAGCAGGGCCTCCTCCTGGAGGAGAGAGGAAGCGTCCTGAGCTCCGTGCTCCACAGCCTCGAACACCTGCAGGAGAGGAGAGAACAGGAGACGACGAGAGTAAAACTGACACAAATGCACAAAGGAACAGATACTCAGTCTTACAATACTGTTTTAATTCTGTCTGCTTTTATAGATAACAGTATGTCAATGCCAGAACCTTCATAAGCCAGGTATTTGCCAATACTGAAATAACTACTGGGGTATTGATTACACTGCATTATAGAAAGCCAAGGTGAAACTACAGAGGCCAAAGATCCAGTGAAACTCCTGTATTATGTTTCGACAGTCTAATGTTTGCTCTTATTTGTGATATTGCATAAACAAGACTGTTTTAAAAGGAAACTTTCTCTGATTTTTAAAAACATTTGCATAGTTAAATAGTTAAGATGTTAGTCATTCAGAGTTGTTTGACGTGACCTGCACCGTCACTGAAGAGTTTAATGAACTCCCTCACAGAACGTTATTACATGGAATAGTTATGAATATGCTGCCTAATGATTGAGACATTGTTTTATGGTAGTTCTGAGAAAGTTTGGGCTCAAAATGCACTTTTTAAAAACAGAATCATGGCTGAGAGGTATTTGCAGGTTTTTATATGGGAAAACATATTTTTCAGACCCTGGTTCCTAAGACCTCCACTGTAAAGATATCTGAGCCTACTATGAACCATTCCCCGTCACATTCAAAGCACTCTGAATGACATCTCAACCATTGAATTATACAGAAATTTTCCAAGGTAAAAGGTCCCCCTCACCATTTAATATTGCACTAGTTAGTTCTAGTGTTAGCATTAGCTCATCTGAAGAGGCAGCCTCCATCACTCAGGAGTCCTCATCCAAGACGAAAACCCACCAGTTTAACCTGCAGTGGCTAAAAGATCTCCCGGGGTTACTTATCAAGAGCAAAACATGTTTTCAGATGTAATCTTTTGTGTGGTACCAGTGCTACCACCTAAAAAAGGCTAACCATACTGTTAGTTCAAGCCGTTGCTCATTTTAAGCCTAATTTGTTGTGTCATTATCATTCAAAAGACAAAATTCCTTCTTCTCTGTAATCTTTGATGGCAGCACAGTGACTTCTAAACGCCTCTAAATGCCATGAGACGTTTGGTTGTGTCATTGTGTTCCAGCGGCTGGGAAAAGTTATACTAAACAAAAATATGGCACGTCCCCCTCCCCCTCCCACCACCTCCAATCATCAGGCACAGTCCATGTCCTGCCCACCCGTTAGATACTCATACGTGGTTTTAATTGAATTATAATCTGATTTTTTCATGTAGTTTTTCTCTTGCTTTTGCTGTGAAAGTGTAAGAAAAGCCAAAGCAAAGCAGATGCTTAAAGTCTAGCCTGCTAACTGGCATTTCACCTGGTCTACATCTGTTTCAGAACCTGCAGAAAATACACATTAAATTATTGTAGCTCTTCACTGTTTGACAAAATGTAGTTATTTTTATTCATTTTTTCCTTTAGCATTTCTGCAAGAGTTGGTTTCAAATTGCATTTCACAATCCAATCAAATCCTGAGAAATAAAATCACGTCGCACCCACATTTTCTTCCTATCCAAATATCCTGTTTCACTCAGGAAAATGTGTTCTGACTTTATCGTATTAGGACAAATTTTAACATAAAAATTATGGCAGGTTCTGTTTTCTGTTTTATTTTTTTTCCAGGAGGTTAAACTCAGCAGATAAACAGAAATGCACCCTAAAATCTCCAGAAAAATGCCATATCAAAGTGTTTTCTCCGTAAAGGACATGGTAAAACTTATTTTCACTTGGAAAATCAACAGAACCTGTAATTATATCAGGAGGGTTCAAACTTTTTATTCGACTGTATGAAAATTAGTTCTTAAATGCACATCAATGGTCACACTGAGGCCACGACAAAAAACACGCAAATTTAATTTTTCACAGAAGTTTTTCTTTAAATGACACCAAAAAAAAGATACAAAAGCAGGATCTCTCTTAGTGACAGCACGTTTTCCTACCAGTCTCTGTTTCTCTCTGTGCGTGTGATGCATTAGGCTGATGGAGGCTCGTTCGTTGGCCACCTCCTTCTCCAGTCGTTCTTTCTGCTGAATCAGCCCCTCCTCCAGCGCCTCCAGCTCCTGCACCTGCTCCTGTTTGAATCGCCTGTAGCGCCCCCTGGCCCTCCTCAGCGCTTCCTCTCCTCCGTCCTCCTCCTCCTGTCCGTCCAGCCGCGCCTCTTTGGCCACCAGCAGCTCCTCTCTGATCTCGGCCAGCTTGCGCCGCTCCTCCTGCAGCCTCCTCGCTTCCTCCTGCGACAGTAGAGATGCCGCCTCCTCGCTGCGTTCACGCAGCTGCTCCTCCAAGCGACCAACAAGGGTCAACTGCTCCCGCTCACGTTCCTCCAAACGCCTGCATGTATATACTTTTAATTACACTTAGAATACACGGATGAAGGAAATGTACATACAAACTTCACTCAGAGAAAATGGACATAATAAACATGGACATACAGTCCTGTAAGTTTAAGCACCCCTGGTCAAATGACACGTTTTCTTGGTTTTCTAAGTGAAAACAAGTTAACACGTCCTCTGTGGAGAACACACCATAATATGGCACTTTCCTGCAAATTTTTGAGCACAACTTCTATTAATTTGCTGGAGTTTAACATAAAAAAATGGAAAAAATATAAAACATTCAGTATAACATGGGCGATAACCTCCACAGGCCACATTTATGCTTTATTTATTTCCCAATATTTAAGCAACAGAACACGAGAGGGAGTGTGTTATCGCGAAATAACATCGCGGCTGTGATTCGATCGCCGTAGATCATCACAGCTGTGATGTTATTCACGATAACACAGTCCTCGAGTGTTCTATTGCTTTTATACCACAGTTAAATAAATAAAGTAATAAATTAATAAACTGGGCCGTGAACGCGGCGTTTAATACGTTTTAATGTTCGCAGTTCCTTCAGCCAAATTATGGTTCCTTAACTAGCAGCTTGTTGCTACGTCAGAACAACGAGCTCCGCCCACTCACTGCTCAGCCGGCAGTTCGTTCTCCAGCTCCACACAGACCAACTGACAGTTTGGGAATTTAGTGTTGTCTCATCTTCAGAGTCTGACCAAATCGGCTGTCGGTCAAATGTGATCTTAAAAGTGTCCATTTTCAGTGGATACAGTGAAAAATGTTGTGGCGAAATAACAGCACGGTTAGAACGCCTCTCAACCAATCAGCTTGCGTGTCTGGAACTAAGTGTTGTATAATCAGCACATAAACAGTGATAGTGTATTAAAACGTGCAGTAGTGTGTTCCCTGTAGAGGACATGTTTACTTATTCACACTTAGAAAATCAACAAATCATCATTTGACCGGGGTGCTCAAACTTTCGCATCCGGTCTCACCTCCTCTCCATCTGGATTTTAACCACCTGCTCCTCTCTTTCCCGTTTGAGCCGTTCCAGCTCCCTGAACAGCTCTGTTTGTTCTGCATGCACCTCCTCCTCATCCTCCTGCATCTCCAGCACCTCCAGCACCTCTAACACCTCCTCCTCCAGCAGGGACTCCTCCAGCAAGGACTCCTCCAGCAGGGACTCCTCCAGCAGGGACTCCTCCAGCTGATGCTGGCTCTGCAGTGGCTCCTGTTGTTTCTTCTGCTTCTGCTGCTCCTGCTCCTGCTGATCCCTCTCGCGCTCCTCCTAAAGGAAGTGTATAAAATAAACACAAATGCACTGACAAGTTTCAGGTAGATTCCTATACAATACTGACTGAAGTTTAATGAAATCTTCAGTTCTTTTGGAGTCGACTCGTTTCAGCTGTTTCATGTTTCAGCAGTATATTAACATCATTACAAATTTTTTTAAGCTATAACTTAATTACATTTTAATTCTTGATCTTAAATTTATTAGAACTTCATTCTGGATATTCATTTTATTATAATTTTATTCTGGCTGTAATTTTTATTTAACTTTAACATGAATATTAATTTTAGATTTGTATTCTGGATATCAATTTTATTAGAACTTCATTCTGGATATTAATTTTATTAGAAAATCATTCTGGATAGTAATTTTATTAGAACTTTATTATAGATATTAATTGATTAGAACTTTATTCTGGATGTCCCTTTTATAAAATGTTATTTTGGATATTCATTTTATTAGAACTTCATTCTGGATATCAATTTTATTAGAACTTCATTCTGGATATTAAAATTTCAATCTGCATATTAATTTTATCGGAACTTCATTCTGGATATTAATTTTGTTAAAACATTATTTTGGATATTGATTTATTAGAAGTTCGTTCTAGATATTAATTTTATTTAGAACTTCATTCTGGATTTAAATTTTATTCTAACTTTACTCTAGATGTCACTTTTAATAAAACTTTATTTTGGACATTAATTTTATCAGAATTTCCATCGTGCTGTTAATTTTATTAGAACATCAATCTGATGTTCTACAGTTTTCCGTCATTTCAGAATCTTCTACAGATCTGTTCTTCGTTCTCCTAACATCTCTATATTTTTTATCTTCCTACTAATAATTTGACAGCTGTGCAGCTGAACAGTAGCACTGATATCATATTAGAACAATTTTATACACGTATCAGCAATAAATCTCATTAGAAATTGACTGAAATCTGTTAGAAAGCGATTCTAATCTTTTTAACAGGAGCCTATACACCCAAATGTTCATGCACACAGATGTTGATGTTATATCAAGCACACATGTACTGAGACTTCCTTCTGCTCAGCCACGCGCACCTGAAAACGCTCTTTCTCTGCGATCAGATCCCTCATCCTGCTCTCGATGTCCTGGCTGCGTCTGCGCAGGCTCTCCTCCTGCCGGCGGATGCGGAGCTGCACTTGCTCTGACTCCTTCCTCTGAGACTCCACCTCCTGCTGCATGCGCTCCAGCTCCGCCTTCTCACTCTTCTGCTTCTCCTCCATCTCCTTAATGAGACGCCTGAGGAACACAGAGACCTTCTTTAATGACGTTCACTCACTTTATGTACTCGGCTTTGCTTTATGGTGAGACTGGACAATGTTAATCAACCTGTAAAGTCAATGTCATGTTTAGTCACAAGTGGTCACCTAAATTTAACGCCAGGGCTGTGATTGTTAATCATTTTAGTAATTTACTGACTGTTTCCACAACAGAGCAAAAAACATATGTGCTGCATACGCAAAATATTTTAAATTGTGCATTGAACAGTGTATTGTAAATACACAGGGTAACATAGGGGCAAAAGCCCCCCTCATAATTTCTCCTCTGAACAAAAGATGGGCCGATCTAATCTTGACATTTTTACTGAATAGCGATGATCTGATTCATTTAGAAATTTCATTTTCAGGAATTTCAATTGCATTTCTGGGATTTACTCCCCTGGAAAATCTTTTGGGTCAGTTGATCTACAGTCATGTGAAGAAATGTCACTTTTATAGATTTTTTTTTGTGCTATAAAAACAAAACAGCCATCTGTTCCAGTTTATTTCCTCTAACTCTCTAATTGTGTGCAGGTTTTTGCATCACCATCACCGTCCATACTAAATTCATACATTTTTTTCAATAAAATAGACATTTTCCCCCCATATAAAACACATTTTTGTAAATATATGTGTTTATGCATTAAGCTCTGCATCACACGGTTATAGAGGCCTAGTGGAATTTAAAAAGATAAACAAGTACTTACTGTCAATTCATCAAAAAGGTAAAATTTTATTTTTTTTTATTGAATCTAATCGAGTAATCATGACAGCCCTATAGACATCACAGACCTTTTGTTCTCCAGTTTCTCCAGCTCTTCTCGCTGCTGCCTCTCAAACTCCAGTCTGTAAAACACGAGCAGCTAATGAACAGCATGTAATTCAACATATATCTCACACACTCGTGCACACTCAAAATACAGAATCACACTTTTAACCCTTAGAAGCTGCAGTTCTCAATCCATAATAAAATCATGCAGCAACTTAATATCATTTACTTCTCACTCACAGCTCAACGAAATGGAACAACGGCAAAGGACAGTGAGTGAACAGTGTTTAAACTCCATTCAGAATGATCCACCACCCGAATAGTACCTGCTCTGTGAGGGTCCATGGGGGTCCTGTCCACTGAAGAACAGGGTAAAAGGGGGCTAACAAAGTATGCAGAGAAACAGATGGACTACAGTCTGTAACTGTAGAACTACAAAGTGCACCTATATAGTAAGTGGAGCTGATAAAATGGACAATGAGTGTAGAAACAGGCCTACAGCGAAATGTCCAAATCTAAGATTTTACTGTCAGTTCCCTTCTCTGTTCAAACAGCCTGAGCAGCTGATCAACAGTGAAAATGTCAGCCATGTAGAAAAAGTTTACAGTTTATATGAGGAACACTAGACGAGCCATTAACAATTTCTGCTCGTGTCGGGTGTAAGGAGGGGGATACAACACCCAAAACCTTGCGCAAGCTGTATTCTGAGAGTTACAGCAGGGGGCGCTACAGCGATAACCAAGCCTGGCCAAACTATACTGTACCCTTAAAAAGCTCCTTATGGTGATGCAGGTTTGTTGTAACAGTAGCCAGTAATGCTTCAGACATTTAGCACACGGCTCTGAGAGTGAGAATAATCACACTTAAAGTTTTTTATAGGTTAGTAAGAATAGTTTTGATTCCACTTAAAACATGATATTCCACTTGAATGACAATTCCTGCTACCATGCAAACACCATCTGGAGCCTGGTTTTAGATTTTTGGCCCAGTGTGTCTTGAATTTCAGTTTCAGATAAGGATGTTCATTTCAGTGCATCGCTAGTAATTTAAAGGGTAAATTCACAGATTTTTCTGCATAATTAAATGGACGAGTTGTAAACAGAATTGTGCAGTGTAGAGAAACTCTAAGTCTTCGTAAACTGTTTTCTTTTTTATTGGCGATGAATTGAGAGGTCTACAACAAAAATATAGTTATTTACTATTTATTTACGGTTCAAAACAACCAATGAATCCTTATATGTAATGTTGATGATGGTAAAATCTGAAGAGATCTCTTTGAGGAACACCTTGCATGTACCTCTCCACCATAAATGTGTTTGAAAAAGTATATTTTAGGCCAAAACTTGATCTTAAAATTATCGTAAAACAATGTCTCGTGCATCAGGCAGCACTTTCTTAACCGTTTCGTGTAATAACTTTTTCTAAATCATTAAACTCTTCAGGCGTCTGGTTATCATCACCACCACTGTGAGCAATTCTGACTCCAAGTCTCGCGTTTCAGATGAAACCACTCTAAATTACTTTGTTCACATCTTAACCGTTTAATTATGCAGATTTTCTGAATAATGTGTGGAATTTCCCTTTAAATAGCATATCCAATCGACGATAACTGTAGACCTCTAAGGGTTACCACATTCTTCTCACTCGCACACAATCACACTAACACAGGGAATGAGCTGCTGCATACAAAGCAATGAGCCAGCACCGTTACACTGTATGTGAGAATTAAGCAGGCAGTGCAGCAGATGCAAAGATAAATCACATACATGTAGACATGCTCAAAACATAACAGTGAAAAAATAAAGTGGCAGGATCAGTCGAGTCAGAGGTGAACGATGAAGGTCACGAGCACCGTAAACAGGCAATGAAACTGAAGAAAAAAAAAACTACTTAAAAGCTAAAACTGACACTTGAGATACAAAAAAGAAAAAAACACAACAAATAAGTAAAAACAAACACAACAGTTGAGGTTAGAGACTTTTTGGGACTGGTTGGTCTACCTGAAAAATATTGGCACCTTTTCTGTGTAGAGACTGTCATCAGGAAACACAAAAGAAAACAAACAAAAAAATAATAATACTTTTCAGACCTGTTAGCCTGAGATGCTCACACATTCCAAACATGATATGCTGCCACAGAACTTTCATTATGTGGATATCACAAACGTTGCAATGTCACAAAGCAGAGTTTTTATGTACAACAACAGTCAAAAGTCTGGACACACTTGACTGAGTTAGGGATGCATAATATGGACATAAAATGCTGGACATGGCGAGGATGACATGCTCATAACAAATTACGATTACAATATCGTTTCTGCTAAACTAACCTCTCTCTCGAACAAAGAGCTAAAGACGGTATCACTATTGTGCAAAGTGCCAAACAAAAAATAATAAAGTTGTTTTTTAACGTGGCGACTGTGAGTGGAGGTGGACGATAAAGCAAAAAGATTATATCACGATACTTCAAGACAGTTTTCATGACGCATGATGTGTATCACGATATTTTGTTTAATAAGCTGGCACAGACAAAATAGAATGTGTAGTACTAAAAATACTATAATAATATAATAATAATAATAATAATAATCAATTACAATGATTTTATTTTTTTTTCTGTACAAACTGCACTAAATCCAATTCAACAGGCCTAATTATGATGATGATATAATATTGTGAAGCACATTTAACAAATCTACTTCACACAAGTGTATGAATGTAAACGCTTCAAGCTCCATGCAACTCCAATCCACAATGCAGCAGAACATATCTTAACAAAAACAAAACAGAGAGCTCATGTCACCCCCGCTTAGAAACTGTGGTGGCCGCCTGTGTCTGTTAGCATAGATTTAAGGGGTCCTTTACTAGATTTTAAAGCACCAAATGGCTTTAAAGCACCACAGTGAAAATATTTTAAAAACTGCATTCAGTATTCAGGCCTTAGACATTTACACAGATTATATCATGATGTATTTAAATTCACAGCATTAACTGAGATAGAAATAAGTTAAATGTACACACAGTTATCATTTACACACAGTACATTACTGGAAAATACAACAACGTCTGATTATAGCCAGCAAAGCAGAACATTTCTGTGATGCTTTTGATTTTACGGTGTACAGTCTAGTGGCAGACCACTTTAGAGAAGCAGCAAAAATCTGTCTTGAGTGTTCATAACTGCTACTGCGCAAAAAGGAGCGTTTTTGTGAGGCTTTGTCTTTACAGTTAAGTTTCCTTTATTTTGCTAGTGTAAAATGCTGCAGCAGTGTATTCGGTACACGTCACTCCTATTTATTGTGACTTTTAAGGTAAATGTGAACATGTGCATGCCAGTGAAATACCGTTTAAGGGCTGCAAGTTCAATAACACAAAGCTTGAGCATTACCAGTGAAGATACGCCAGTGATTTACTGGATGTGTGCCCAGACTTTTCACTGGTCTTGAAAGTGGCCTACAGGAGAAACTGTTACTACAGATGAGGTTAAAACCTAAAAATAAAAGAATTGGGGTCCATTTAGTGCCCGTGACATTGCAAAAACATATTTGAAAAGAATACATCAACCCAAAATGCTAGTGCTACTAACAACACATGAAAATTAGCAGGATTCCAGTTCTAATTACACATACAACACTCTTCCATTTGCTGGTTCCCACTGGCTTTCATTCATTGTTAGCCATGTTGGCATATTATCACTGTCATTAAAAAACCTTGCTTCCCTGAACAGGAAACTTTAAACAGAAGGACTTTTTACCTTAAAGGGGAATTTTATTTTATTTCATTTTTTTGTTTTTGATTTCTGCATAATTAGGTAAAAAAAAAACACAAAGCCATTCAGAGTGGTTTGGTGTGAAATGCTCCAGTTCTAGAGAAACTGACCAAGTCTCAGAATTGTGTAGGTGGTAGTAACCAGGCATTAAAAGTTTAATGCTAGTAAAAGCTACATCACAGAATGTTATTACATGAAACTGTCAAGAATACACTGCCTAATGGCCGAGACATTATTTTACAATAGTTTTGAGAAGGTTTTGGCCTAAAATGTATTTTTAAAATTCATTTATGGCACAAAGGTAAATGAATGGTGTTGTAAGGCAAAATAATCCTCAAAGAAAACTTTTAAAATCAGATTTATCTCTATTTTACAACCATGAAAAAACTAAAAAAACATTAACCTGTAAGCTCACTGGTGGTTTTGGATAGTTAATAAAATGGCTGTATTTGTGTTGTGGACATTGTGACCCCTGGTTCCTTTCACCACCACTGAGCCTGTAACTTTCTCTAGAACGAGCCAATTCACATCAAACCTCTCTGAATGACTTTGTTTATATCTCAACCACTGAGTTATGCAGGAATGTTGTTTGTTTAATGTAATAAACTTTCCGTTGATCCATTAATAATAGAACGTTTGGACAATGTTAAGGCCAGCTGAAGTGTAGATGAAGTATAAGGTTTTTTATGACAGTGTCAATACGCATATGGGTGAAGCATCCTTTCAAATCTGTGGGTATTGGGAGCTGTGGACAAGAACGTGGCAGGACGAGCTGTACCAGCAATGGCGTCGAAGAGCATGGAGCGAGAGAAGGATGGAGAGAGGAGGGAGGACAAGACTCCTATGGAAGAAGAGAGGGAGGAATGCTGAGGAAGAGGAAAAGGAGGAAAGGGGAGGAGAGGAGGAAGAAAAGACACTCATGCTGCTAGACATATACAGGTACTTACCCAGGATTATAGAGCATCACAGTAGAGAGGTTTTCACAGGACTTCGACAGATCAGTCATCGACAGACTGAATGAGGACAGCAGACCACTCTGAAACACAAACAGATCAGTCTTACAGACTGAGTGAGGATAGAAGACCACTCAAACAGATCAGACATACAGACTGAGTGAGGACAGTAGACCACTCTGAGACACAAACAGATCAGTCTTACAGACTGAGTGAGGACAGAAGACCACTCAAACAGATCAGACATACAGACTGAGTGAGGACAGTAGACCACTCTGAGACACAAACAGATCAGTCTTACAGACTGAGTGAGGACAGAAGACCACTCAAACAGATCAGACATACAGACTGAGTGAGGACAGAAGACCACTCAAACAGATCAGACATACAGACTGAGTGAGGACAGTAGACCACTCTGAAACACAAACAGATCAGTCTTACAGACTGAGTGAGGACAGAAGACCACTCAAACAGATCAGACATACAGACTGAGTGAGGACAGTAGACCACTCTGAGACACAAACAGATCAGTCATACAGACTGAGTGAGGATAGAAGACCACTCAAACAGATCAGTCATACAGAGTGAGTGAGGATAGAAGACCACTCAAACAGATCAGTCATACAGACTGAGTGAGGACAGAAGACCACTCAAACAGATCAGACATACAGACTGAGTGAGGACAGAAGACCACTCAAACAGATCAGTCATACAGAGTGAGTGAGGATAGAAGACCACCTTGAAACACAAACAGATCAGTCATACAGACTGAGTGAGGACAGAAGACCACCCTGGAACTCAAGAAGATCAGTGATACAGACTGAGTGAGGATAGAAGACCACTCAAACACAAACAGATCAGCCATACAGAAAGAGAAGGAAAAAGAAAGAAAAACAAAAAAGATGAAGAAGAAAGAAAATTAAAGAAAAAAGAAAGATAAAGTAACAGAGAAAGAAAACATGCAAGAAAGAAAGAAAAAGAGAAGGACAGACAGAAAGAGGGAGAGAAAGAAGAAAAGAAAGAAAAGAAAAAAAAAGAAAGAAACAAAGAAAGAAAAAGACTGACCTTCCTCTTCTCTCTCAGTTTGGCGGCCTCTTTGGGATGGTTAAATCTGAACATGTTGGTTCTGCCCAGCAGGATGACCGCACCTGGACGAGGAAACAACACCCCACGTTCAGTTTACACTGAGTGGCCAGTTTATCAGAAACATCTACCTTGCATGTTTCATCAGACACGCCCACCATATAGGTTCACTGTGTAGGTTTACAGTTCCAGACTGTAGCTCATCTGTTGCTACACAATTGAACTGAGTATTCATTGGAAAGACAGAGAATTCCTGCAGACAGATGTTCTGGTTTGGACGCTGATCAGTAGGACACACCTTCACATTTTGTGAAAATATGCAGGCAGAAACCTACGGGTATGCCTGAGCGTAGCTGCAGATACGCAGACACAGAAGTATGATTCAGCCTTAAGGCAGAAAGGCAGACAGTACTGACCTTGGTTCAGCTGACAGGGATCGGTGACCTGAACTCCATTAACAGAGCACTGAGCTTCATTCAGAGGGATCAGAGTTACAGTCCCATTCTGATTCTCAAACAGACAGTGTTCACTCTCCAGACCCAAACCATGAAGAACTAGAGAGAGAGAGAGAGAGAGAGAGAGAGAGAGAGAGAGAGAGAGAGAGAGTGAGAAATGACATCCAACAACTCAGACAAATACCTATATGACTGAGAAATCATCACCATATACCTCCTGCCTCCTCATAATTTCTAATATGCATGCAGAATATAGAGAAATTGTGATGAAAATGCAGATTGTAAACTTTCGAAGACTGTAAACTAATATGTAAAATTAATAACATTTGTGTTTGAGTGGAAGAGGAGATATATTATTATAATTTTAAATTTGATTAAGTTTTTGCTGTGTGTACATTTTTTTTTAAGGAAAACACACCTTTTACATTTTTAGCCATGTTTTCATAATTACTTGACATTAAAACTAACAGGGAAAAAGGGGAAAAGTGCATATTCTAACTAAGGCCCGATCAATGAAAATTTTGTGGCTGATACAGTTTTTACAGATTTTAGGGGGCTAAATATTCCAATAACCCATAATATTGGCTGATGTAATTTTATACTTATGTTTTAGATTTTAACTTCATTCTCCAACAGTTAGTAATGTTATTTTTTCCCTTGATGTCATGAAATGTGTGTGATTTTATATACCAAAAATGGTCATAATCAATATTTAAAAGGCCATTTTCCAACCTCTCTTTTTATTATAGAATGAGTCAGTCTGTTTTTGTTACTGTGCCTTTAAGACTGATAAATGTAAATGAGCTCTGTTCTGACTGGCTACTCTCGTATCGTGTCTCATATAAAAAGCACCCCAATATGAAAAGAACTTCAATATGAGTGGGTGGGGCTAAACTGCTGCTGCACACAGTTTATAAAGCAGCACTGGAGGGGGAGCTACCCAGAATGCTTTGTGCTTTTGGTTTGTTTATCACACTTTTGCATTATACAGAAAGAAAGACAGAATCTGGTTCTTTCCGCATCATATAATCAGATTTATTCACTAGCAGCATTCTTCACATTAACGTTACACAAGTGATCAGCCTTCCAAACCTCCTCCATCCCCAACACTTTCTAAGAGCATCAGGAGCTCATAACTCCAGTGAAATGAGGGCAAAATCAAATGGTGTAATATGAAAGCAGCTTTAATTTTTCCATTTGCAATAACAAGCTGTATAACTAGGAGAGAAACAGAAGGGTTTGGGGACAGAAGTGCTCACCAATGTCCTGCTCGTTGGTGGCATCTTCTCGGCCTACACACGTTCTCCCCTCCTGCAACAGCACATCACAATCCTTCTTACATCACAAAAAGCTTTAATCTTCCATATCGCTGTTATAAGAAAGCCTCGTATCTCCAAAATGGTAACTTTAGAGGAGAAGGAAATAACATACTGTAATTTTAATGTAAGTCAATGGAACCAGAATTTTTTCCAAGTTATTTTGAGCCGTTTCTTTTAGTCCATTCATCACGAAATTTACACACAATGTAAAGGACAACAGGCATTTTCAAATTATGTCAAAAACTGAAAAACGACAAAAATGGAGATATGAGGTTTTCTTCCAAAAACAGTGATATATTACCTCTGTAGTCTTTACAAAAACTCATCATGGCTTACTCATCGGAATAAATCAGAAATTTAATGCATGTTCAGAAACTAGACTTACTCAACAACTCAACCTCAACAACCTCTACAAATGCATATGTTTACATGTCATGTCATACTCACCTTAGCGCAAATTTAGTCAATCAGCCAAGACACGTTTTGTTTGCCTCTTTAGTTTTCTGTTGGAGCTACAAGGCTGATGTAGCTAACAAGTAAAAGATGTTTATGTACACCAATTACCATCATGCTAACTGCATGCCTAACTTAGGGTACCCAGACGTCCCTATTTTCCGGGGACAGTTCCCGTTTTTGGTGGCCCCTCCCCGACTGGAGCCGTCCCCAGAAATGTCCCCATTTTTAGCTGTAAATTAAAAACACACTAGAAAGTCCTAAGAAGCTGCAGCAGAGCAGATGGCCAGACGTCTCATGCTGTGCTTGTTTTGGCCAAAAGAGGGGGCTGCTGCTATCTACTGACCACTTCTACCACTTGCGCACCTAGTTTTAGAAAACAGTGTTGTGTAAAACTTGACCGGAAGCTAGATTGCGTCGAGTCCACAACGTCACAGCTTCACCACAAATGTCTTTTCAAGACAGAAAACCCAGCGATTAAAAGTAGTGGTGGGGTTACAGGACTTCATACTACCAGATGATCTGATTTGTATAGGCATACAATCTTTTTAATGTAGGCGACCATGTGATCTATAAGTAGTGCATCTTTTTCCATACATATATGATGTGTGGCATATGTTGACAGCAATCTCTGTCTCTCCAGAACCGGAGCTGCCAGGGGCGTGTTTATGATCTGGCTATTGAGCTATAGCCAAGGGTCTTTTTTCTGTAGCTGCAGGTCTCTTTTAACTGCCAAAATATTTAATATGAATATGAATAATAGGCTTATACAAACACTGGATCTTTCATGGTAAATGTATCCCTGCCTCATCCCTGCCTCATCCCTGCCTAAAGCGCTAGACTTAGTGACTTTTGAGACCCTTCTGACTTAACGACTTTATTTCTAAAAAGCAAAAGCAACAAATCCTGTGAGGGGGGAAAGCAAGAAATATAAATCTTCTATAGGACTACTGTGATTTATTTCCATGCATGCTGCTCTCCCCTTGCACCACGCGTATGCAGCAGTAAGTTACTTTGGTTATGGGAACAGCAGCAACTGTGTGAGTGGTAGTGCTGAAATCTTATAATTTAGCATATTTAACATGCAATTTGTTTAGCAAGCGTTGAGTTTCCACGGTCAAAACATGAAACTGGAACTGTTCCCCCTTTTCTTCATGGATAAAACATTATATATTTATATAATTTAATGATATATTGACCACTGAACTGGAAATGTCCCAGGTTTTCATTCCAGAAATCTGGTCACCTTAGCCTAACTGCTTCACACTTACCTTAAATCATATTGAGTGGCTCAAAATCACTAATAAACTTGCGGATGTGGTTTCTGACACTGTATGACATTCTGCTAAATGAATATAAAGCTCACCAGCACAGCTGAAACAGCAGCAGCCATCTTGAGGCCTGAATTTTGTCTGTACTTTTGTCAAATTTTTGGTAGTGTATAAGCAAGTCTGAGACTGGTAAACAACTTGACACTTTCAGACAATTGCCCAATGCTAATTGGTGCTTATTAGCTTCAATTACTTGTTAGCTACATTAGCCTCATAGCTCCAGTGCAAAAAGGTAAGAAGCCAAACATGACTCACAGATTATATTGGGAGCAATGGGGAAAAAGTGGAAATTTGATGTTCTGCAAAACTGCCTTTCAGAGTAACTGGGCTTTTGTGAAACTGACCTTTAAATGGTAGAGGATAATGCCAGTGCTGAGCAGGTCGTCATCGATGCCAATCAGATGAGGAAGTTCTGAGTCTAAAACCACACCAATCCCCTCCTTCCTAAGAGCTAGAGTCTGCTCCTACAACACAAAGACAGACAAGTCTCACACAAAACATTAAGACAGTCTCAAACAAACTCAGCAATAGAGACTAAACTCCAGTACTGTACAGAAAAAAAACTTCTAGACTAGAACCAAAATTCAGGACACTCAGACGAAAAACCAAAACCGAAAACCCAATTAAATTTAACTGACATTATGATGTTAATTCAAATGCACTGAAAAAAATGCTTTTTTATTATTGCATTTGAATTAACATAATAATGCTGACGATGCTACAAAGGTGATAACTGCCAGAAATGAGAAAACTAGAGGACTAATTTAATTTACAACAGCTTAGTATTATTATAAATAATATTAAATTGTAAAATATTAAAGTATAGTACTTCATGGTCTCTTAACGGCATCTAAAGCTGAATTCCAGAGTGCCTCCACTATAACAATGGAAAACACCTCATTTTCTAATATGTAAAGTGTGGGCACGTGGCTTTGGAACTCCCGTCTTGCAGGCTGAAGTTTTTCCAGCAGGGGGCATTCAAGTCACTTTAGTGTTCATCCAGAAACCATTAAACACAGAAATGGCCAATCCAAGTGAAGGAAATAAAATCACAGAGTAACACAACTACAAGACCTCAAGTAATCTGCTCCCATTCAAACAGGAGTATTAACTGTAAATTTATGCCTAGTTTTAAACGGCAGAGAACATTTCTTAAAACAGACGCCCTTAGGCTTGTGCACCAGTTTTATGTACAACACACAGACAGAACATTTCCGATTTTCATCCGAAAACTGGCGCAAAAGGCTGAGACCCTCAGAGTCATTACACAAGTTACTTCAACAGTAATGAGCAGAACCTTAAAGCAGTGCAAAGGCACCGAATCAATTTAATTCCCCTGAGAAACAGCACAGAGAACAGGCCTCGTACCTTCAGGATGTTCTGTGTTTCGTTCCATTTATTCGCCCACTCTTTCGTCAGTTCCAGCACCTAAAAAAGAAAGAAATATTCCAAGAATCTGCAACTGGCAAGATCGCTGGTTAAACCGCTTTGCTGCGATGGAGATGGAGGTGCTTACCCTGGCCTCGTTCTGGTGCAGTTTCTCCTCCATGCTCAGAGCCGTGGGAGAGTCCAGCAGCGCTATCTGGGACACAACGACAACAATTTCATGTTTTCTTACCCAAGATGACCCACAGAGATGCTCCATTAGCTGTATTAGCTCAACTGGAGTCACAATCCAACAGATGTGGCCCCTCAAAATCAGCCAAACTGTGCTTTTATTTATGACTGTGTAGGGCTGCTAAATGTTTCACAGATCCAGCTGACCTGTAATTTACTATCAGATTTTTCTGCCATTCCTTCTTACCACAGACATGTGCTGAGTAAGGGGCAAAATATAGTTACACCAGGGCACTGTGCTTCACTTAAAGGGGAATTCCACCAATTTTTCAAAATTTCTGCATTGAGCCGTAAACAGATTCATTCAGTGTGGTCTGAAGTGGTTTACTGGTTTAAATGGTTCGTTGTAAAGAAACTTACTGACTTCGATTTCTTTACAGTGGTGGTGATAGGAGCCAGGGGTCATGATGTCTACAACACAAATGTAGCCATTTAATTTACTTTCCAAAACCACCAACGAACCTTGAAGTTCTTATACGAAATGTAACTGTAAAATAGTGATAAATTTGAAGCTTTCCTTTGGGACTATTTTGCGTCACAACATCCTGCATAAATGCATTTTAAAAATACATTTTAGATCAAAACCTTCATAAAACAATGTGACAGGCATCAGGCAGCATACTGTTAATCATTTCATGTAATAACTTTTTGTGAAGGAGCTTTTAGAAGCATTAAACTCCTCAGACGTCTGGTTCCCATCACCACCCTTTTTCTAGAAATTTGATTCATCTTCAGCTACATCTTTGTTTACATTAGAAAAGGCAGCAGTCAATAAATAGGTGGTAGAAAACACGACACAATCTTTTTTTACACCAACTTTACAGCCATTTAGCCCTGATTCAGTGAACGAAAGACTACATAACAAATCTGACAGAAAGGAAGAGCTGGCAAAAAAATCACCTATGCCATCATTATATTTAATGTTGTTTTGCGTTTGTATTTCTACCAACAGAAGCCATAATATGGCTAGATAAAAAATGCATAAAATTAATATAGGGGAATATGGAAGTTGTAGGGAATGATGTTTTTGTTTGAACATAAAAAAGCCCTGGGATCTATTAAAATTGATACATTTAAAAAAGCTCTTGTAGAAACATTACTTTGTGCAGACTGGACTAGAATAATAATTAGTGAAACATAAACTGTCTGTGCCATATTACAAATTCATACTCTAAGATGTAATAAAAACAGTTTCTGAATGTTAATTGAACAGGTAAGTCACATAAAATGCTATAAGCATTACAGATGGCTTTTTTCTCCCAGTTGACTTTGACAACCAATAACTGCAGTGCTATAAGGAGTTATGAGTGACTCACTGGTGTGAAAGTGTGCTACACAAATTTAAAGATATTAATTTGTTTGTTTGTACGCTTATTGATATAGAACAGTAGTATTAAAAGTAGAGATGGCAATGATCCAATACCCAGCAGCTGCATCTGACTAAAACCTGCAGAAAATGCTGGACTGGATATCAGCAGAAAAAATATCAACAAATCAGATCCAACTTCTTAACAAATCTAGCCAGATATTTCCCAGAATTGCTTCTAAAGATGAACTAGTTTCATATAAATATGGAAATAATGCTATTGACTTTCAGGAAAGAAAAAGCTGATGATGTCGTCTCTAACTGAAAGCTCCAGACCTGGTTTCCCTGAACCAGCAGGGCTTTGAGGCGAGCGATCTCGGCCCTCAGCTCGCGGATCAGCCGCACGTTGGCGTCCTCGTTGATGGTGGGTTTGTTGATGATGTTTTTGGCACGGTTAGCATAGCGTAGCGTACTGAGGGTCTCTCCGTAGTTCACGTCTGCAGGAGAGATGGCTGAGGGAACAGAGGAAACAGTTAATCAGAATTTCCTTTTTTTGTTACTACTACTACTACTACTTCACTGCCGTCTTAAGAAAAGCTTTCATTATATATATTTTTACCATTTGAAAATGCCTGAAAATACCAGCTTTACACTGTTTGAAATATTAATGACAAAAAATAATTCTAGAGTCTCACTTTTAGATTCTAGAAGCAGAATTGTGCTTGACAATAACAGAATCTAAGCTGGCTGAGAGTTCTAGAATGGCATCCTTAACGCTGAATGGCATCCGAAACTCCGACAACAAATTAAACACTGGCTTTAGACTGGGAAGCTTTCATGCAACTTTAGCAGCTTGAAACAAAATTGCACTTGAGTTGCATGATGTAAAGTATCCTGCAACTCACTTGAAACTCAGCTGCAACAGTTGCAAGCTTTTCAACTTCATGAAACAAGTTTCATTAAACAGCCATGTGATCATATCAAATGTTATCATTTCAAATGACAGATTTTGCCAGACCAATGGGCAGGAAAATAAAGCCTCCTGATAAACTTCACGAAAGGTTGTAGTTTTTAATTTTGTTATTGTATGTTACCATTTGGAAGATATAAATAGTATATTGTAAATAGTATAAATAGTAAATAGTATAAATAGTATATTGTAAGTTACCATTTGGAAGATATAAATAGTATATTGTAAATAGTATAAATAGTAAATAGTATAAATAGTATATTGTAAGTTACCATTTGGAAGATATAAATAGTATATTGTAAATAGTATAAATAGTAAATAGTATAAATAGTATATTGTAAGTTACCATTCGGAAGATATAAATAGCTATATTATTTCTGTCTTCTCTCTTTTACACAGAGCTCAGGTTCCTTTGGGAATAAGAGGACGAACATTATTACAGAACGTTAGGCAGAGATGAATTTCGGTTGCGGTTCTAGGACAGGATGTGTGAGGCTATAACCGTAATGGCTATTCAAAAATGAATTTTCTACTAACTTGCGATCATGATGGTTTTGGAGTTTCCACCCAGACTGTCTTTGAGGAGCCACGTTAGAACAGAGTCTCTGTACGGGACAAAAACCTGCTTCTTCTTCAACTGACTGTTCCCTCCAATCTGAGACATATCAGCTAGAGAGCGAGAGAGAGAGAGCGAGAGAGAGAGAGAGAGAGAGAGAGAGAGAGAGAGACATCCAACAACTCAGACAAATACCTATATGACTGAAAAAATTAATCATCACCATACACATCTTGCCTTCTCATAATGTATAATATGCATGTTTTCTTTCAATGATAATTTACAGTGACGATGCCACACTTCATACAGAGACCACCCTTTAGTTTTTTAAAACTAAACTGGCCATTATGTACAAGTTAGTCATTTTTCAGGAGATATTTATGAGGAGATTAGATGCAATATAATCCATAAGCATAAGGAAGGAGAAAGTGAAAGGAAAATAAAAGAAAAAAACAGGAGTTTCCAAACTGGAGTTCTAAAAATGATTAAAAGCTACAGAGAAATTTGGACTCCTAAAAATCACCTGGAAGACCTGGTGGACACCAAAACTGCCCCCATCAGATAAACAGCACTTAAAGCTTTCATCTCTGAGAGAGAGGAGAAAATCAAGCTCCACTCTGGATTCAGATCTGAAAACATCCACAGGAGTTTCTGTCCATCCTTCCACTGTGAGACACTCAGCACTATGAGTCTGAAAGGATGTGTAGCTGTTAAGACTGAACTTTGGAGGTGTGGAAAAATATCCCTGCAGGGTAATAAAGGTAAAGAGTGGACACACTAAATGCTGCTTCTGTGTAAGTTAAATATGTTTTCTCCATTTTTCCTGAGGCTGAAAGATAAGTTAAAGGGTGGTCTCTGACCTTTGCACAGAACTGTATACATTTTATTTTCCATGCTTAAGCGAGCGTCTCCTTACCTAAGGCGGATATGACGTTGCCGAGGGTAACCAGGCTCTTGTTGATGTTGCCCCCCTCTTTGAGGCGGACGCCCGTGGCTCCTGTAGCGTCTGCTCTCTCGCTGCCCGCAAGATCCACCAAGTGGATCTTACTGACCGTTTCGCAAGGCATCTCTGCATCAAACTTGGCCTGAGGGTGGAGAGAGTGAGAGGAGACTGAGCTTGAATAGAATGAACGAAACAGAGCTGAGAGAGGGACACGATCAGATTATCATCACTGCTACTACTATTGACTCTGTCAGCCAGTATCTTTGTTGGGTGTGTTTATGACTTTTGTATGTAACGTTGTACTTTATACAGTCACGCCAGTTAAGCTGTTTTTAATAGAATAAAACTCAATGTGAACAGCACAGAATGCATGTGAACAGAATTAAGCATAATTAGGGATGCTCTGATATGGGAATTCAATTTTTCCATTCAATACTGAATTATCGGTCAAATTCTCCATCCCAGCGTTTTTACGTAAGAGCAGTAGGTAAGGGTCCTGCTGTGCGTTATAAAATCTCAACATCTGTCTCATTTCAAAATATTTTTTTAAAACAATTATTTGCAGATAATGATATGATTCCAATATTCAATATAAAAATACAACAGAATGCACAGAATACAATGCGTTAGACTAGAATAGACTGGACTAGAAAAAACAGAACAGGCAAATACAAAGTGAGTAAGAGGTTAAAGATGGAAGAACCTGAGGCCAACATACAGCAGTAAACCAGTATGTGCTCCCTGTATGAGTCAGCTGTGAAACCTGCCACAGCTCTATGCAGACGTCTGTACACATCTGGTCAAATTACATTTGTTGATTTCCTAAGTAAAAATAATTTAAAACTTTCTCTACATGGAACAAACGTAAATATGGCATTTTTCCAGAAAATTTTAGTGCACAGTTTCTCATTATTTGCTGAGTTTAACACATTGGGGAAAAAAAAACTAAATATAAAATGTGTCCTTTTTTTTCCCCCAATATGTTAAATTCGGTAAATAAAAATTATGTTAAATTCAGTAAATAAATAGTAATTGTGTGCTAAATCGTGCAGAAGTCTCTGTAGAGGATATGTTACCTTATTTTAACTTAAAAAAGTCAACTAAAAATATCATTTGACCAGGGGCGCACAAACGTTTGCATATGACTGTATAATGAAAGTATATGGATAGTCTAAAATGTCACCATTATTAATTTGCCCAAAAAACCACTACAGTCGTTACAGATCTCTGTTACCTGTGTGAAGTTGATGGTGAAGATGGCGTGCGAGCGGCTGCTGGCGTCATTCATGCCGGTGCTGGCCGTGGTGCGGTTGATGTTTCCCGCCTCCATCAGCTCCTCCACATCTGCGTAGTTCTGAACCAGGTGCTTCGACAGGTCTGAGAGGTATTATTCGACATTTTAGAACAACAGCGACGACGCCAAGACTATCAAATAACACATAAATGACTACAATCAGAAAAGCTATTCAGACCCACTCTACTTCATGACACACCTGATTGGCTCTAAAACATTAGCAAGGACTCACATTCCACTAATTACCTCTCACTGAGGCACTCACAGTAATTAGGCCCACATAACCACATAATGACTGTGGTTCAACATATTTCACAAAAAAAACTGCTGGACTTGGGGAGTAATCCCCCCCTTAGAAATCAACACTGCTAATTACACTTGCAAATTTCAAGATTATGAAAACCACACAAAAATATGACAAATGCAAATGTGGTTAACTTCCCTTTATGATTGCTAACTTCCTCTGTTAACTCAGGTTTAGATACTGAAGCTAAGATTTATCATAATGCACATGAATGAAAGTCTGATGTTTATGAAAAAGCAGCAGCACAAAACATCAGTGGTTAATATTTCAAATAAGGGAAAAAATACAACATAAACATGTACAAAGTCAAGCATTAATAACTCTGTTAGTGCTCACTGGAGTAATAACTGCTTTACATTCTTGAAAAGCAATATTCTTCACATGACTGATGCCATAAATGTCATAAAGAAAAAAAGTGACCTGAAAAAGGTCCAGAGGGGTCCAGCCCCATCAGAAGGCTGTCCTCAACTGCTCAGAAGCTCGGCCCTAATTGGGCAAAGAGCTGTTCAAACTTCAACAGCCATGGAGAAGGTTGTGTGAGCAGGATAATTTGCCATGGTGAAGTAGCCTGGCAAAAAAGTGATCCACCATCAAGTGACAGAAAACCCAGAAATGGACATGAGCCAAATGAAGATATAGCTTCTGTCTATCATGACCATGAAGTCGGGCGATTTGAAAGTCTAATAACATACTGTCCGAACATTTGTCTTGCGATCTGTTTCTTCTGGACGGTTTTCTTTTAATGTGTGACATTATTCCAGATCCTGAATCAGTTCTGATACGCTGTCTGACTCTCTGTAAAGGTAGATCTTTCTTCCTTCCCGCTGTCGTGCTTGTTAAATTGATAAAGCCGTGCTGCAGCTTTCCACAAATAGAATGGCTTACTTCATGCGACATCAACCTTGGCTTAAAATAGCTGTGCGTTACAATTCACTTAGCTATTAGAAACAAAAAAAAGACAATGCATAGCTAAAGTAGCAGCAGCCTTTAAGCTCCTTAACAGGGTTAAGCTGCAGCAGTTTTATTATTTTAACAGGAATTTGTTAAAACTACAAGCCAAAACTACCAAACCATACCAACAACTACCAATCCATACCAAGAATCTACCAATACACAACAGGAATCTACCAATCCATACCAGTAACAATGGTAGCTTCTGACTAGAAAGCATGTTTCCTCCAGTTTAAGGAAGCCCGGCAGGTAATGGAGTGTCACCACAGGCATCAGTGTATATTATAATGATTCTTACCTTCTACGTAAGGGCCGTCTTTGGGGTGCTCTCTGACTCGCAGATTAAACGTCTTGGCCAGCTTCCTCCTCAACAGGTCCCGCACACGCTCATTATAGATCTCCAAATAACTACCAAACATCACAAACAAAAACAACAGAGTTAGCTTAGCTTTCAGCACAGAACTATCAAACACTGTTTATGAACCGACAGCAAAACAAGCAGGGCTGTGTGTTTACAAGCTGCAGGTAACCTTTAAACTTTGAGCTCTGACCCTACTGTTACTCACCTGACCTCTGTTCGGAAAGAAGCTTCATCTCGGCGGGTCATCCCGGATATACGGGCGAACAGACCTTCACAAATCCGAGGAATCAACCCCAAGTCTCCCTTAAATACACACACAGGAGCAGTTAGAGCGACCCTGGCACGTCACTATTCGCATGAGCCAAGACTTAAAACTTACAATAATATTAAACACGGTTGATTTTGTCGCAGCGTCAAGACGAGAAAAAGACTGACCACCTCAGACTAAATGACTGAGATGATGCGAGTGCGACGCAACTCTAGCAAGACTCTCATGATTTTATTCCGACACTGGAAATTTGTCTTTGACAGTGAAATCGCTTGAAAAGTCGTTTGGTGTAAGGCCGGCATTAGAGAGAGAGAGATAGAGAGAGAGAGAGAGAGAGAGAGAGAGAGAGAGAGAGAGAGAGAGAGAGAGAGAGAGAGAGAGAGAGAGAAAGAGAGATGTGTGAGGCAGCTGAGCTGAGTTTAGGTAGTTGCTTGTCTGAATGTTAGTGTCGCTTTGAAGAGGAACAATGTCAGTGACTCCTTTGGGGAAAGCTATAATTTAAGACTGAAAGGATGGACGAGTAAAAGCAGCAGTACGTTCACAAAAGCAGAGAAAATTAAATACTGAGAAATTTGATTATACTCAGTTTGAGAATTCTGTGTACTTTTCTGTTAAATATGTTTTCCTGCTTTTGACACTGAAATATGACTAACTTGTATTTACTGACCGTGTTGAGTGGAAATTAAAGGGAGTTCTCAGACTGTTGTACAGTACTGTGTGACCCATTTACCCTGGTTCAGGAATATGTACGCACATTTACAAAAAAGGATCAGGTTGTTTTTGGCTCTTTAAAAAAAGCTCAGAAAAAAGAGCTTGGAGAGCTCCAGAAAGAAGGACTGAACACATGTCTTACAGGGTTCCCCATCATGGTATAAGACTTCCCTGAGCCAGTCTGACCATAGGCGAAGATGCAGGCATTATAACCCTCAAATGCTGCTTTCAGCACATCTGAACCCAGGTCCTTAAACACCTGAAAAACATACACAAACACAAATATCAAAGTAAAGACCAATGAACTTTGAGCACTGACTTAAAAACAACCCACAAATTGCTGAAATCTAGGACATCCAACCCTGCTTAACCTGGTTGGGGTTAGTTCCAGCCTTAATCTAACACACAATAGTAATATAATCCTGAATATCTTGATTAGCAGGATTATAGGTAACAGATTAAGGCAGAAATTGAACTAATGTGATGACGAAAGATGTCCAAAGCACTCTTACACCAAAAACAGTCCTAATTCTTTTGTTGTTGTCCTTTAAGACTGACGCATGTAAATGAGCTCCGTTTTGAATAGATACCTTGTATTGTGCTTTTTATGCGTCATTCAAAAAGCAGCCCAGGCTGAAATGTGGAGGAACCTGTAAAGCTTAGACTGGAAAAAAAAATACTTCAGCAGCTTCTTTTGTGTGTGTTTTATGTTTTGAAAAGCTTTAATGATCTATTTACTTCCCAACAGCCAGGAACAGCACAACGTTTAATCGTTTTAGCCACACCTTCCACTCCATTCCTATTGGGAATGGTCAGGACTGGCTAAACTGCTGTATGGACTGTATGCAGAATGGCCGGTCAAAGGTAAATGTGTTCACAGTTGTGACTGCCAATGGCCAGCGTCCAACGTCCTAAAACTAGAGAGCTCACACCGATTAAGACCCAGAGCACACTGTCCCATCATTCACAAACAACAGCATTTAAAACGGAGAATGAATCAATCGAGAATAGCATGAATGGTGGGGAAAAGATTGTACAATAGTGTGAATGTGGAGGAGAAGGTCGTAGAACAGCATGAATCGTGGGAGAACATTCTGGAAGAGGTTGAAGAACAGCGTGAATGGAGGTAGAGCATTCCAGAACAGAAGCCTGTAGAACAGTGTGAATGAGGGATAGAAGATTGTAGATTAGTGTGAAGGAGAAGACTGTAGAACAGTGTGAATGAGGGATAGAAGATTGTAGATTAGTGTGAAGGAGAAGACTGTAGAACAGTGTGAATGTGGAGGAGAAGATTGCAGAACAGTGTGAACAAAGGAAAATGTTCTAAAACAGTGTGAATAGTGGGAGGAAGATTGTAGAACAGCATGAATGTGGGAAGAAAATCTTAGAACACTGTTAGCAGTGAGGAGAAGATTGTAGAACAGTGTAAATGCAGAGGTAAAGATAGAACAGTGTGAATGTGGAAGGCAAGACTGTAGAAGAGTGAATGGAGGGGTGAACACTGTAGAACAGTGAATGGAGGGGTGAACATTGTAGAAGAGTGAATGGAGGGGTGAAAATTGTAGAAGAGTGAATGGAGGAGTGAAAATTGTAGAAGAGTGAATGGAGGAGTGAAAATTGTAGAAGAGTGAATGGAGGGGTGAACACTGTAGAAGGGTGAATGAAGGAGTGAAAATTGTAGAAGAGTGAATGGAGGGGTGAACATTGTAGAAGAGTGAATGGAGGGGTGAAAATTGTAGAACAGTGAATGGAGGGGTGAACATTGTAGAAGAGTGAATGGAGGGGTGAACATTGTAGAAGAGTGAATGGAGGGGTGAAAATTGTAGAACAGTGAATGGAGGGGTGAACATTGTAGAAGAGTGAATGGAGGGGTGAACATTGTAGAAGAGTGAATGGAGGAGTGAAAATTGTAGAAGAGTGAATGGAGGGGTGAACATTGTAGAAGAGTGAATGGAGGAGTGAAAATTGTAGAACAGTGAATGGAGGGGTGAACATTGTAGAAGAGTGAATGGAGGGGTGAACATTGTAGAAGAGTGAATGGAGGAGTGAAAATTGTAGAAGAGTGAATGGAGGGGTGAACATTGTAGAACAGAGAATGGAGGGGTGAACACTGTAGAAGGGTGAATGGAGGGGCGTAGATTGTAGAACATCTGTAGATTGTATGAATGTGGAGGAGATGATCGTAGAACCATGTGAATGTGAGGAGGACATTTTTTGGGAGAACACTGGTTCACTTTGCTCTGGTCTTAAAACCATCCATCGGTCTTGCTGTGGAATGTGTAGTGGGCTGTAGTGGGGAAAGCGCTGAACTCTGCACTGGCTCTAGTAGTGGGTCTGAGAAACACTGTCCTAAATTCACACTAAGACAGAAATATTTCCACTTTACCAACCCAAAAAGTAAGAGACCAAAGGGTAAGCAGATTTGGGCATCAAAGCTGATTACAACATTCACACACACCCCGTGCTTAGACTGCAGACCTAGAAACCAAAATCTCAAATATTTCCTCCATAAAAGTACACCAGCGGGAAGCAAGCCATCTCTGATGAACAGGCAGCAAATCACTGAAAATAATAAAAAAAAACAAAAAAAAATGTAATATTTAATATTAATATTTGAGTGCTATCTGTGTATCATGTGACTCTGTAAAATGGGACAGTTCATTGATAGGTTAATACTGTGCAACTTGATTAGTCATTTTAGCATAAGACATCCAGATAGAGCATGTATATATACATACATATATACATATATATATATATATATATATTGCTGTTGTAGGGAGAAAGCCTTGTATCCCCAAAACAGTAACTTTACAGGAGAAGGAAAAAACCTGCTTTACTTTTAATGTAAGTCAATGGAACCAGACTTTTTTCCAAGTTGTTTCAGTTGTTTCTCTTGGTCCATTCTTCATGAAATGTATACACAATGTAAAGGGCAGCTCAAGGCACATTCAAATCATGTTAAAACTGAAAAACGACAAAAATGGAGAGTTTTCTTCCGACAGTAGCGATATGCAAATATCCAACGATTCCAAAAAAATACTGGCGCTGATAAGAACAGGCACTCCAAATTTGGCACTTGGAATGCCTTTAACAGTTTTGTGTGCTAAAAACAGAAATTCACATGATTTTCTTCTTACCCCAAAAATATCAGCCAAGACACAAGACACACCTGATGTCCGAATGTGGGGTAGAAGATTATAGAACAGCATAAAATGTGGAGGAAAAGACTAGAACAGTGTGAACAAAGGAAAATGTTGAATGTGAATAGTGGGAGGAAGATGGTAGAACAGTGGGAATAGTGGGAGGAAGATGGTAGAACAGTGCAAATGCAGAGGTAAAGACAGTAGAATAGTGTGAATGACACACACTGGTGCTGATAAGAACAGGCACTCCAAATTTGGCACTTGGAATGCCTTTAACAGTTTTGTGTGCCGAAAACAGAAATTCACATCATTTTCTTCTTACCCCAAAAATATCAGCCAAGATACATTTGATGTCCGAAGTTTACTCATTCATCAGCATTCACTATATAAATGTATGGAGCAATGATGTTAATGCAGCAAGAAATGGGAGCTTATGTGAACCAATTAGCATCAAGGCAACTGTGTGCCTGTTTTATTACACACTTTGACAAAGTAAAATGAATGAAAGTACATTAGCAGAGCTAAAAACAGTAGTTGTCATCTTGTAGACTGAATTGTGTTTGTCAGTGTGTGTCAGAAACCATTCAAGTCTATTAGAAATTACTTAAAACTCAGCATTGTTTGAGGCAAGGAAGTGATCAGAGGTGCATCCAGAGGGGTGGCAGAGGTTTGGCTATCCCTGAAATCTGGTTGTCCATCCTGCCACCAACTCTGTGTCAAACGACCAGCTGATCAGAAAGCTTCTGTCCACTCAACTGGGAAAAAGCTGAAAGACACCAGCTGAGAGAGAAGGGAGTTTTGCAGAAGTGCAAAATGGTTTTAACGTTTTCTTCACATCCTTCCTGTACAGCTGTGGGTAGCTTGCATAGCCTCTTTGACGCTTATTCATTGCCAGGAATCCCTTTATGAACGTAGCTTAGTAAATGAGAGCAGGTATTTTGCATTTAATCCCAGAGACATTACTCTGATTTCTTTCATTATTCTCCACCACCCAGTTAAAACAGTCTTTGCCACAGTGACATGACAGGGGTGAGCAATATCACGATACACAATATGCATCATGATTTTTTGCTTTTCTGAGATTTAATAGGTTTTAACAGACAAAACAGAACTTGTAGCGCCACATATGCTCGTTGGTATGTTTCGGTTTTTCCATCTGAATTTTCATGACCAAATCGTAAGGCAAATTATTCAGTAACTGCATGAAATAAATGTACATTTTTGTGTTTTTTTTTTTTGGTAAAAGCTCCCCTCAAATTAACAGAACATGTGTTTTATGATCACACATATTACTATATGCTTACAATTTACTGCTGAAAGCCAAAAATCTCAGACGCTCTATGTATTATTTTATCAAAATATTTTTACAGAGCAGATCACTGAAGAGACGCCATCTGTTTATAGTTTATAGCCCAGATTTGTGGAAAAATGGGTCGATTTTCAGTAGACAAAAATTGTGAGTTCCGCTTCTTTTATTATAAGGGTTTAAAATTACATCACCCATCTATTTGACTGGAAAGAAGACAGTTACAGCTCTCATATGACCCCCACCTTCTGAATGTAGCTTATGAAATATGAAAGTTATGAAGAATATGACGAAATCCGTTTTGGAACCACCGGTGGTCTCAAGGAGTTGAAAAGGTTAAGTGTTCAGTTAGCACAGTGCTAACAGAGGAGGCATAAACGCCCTTCATTGTTAGCTACATTGGCCTCACAGCTCCAGTAAAAATAACTAAAGAACACCAAACCAAACAAGTCTTAACTTATATATCACTGCTGTCGGAAGAAAACCCTGTATCTCCGTTTTTCAGTTTGATGTCATTTGAAAATGCCTGTTGTTCTTTACATTGTATGTAAATTTCATTATAAATTGACTAAAAGAAACGACCCAAAATGACTTGGAAAAAAGTCTGGTTCCATTGACTCACATTAAAAGTAAAGTAAGTTTTTTCCTTCTCCTGTAAAGTTACCATTTTGGAGATACAAGGTTTTCTTCCGACAACAGCGATATTTAGGTTAGGGAGGAAAACAAATTTCACTTCCAGCTGGACAGTCATTTTGTATACTGGCAACTACTGGGCTAATATGAAAACCTTTACAGACTGGTCAACTGCTTAAAGTCAAATCTGAAATCATATCCAGAAGTGACATCATAACATCACCTTCTCTTGTGAGACGAATCGCGTGCTGGAGCGGTCACCCGAATCGTAGGAAAAATCATACGTAAACGTTTTAGTTCTTTCTCTCATGGAGTCTCCAGTCACACCGTCAGGAATCTGGAGTGGACGAAAAGAGAAAAGACAAGATGACACTGATCAGAAACATCTACTTTTCTCTGGCACGATGAGGGTTTCTGACCTTAAATTAAGAAAACAATACAAATCTGTTTAACTTTAGCAAGCAAATGATTTGAAAGTTGCCAACAGATACAGATAATGAACCAGATAATGCAGTTTCACTGGCTGTTAGCCATGTTAGCATTTTTTGTTGAAGCAGTCAAATTTGAACCAAAATAGCAAAACGTCACAAGCTAATAAAAGATAAGAAGCTCACATTAAACAAAAACACTGTGTGGGTTCATCATCTAAATTACATAGTTTCCATTGTTAATATAATAATTATTTGACTTTAACTAAATGATTAGCGAATGAGAAAATGCTATCTGGTTTTAGCTTTCACTGACTGTTTGCTAACTGATTCAACCAAAAAAAAAGGCAAAACAACAACTACATTTTACACAGACTTATATCAGTATAACTAACTATAACAAATGCACAATTTTATTAAACAGACAAATAGAAAAGAACATTTCACCCAGAAAGGCTAATGTGATGTTGGTAATGAATGAGTTAACGTTAATGCTGCTAACTGGGGTGTAATTACCTTTTATTGACTATTAGCTCTGTTTTTAATGTTTTCAACCATTTTTAACTTTTTCAACCAGAATTACGTTCAAATGAATAGAAAAAAAAGACAGTAAAAAGGCGGAAATTACATTTTGGATAAAAGCCTGTCATATTTACACTGTGAGGGTTTTCCACCACGATGCTATCTGGTTTTATCAGCCGTTTTCCACAGTTAGCCATAAAGTTCTCAGACTTACTTTCACATTTGTAATGGTGGTTTTGTTTCCTTCCATTTCAATGATACTCTGGGCAGACAGCTCCTTCTCACTAAGGCAGAAACAAAGAACACAGTTTTCATCAAGAAGCAGCTCACTGTCCAACTTTATATGCTGAATCCTGTGGCATCAAAAATGAGGAACATCCACCAGTACAGCTTTGTAAAACATTACTCCAGCATTTTCCAACTTAACCTCTATCGTGCTGCATCTGTAGCCCACGGTTCATTACTACAGACCACTGTTTACTTTTATTTAGAAATAAACAGAAATACAGTTTAAGAGATTAAGAAATACACTTAAAGAGAACCAGAGAACTTGTAGAGAGGAGAATTGCCGCTCTGCAGTGTCTTCAGTGTTTCTCAAACACCAGAGGGCGCTCCCGAGCGAGTCTAAAATGAATGGGTTGATATGGAGCATTTGAGCAAAATCATAGTTTATAAATGCTGAAACATTTTTAATGTAAAAGAATACAATCATTTCCTGAACACAGAGCAGCATAAAACATTTTAACACTGCTGTTATATTTTTAAGAGTTTTTAAACTCGAGTTATAGGAGTTTAAAACGGCGCCTCATGTACGTTCATGACGTCTGTGAGCGCGAACAGCCAATGAGCTGCTCCGCTCACCAACCAATCAGCACTCAGTAGCAGTAATGCCAGTGTTCTGCTGCCCAAAACCCGTTTGCTGCAGAAAGAAAGGAAATATATAGGTGAGTTTTCTTTGCTTTTTTAGTGAAATACATCGTTCTGGGCGAGTGATTAGAAACTATTTTAACTTTTCGTTTTTAGCCAATGAGCTCCATTCACCCCCATTCATTGAGGACTCCCTCGCAGGGCGCCCTCTGCTGTTTAGCAGTCCTGTTTTTGATATAACGGGGGAAATAGGAAGTGGCCAGGCTCCTCATAAACCAGCTCTGGAGTAACTACACCCCACTATTTTCAGCGAACTCCACCCCTGGCTCAACTTTGAAAAATGTTCAAAAATGGGAGGGGCACACTCAGAGGGGCACTGCAGTGATGTTTGGGTTTGGAGGTGGGGCTGCAAGGGAAACCGGGTGGGCTGGGCTGCTGTGTTTTTATAGCTAACAGAGTTAGCTACCAGAAAATATGGAGAGAGACAGAAAATGGAGAGAGACAGAATCAAACAGCACTTTTGCCACTGAGACTGAATATTTTCCTCCACTACCATCCCCATTTGTAGGGGGAGTCCTGATTTCTTAGATGCACAGAATTCCGAATGAATAAAGTGGATTTCTTTGAACACTAAGTTTCATTCAGTTTGACGTCAAGGTCACAGACTGCATCACTGGTCAGGGTTTGCTGCAGTGGCCCTAAATCCTTACGTTCTGCAAGCTGTTCATGGCACTTACCGGTGTTACATCCGATTCAGTTCCCACTCAAATTCACTTTCCCCTGTATAAACCGAACTCTCGGTCGCCGCACTCACTGAACAGAAATCAACAGCAAGCAGCACTGGAACTACGGAAAGCAGAGAAAAAGTTGGAGAAAGGCTTTATAAATGAAAGGCTGACACAGTCGATAACAGTTGGCCATTTAACGTTAACATTTCCTGAACCGTTTCGCTTTCCGCAGTTCCAGTGTTGCTTGCCGTTGATATCTGTTCAGTGAGTCGCACGCCTGAGAGTTTGATTTGTGAAGGGAAACATGAATCGGATGCAACACCAGCAGATTTATGGAGAGTTGCAAGACTCCTCGCCTACTCGGTCCAACACCTTTATTACAAACTAAGCTCAGATTAATTGGTTATTTACAGTTGGTACAGATATCTGGCATATCACAGTCTTGTACGGTGGTGCTGGGGGTATTTAGCTCAGCGCGGGAGTGTGGCTATCTCCTCACTCTGGGCTCCTACGCTTTCATATTTATGAGTGCGGCACGAGCAGGGCGTCATCAGGTGGCAGTCATGTTGTTTGTCTGATTTGCATACTGTGTTGAACCAGAGGGGTTCTGCAGAGGCGGAACTGACCATGATAAAAATGATATTTTACAGTTTTGAAAAATGTGTTCACGCTTTAAGCAAGGCTGGTATATTTTATTATTACAGAGAGGTGCATTTCAGCTGTTAATGACAAAAGGTCTTAGGGTGTAGTTACTCTTTAAAATACCACAGCAACTATCAAGCACTTCGTAACACTGTAGAAACAATGCTAACAATGCTAATGATGTAGCCAAAACACCACACTAACCAAGAACTGCTTAGGAACAACCGAGCAGCCACCTGGAACACCATATCAACCATCTTAAGACCAGTTTAAGAACTTAAAACCATATCAACCATCTAGCAGCCGCCTACCAACAGCCCTAGAAACCACATGCAACACTATAGCAACCTCTTAGCAACAACCCAGCAACCACCCACAATACCACTGAAACCATTAAGGAACACTCTTGCAACAACCTGAGTACCACAGCACTGTGTAACAACCAAACAATGAAAATAACCCCTTTAACGTAAAAAAACCTGAAACCAATCGCATAAATAACCCACCACCCTCAACCACTCAGCACTATATGAAATCAATTAAGATAAAAACGGTTTACAGTTGCTGTAACTTTCAAATATTATTAGCTGGCTTTTTCAAGCCAACTTAGAGTTGATCATAAACTTTCCCCTTTGAGGTTTGAGACTACGGCCTTGACAGGGTATCTTTACAAACACACACACACACACACACACACACACACACACACACACACACACACACACACACACAGCTCAAGAGTTTCTTTAGTGCTCCAAAATGTTTCTTTCTAAACAAATATTCTACATCTGACCTCTGAAATAACCACATTTCTTCGAGCAGCAATAACAATAGACTTCATTGAACTACAACAAACCATTCATAATAAATCCTTTGAAGCGTCCAAAATACTTTACTGGAACAAGCAGGCCTTTAAAAAGACTTGAAACTGACCATTGATGAAGGGCTGGAGCAGCAGTTCTTAAGACTTAGACTCCCTTTGTGGACAGTAAGTGCCACTGTGCCCCCTTCTCGTTCCCCCTCAACCCTCGAGGACCATGTCTTACCAGAACCTTGGCCATTTTGATGGCTTTCTCTGCAGCTATTGATGACCTGAACATACACTGACCCTGTTCTGTGACAGAATAGTCATTAAGTGGGGGCAGTATGGCTGTGAACTGTGATTAGCTGGCATTGGTTGGTATTTCATTTTAGTAATAAATTTAATAACCTCCACCATTTGTAAACAATACGGTACGGCCGAAGAAGATTTTACAAGCTAACAAAATTCAAACACACTAAGTAGAGAAGGAACTTCTGAGATGTTTCCTTAGCAGCGCCCCCCCCAGTTTGAGAACAGCAGGGGTGTCAAACTCAACCAATAAAAGGGCCATTTTAAAAAATCCGGGCCAGCTGTGTTTTTATTTCATTTTTAATTAATATTTTGCCATGACCCGAACGTATGGAGGACCAGATTAGCCCAAATGAAAAATACATAAAATTAAAAAATAAATGGCTCAGTAAATTCATTAATGAATAAAAAACTAAATTAAGTATATATTGCTTATTCTGATTGTAATTATACACATATTTCCTGTTTCTGAATATATTTCTCAATTTATTTATTCCTGTATTATTTATTTTGTTTTATTAATGCCATTTTTATATATATATTTTTTCCATTAATTCATTTATTTAATTCTGTATTTCTTTGTTCATATGATAATGAGGGGGCGTGTTTTTCACGATCAGGCTTAGCAATCAAGCCCAGGAGGATGAGAGCTGATTAAACTGCTCTTTCACTCCATAAAGAACTGCCCGGACAGACAAACTGCCGACAAATAACTCTCGATGGCTCCACAGGCAGTGTGTGAGAAGGGCGTCCGAATGTCTGAGTTTGATCTGAATTGTGCAGAAAAAGACGATGAACCGCCTCCTCCAAAGTTCTGAACACTACAGGTCGACCTCTGTATCAGCAGAAGCAGCTAAATGGACCAAACTGTCCCCACAGCCTCCACAGGAAAGAGTGAATAATCCAGACCTGCATTTTCAGCCAGATCAGCCGAGACTCTCTGATCTCTGACTGTCTGCTGCTGTAAGCAGCTATTTTGTCCTGTGTTGTTCTTAGTTACCGCTGAGAGAGCAAGACATGAACAATCGATCTACAGAATCTGACATCGATCAACCAATAGGGATATTAAGACACTGTGACATCACAGATCGACAGCCCCTTTTTAGCAGAAGGACAAGGAAATGCAGAAACAAATAAATAGAGAAATACATAGATATATAAATTAATAGTTATGGAAATAAATGAATTAAAAAAAGGAAAAAATTGTAATAAAGAAACATAAAAATGACAACAAAAAAAAATACAAAAATTAGTGAGAAGGGAAATTACTAAATAGACATATAAACAATTGCAGACATAGTAATTTATGTAAGGTTTTATTTATTAATATATTAAATTTATGTATATTTATTCTCAAATGTATCATCACTATTCTTTGCTATTCTAATTCATATATTAATTTACTAAGTCGTTTATTTTTAATTTTATTTATTTTTGATTTTGGCAAATCTGGTCCTCCATACGAACGGGCCATTGTTTATTCACAATATGCCAAAACTGCAACAGCAAAATATTTCTATATAATATAATTCTAAATTATATAATTCTAAATAAAAACGAATTGATTTAAGTAGTTTTTTATTTTTTTGAACTGCCTATCTTTTCTTTTGGTGTAACCGCTGTTTTTTGTTGTTGGGGACAGGGGTCAGAATGCACACTATGTTGCAGTGCATGCTGGGGACTGCAGTGCATCTCAGGGTGAAACAGGCTAATAAGAATAGAAAATCAATCATTTCTGTGGGCCGAATAGGACTGTGTCACGGGGCTGACTCGGCCCGCGGGCCTTGTTTGACACATGGGGGCAGAGAATGACTGACAGTCTCTGATTGTACACCTACACAGGAGACGAACAAGGCAGGAGAACGAACCACCGCCCAAATCATATCAGGACAGTGGTGGTCCTACGCTGGTCCCCTTCCATTGACGGATGGGATAGAGGGGGGCTGATTAACTGTGCAGCAGATGGGTTACAGCCTGTAACTATGCACCTATATGGCAGGTATTTCTGATAAAGTGGCCAAGGATGAGCACAAGTCTTTCACATGGTGTTTCCATAATTTTGTCCAGTATATTCTTTCTGTAAGCGAGACCAGTACGAGAACCTAAAACAAGCATTATTATGCAAACTACCAGCAAATGGCTGCTGATTCAGTGCAAAGGTAAATTTGAATACGTCATTAAAAATGTATAAATTGTGTAATATATTTTTACTGAAGAGATTCCTACCAAACACACCTGCCTAAACTAGAAGCTCTTAACTCCTCGCCAGCACCTGACCAGCAGCCGCACCCTCCACGTGTTTGAACAGACGCACTGTAAACAGAAAATTCACGACCGCCTCTGATACCTACACACAACACAGAGAGGCTACTTTAGGACACCTGAGCGCTCTGCTCCACACGCATTTACAGGAGCACTGATCACATAATGAGCATCAGGCAGATGAAGAAAACAAACCAACGTTCCTCACATGCCAACAGAGCTGCATTCAAAACGAATGAGCGACTCTGAGTCACAATTTCTGACTCCCACAATTTACTGACTCAGCTAAAAAGCTTTTTCCAAATCCCTCAAGCATCAGGCTGTTTTTAACGGGAGTGGGAGGGCGAGTGCAGATGCCCAGCAGAAGATGCAGGATTGGATATCAGAGGAAAATAAGAGAGAATCTGATCTGACTCCAGGCTGAAATATGACAGAATTGACTGTAGCACAACACATCATGAAGCAAAGCGATGATAACAGTCGCCACACGAAGCCCAACGTCAACAAAAGAGCAACAAGTAGCTCATTACACATTATATATCCTATATATATCCTCGATGTCTCACTCAAACTCGACTCTCCTGTCAGCTCCTATGTTAAACTTACGCAATAAAGCAAAAATCTGACCATCTCTCTCCCAGTCAGCTGCTCAAACTCTCATTCATGCTTTCATTTCTAGCCATCTAAATTACTGCAGTTCTCTTCTTGCAGGCATCGGCTCCTCATCACTTCATAAACTCCAGACGGTTCAAAACTCTGCTGCTCGTCTCCTCATTTACACCCGGTCACATCACCACATTACAACTGTTCTCCAAAACCTCCACTGGCCTCCCATAAACTATCGTACTCATTTAAAGATCCTTCTTTTTACTTATATAGTTCTCAACAATCTTGCTCCCTTCTATCTCTCTGACCTTCTCCAAGCCTACGAGCTCTCCGTTCTTCTAGCGCTGGTCTGCTCACCATTCCCTCCTCTAAACTCCACAGCTTTGGTCATCGTGCATTTTCAGACTAGCTCTGTGCCTCTGGAACTCTCTCCCTTCTCATATTCAGCTGTCTAATTCTCTGTCCTCATTTCGATCCAACCTTAAAGCACATCTGTTCTGTCTGGCATACAGTCTTCCCCCCATCCTACACTATCATAGCTCATGTTAGTTCGTCATCTGTGCTGTCAATACGTATCTCTGTCACTGCTGCGTCATCTGTTATATGTTGTTATGTGTTTGTTTCTTGTGCCACTAATTATAATCTGTAAGCGTCTTTGGGTCCCAGAAAAGCGCTACACAAATGTCATGTATTATTATTATTACTATTATTATTATATTCAAATGACAATTCCTTCAGAAGGCCGTCTTAGTGAAGTGTTTAACCTCTTATTGACCAAGGTATATTTTGGTTTGTCCATCTGAATTTTCATGACCAAATCGTGAGGCAAATTATTCAGTAACTGCATGAAATAAATGTACATTTTTATTTTTATTTTTTTTTTGGTAAAAGCTCCCCTCAAATTAACTGAACGTGTGTTTTATGATCACACATATTGCTATATACCTAGAATTTACTGCTGAAAGCCAAAAATCTCAGACGCTCTGTGTATTATTTTATCAAAATAATGTTTACAGAGCAGATCACTGAAGAGACGCCACCTGTTTATAGTTTATAGCCCAGATTTGTGGAAAAATGGGTCGATTTTCAGTTGACAAAAACATTGTGAGTTCAGCTTCTTTTATTATAAGGGTTTAAAATTACATCACCCATCTATTTGACTGGACAGAAGACAGTTACAGCTCTCATATGACCCCCACCTTCTGAATGTAGCTTATGAAATATGAAACAACAAATACAGCAAATTCACAAGCAGGAAATCCAATAGCAAAAACAAACAAGAGCAGATGAGTTTTTACCTCTGTTTGAATTATGGTTAAGGGTATCTTTACTCAAATCTAAATGTGGCCAACAATCATCAATCCACATATTCAATATGTGCAAATGAGTTAATAGCCCCTTTAAAAGAGGGAACTTCATAGGTTGCTAAAGATTTTTTGCACAATTAAATGGTTAAGTTGTTAAAGTCATTCAGAGTGGTTTGATGTGAAATGGTTCATTGCAGAGACTCAGATGTCTTTACAGTGGTGCTGATGGGTCACCATGTCTACAACACAAACATAGCCATTTTATTTACTGTCCAAAACCACCAGTGAACCTACATCTTCTGAGTTTTATATGTAATGATGATGGTGGTAAAACAGTGGTAGATCTTAAGAGATACATTTTCTTTGGGGACTATTTTGCCGCACACCCTGCATGTCCCTCTCTGCCATGAAAAGACATTAACAAAAGACTTTTCAGGCCAAAACAATATTATATAACTATCATAAAACAATGTCTCAGATATCATGCAGTGCGTTCATAACCATTTCATGTAATAACCTTTTGTGAGGGAGCTCTTAGAGGCATTAAACTCTTCAGACGTCTGGTTCCTACCACCACCACCACCACTGTGAACAATTCTGACTCAGCAAGTTTGTCTAAAGCGCAGCATTTCACGCAAAACCACTCTGAATGACTCCGTTTATACCTTGACCATTTATTTATGCTGAAGTTTTGTAAAATCGGTGGAATTCCGCTTTAATGTCTCTAAAAGCTCCCTTGCAGAAAGTTATTATATGAAATGATCACAAATATGTTGCCTGATATCTAAGAAATTGTTCTACGTTTTTTGCTTGACATGTATGTTTAGAGTCCATCCATGGTGGAGGGATACATTTAGGACGCATTGAGGCAAAATAGTGCTCGAAGAATTTTTTTTTTTCCAGATTCTTCAAGGATTTACCAACATCAACATTACATATAAAACTGAGAAAAGACACGCGTAGGTTCACTGGTACGTTTGTACAGTACATTCCCCTGGTTCCCATCAGCACCACTGACTCTCTTTACATCTCAACAACTGAATTACGCAAAAATGCTCAAAAATCAGGGAAATCCATCCTTAATGTAAACTACAGTAGTGTGGGGATGTGTTTGGGTAGTAGTGGGGTTAGTTTAATGTGTGGGATCTGTGAACGAATAAACTAGCTAGAGAGGAGCGGAGTTGTGGTTGAGGAGCGACGTAATGTTAAAAAAGAGCTCCAACAAATTTCAGAATTTCTCTATGATTTAATGTGGAAGATGTAAACAAAGTCTTTCAGAGTGGTTTGGTGTGAAACGCTCTGTTCTACAGAAACTTACAGAGTCAGAATTGTTCACAGTGGTGGTGATAGGAACCAGACGTCTGAAGAGTTTAATGCCTCCATCACAGAGTTATTACATGAAGTGGTTATGAAATACACTGCCTGCTGTCTGAGATATTGTTTTAATAAAGTTAATGAGTTTTTAAAACCCATTAATGACAGAGAGGTGCACGAAGGGTGTTCTTAGGCAAAATGGTCCCCAAAGAAAGCTTATTTTTGCAGATTTATGACTATTTTATCATCATCAACCTAACATATAAAAGCAGTAGACTCGTGTAGGTTCACTGGTGGTTTTGGAGAGTAAATAAAATGGTCATATGTGTGACCCCTGGTTCCCATCACCACCACTGTAAAGAAATCAGTCAGTGAGTTTCTCTACAGTGAACCATTTCACGCCAAACCACTCTGACTGACTCTGTTTACATCTCAACCACTGAATTACACAGAAATTTTGAAAATTCGGTGGAATTCCCCTTTAATGCAGGCGCTAATGTTAATGTTAGCTAGTCATGATATTAGTGCTCTCACCGTGTGTTCATGGGCCGGACCCTCACGGCCACTCTCACCGAGGCCATCCCGGGACTCCCGGTCAAACCGGAGACTGACTCACACCGGCACTTTCTCGGGCTCTGCGGAGAAAAGCCACAGCAGCGTCCGCCTGCATTTACACTGACACCAGCGAACCCGCAGCGGGCAGCAGCAGCGGGAAGACCGCCGGACACTAGCGGACCCTCATAGCCCCGGACTCGGCCAGCGGAGGACGGAGAGACTCGCGGTCAGAGGGGAATAAGACTCAGAGGGGGAGAGGAACGGAGTAAGCGCTGCCTTCTCGCTGTTTCTGTTTACTTCTGCTTTTAAAGCGCCTCCCTCACGACTGGACACACTACTCACCCTCTACTGACCCCTACCGGAGCGGAGTGGGTGTGGAGCGCTGGCTGTGTACAAGAGGGGAGGAGACCCGTGAGATTAAAGGGCCCATACCTTCGTTTTCTACGGAGCCCCGCTGGCGACATCCTGTATAAATAAAAATAATGCGTGGATACAACTTAGTAAGGCGTGGGAATAGATGATTAAGTCGTGGCCACGACTTAGTACAGCGTGGGAACGAGATCCTAATGCATGGCCATGACTCAATAAGCTGTGATCTCGTTCCCATGCCCTGCTAAGTCATGGCCACGACTTAATCATCTCATTCCCACGCCTTACTAAGTCATGGCCACGACTTAATCACCTCATATCCCACACCGTGGCCATGCATTATTACGGAGCCCCGCTGGTGACATCTTATATAAAGAAAAATAATGCGTGGCCACGAATGGGAATGAGACGATTAAGTCGTGGCCACAACTTAGTAAAGCATGGGAACGAGATCCTAGTGCGTGGCCACGACTTAGTAAGGCGTGGGAATGAGACGATTAAGTCATAGCCACAACTTAGTAAAGCGTAGGAACGAGATCCTAATGCATGGCCACAACTTAGTAAGCCGTGATCTCGTTCCCACGCCTTACTAAGTCGTGGCCACGACTTAATCATCTCATTCCCACGCCTTACTAAGTCGTGGCCACGCATTAGGATCTCGTTCCCACGCGTTAATAAGGCATGGCCATGCACTATTTTTATTTACACAAGATGTCACCAGTGGGGCTCCGTAAGTAAGGCATGGGACTGAGATAATTAAGTTGTGGCCACAACTTAGTAAGGCATGGGAAGGAGATCATGCCTTACTAAGCTGTGGTCAAGGCCTAATCATCTCATTCCCAACACCTGCTAAGTCGTGGCCACGACTTAATTATCTTGTTCCCACGCCCTATTAAGTCGTGGCCGCACATTAGTTTTATTTTTACGTGATGTCACCAGCAGGACTTAGCAAGACGTGGGAATGAGATCCTAACGTGTGGCCACATGTTCCCATGCCTTACTAAGTTGTGGACACTTTTTAAAGAGTGAGTCAACACTAAACTACTTTATTTATCTGAAATATACATATTATATACATGTGCTTACATTTAGATTAGCTGCTTGATTCTTTCAGCTGTAAGCTGTGTTTATTTGTACTTTTATACTCCAGTACCTGATTGTATCTGGACTTGTCTCAAATCGCAATAATGTTATATATTTTATTTGCACAGTGAAAAGAACGTCCTTCCTCAACGTCAGACCGCCCTCAATAACAGCTAGATTTAAAACATACATTTTTAAAGTTACAAATCCACAAGTCTCTCTATCTCACAGTATCAGGGAAAAACGGTCTTACATATTAAAACTACATTTCCCATGATGCGTTTTGCTCAGACGCTTATGAGTGACGGACATGATCTGCGCCTAGCGCCGCGCGGTAAAATAAACGCTGGGTGGGCTCCGCGCTTCGTCGGAGGGTTTCGGTGTTTAAAACAGGTCTCTGAAAATGTTCAGCAGCCCCCGAGGAACCCCCGGCTCGGGCCGGCGGCCGGGACCGAGAACCGGCGGCAGGAAGAGTCTGAGCGGAACGAGCCTGCTGTTTTCACCCAGGAGGGGTTCACACACAGCGGGGTAAACCAACCTTACACACCGGTACCGCACGGTTAACTAACCCTACACACCGGTACCGCGCGATTAACTAACCTTACACACCGGTACCGGGCGATTAACTAACCTTACACACCGGTACCGCACGGTTAACTAACCCTACACACCGGTACCGCGCGATTAACTAACCTTACACACCGGTACCGGGCGATTAACCAACCTTACACACCGGTACCGCGCGATTAACTAACCCTACACACCGGTACCGCACGGTTAACTAACCCTACACACCGGTACCGCACGGTTAACTAACCCTACACACCGGTACCGCGCGATTAACCAACCCTACACACCGGTACCGCGCGATTAACCAACCCTACACACCGTTACCGCGCGATTAACCAACCTTACACACCGGTACCGGGCGATTAACCAACCTTACACACCGGTACCGCGCGATTAACTAACGTTACACACCGGTACTGCACGGTTAACTAACCTTACACACCGGTACCGCGCGATTAACCAACCCTACACACCGGTACCGCGCGATTAACCAACCCTACACACCGGTACCGTACGATTAACTAACCTTACACACCGGTACCGCGCGATTAACTAACCCTACACACCGGTACCGCGCGATTAACCAACCCTACACACCGGTACCGCGCGGTTAACTAACCCTACACACCGGTACCGCGCGATTAACTAACCCTACACACCGGTACCGCGCGATTAACCAACCCTACACACCGGTACCGCACGATTAACTAACGTTACACACCGTTACCGCGCGATTAACTAACGTTACACACCGTTACCGCGCGATTAACCAACCTACACACCGTACCGCGCGATTAACTAACGTTACACACCGTTACCGTACGATTAACTAACGTTACACACCGTTACCGTACGATTAACTAACGTTACACACCGTTACCGTATGATTAACCAACTCTACGCACGATTAACTAACGTTACACACCGGTACCGCACGATTAACCAACTCTACGCACGATTAACTAACGTTACACACCGGTACCGTACGATTAACCAACTCTACGCACGATTAACTAACCCTACACACCGGTACCGCGCGATTAACTAACCCTACACACCGTTACCGCGCGATTAACTAACGTTACACACCGCTACCGCGCGATTAACTAACCCTACACACCGTTACCGCGCGATTAACTAACGTTACACACCGCTACCGCGCGATTAACTAACCCTACACACCGTTACCGCGCGATTAACTAACGTTACACACCGTCACCGCGCGATTAACTAACGTTACACACCGTCACCGCGCGATTAACTAACGTTACACACCGTTACCGCGCGATTAACTAACGTTACACACCGCTACCGCGCGATTAACTAACGTTACACACCGTCACCGCGCGATTAACTAACGTTACACACCGCTACCGCGCGATTAACTAACGTTACACACCGCTACCGCGCGATTAACTAACGTTACACACCGCTACCGCGCGATTAACTAACGTTACACACCGGTACCGCGCGATTAACTAACGTTACACACCGTCACCGCGCGATTAACTAACGTTACACACCGTCACCGCGCGATTAACTAACGTTACACACCGTCACCGCGCGATTAACTAACGTTACACACCGGTACCGCGCGATTAACCAACCCTACACACCGTTACCGCGCGATTAACCAACGTTACACACCGCTACCGCGCGATTAACCAACGTTACACACCGCTACCGCGCGATTAACTAACGTTACACACCGCTACCGCGCGATTAACTAACGTTACACACCGCTACCGCGCGATTAACTAACGTTACACACCGCTACCGCGCGATTAACTAACGTTACACACCGCTACCGCGCGATTAACTAACGTTACACACCGCTACCGCGCGATTAACCAACTCTACACACCGGTACCGCGCGATTAACCAACCCTACACACCGGTACCGCGCGATTAACCAACCCTACACACCGTTACCGCGCGATTAACCAACCCTACACACCGTTACCGCGCGATTAACCAACGTTACACACCGCTACCGCGCGATTAACCAACGTTACACACCGGTACCGCGCGATTAACTAACGTTACACACCGGTACCACGCGATTAACGTTACACACCGGTACCGCGCGATTAACTAACGTTACACACCGTCACCGCGCGATTAACTAACGTTACACACCGTCACCGCGCGATTAACTAACGTTACACACCGCTACCGCGCGATTAACTAACGTTACACACCGCTACCGCGCGATTAACCACACTGTAAACCCTTAAACTATAATATAAGCTACGAAAAAAACGATTGTGTAGTAGTTGTGATATATACAGTAGGATACAAAAGTATGAGACCACGTTGGAAATTAATTTGATTTATGACGAGTAAACTTAAGAAGAAATGTTGAAGATTCTCCCTATTTCTAGGTCACCGTTCACATTTAGGCGAATTTGGACATTGGCCCTGTTAAGACCTCAGCACAAAAAGGTCTCTTGAGTCTTATTCATTCAAATGAAGCTCTTGTTCAGACGACTGATTTACTCATCGCAGGCTTTTGTGAAAACTACTGTATCATGATGTACAGTAATGATACACTAAACAATACAGTACTGTTTTTTTTGGTCATATTTCGTATCATGTGATACAGTAACAATACGCAAAATTATAATGATTCATTTCTTTACTTGGTCATTTCCATGGTAGGCAATAAGCAATAACATAGTCTCAGTTGCTGATACTTCAAATGGCATGATGCAATTACAGTGCGATTCAGCAGTATTTACAATGATGCAGTACACTCTCCATCCAAAACAGAGTCTTAGGCAGTCGTAAAAAATGATTAAAGCTGTTTATCTTGGCAGTGAGTGTGTTTCTGCTGGTAAAAACACTAAATAATATTTGACTTCATACGAGTAAATATGAATACTGTAAAACGTAACAACATCGTTTTGATAATGTGACCGCTGCTTCTAGGGGTGGGCGGGCGCTATGACAAAAACATCACCTCACGATACTTACAGACATTTTCATGGTATTTGATATGTATTACCATATTTTGACACACAGACAAAGTGCAGTAGTAGTGCCACATTTAAAAATGGCTAATAAATCTAATTAAACAGGATTAATTATGTTTAATATTATAGCAAACCTTGCAGTTGTTCAGTGTTCTTTAAGTACTGACGACACCCATGATAAGCTCAGAGAAGCATGTTGTTTATCCTGAAGAAATTTATCATAATAAAATACTGTGATGTTGCCCACCTCCAGCGGCTACTGATTGATTTGTGTGTTGAAATGTGCTGCAGCAGGGGGACTCCCACCCGAGTTCAGAACTATGCTACGGTGGACTCTGTTCATTTCGACGTGCAGACGTTTGGGTCGTCTCTGCCGGTTAAAGTGATGGAAGCCCTTACAACGGCAGAAGGTATGGAGGAATGATGGAACATTTCCAGTAGGACTGTTCAGTCTTCAGTTCGGCTTCTGTTCAGGTTAATGAGTAGTAAATGTGGCTGGTGGTGACGTGGTGCTGTGTGGTAATGGTTTGTATGTTTGGTATCGCTCTGCAGCTGATGATCAGATCTCTGTGAAGGTGGAGGAATCTGGCTGGGCCTGGATGGTGTGTGGAGAGAGGCTGATCATCTGGAAGATCTGTCAGACTCCAGTTGCGAAGGTGAGACGAACTAAGATGAAGAGGGTGAAATGAAGAAGCGCAGTGGTGTGAAGTGCAGCACTGCGCCTCTACTGCTTCCTACATTTTCCCCTCCATTTTGTATTTTATATTTCACTCAGAAAAATTTGTAAGGATTTTATGTACTAAAAACCCCCTTTAAAATTAGCCAGGCTTGTTTTGGTTACTCTTTTCCGGAAATCTTGTAAACATCTAAATTAAGTATTGAATTAAGCAGTAGAAGTAGTAGTAGATAATCACAGCCGAGATCTTATTCATCATTATGTTGAATATGGCCAAAAGTATGTGGACATCTGACCATCGCACCTAAATGAGCTCGATGGACATCCCTTTTTAAAACCATGTTCAGTAATATGAAGTTGCTCCCCCATTGTGGCCATAACAGCCTTCTGTCTTCAGGGAAGGCTTTCCACAAGGTTTTGGAGCGTGTCTGTGGGAATTCTTAAATGCTCTTCGGCACTCTGCAGCCCTGCACTGTGAGTTTATGTGGGATACCACTTTGTAGCTGAACTGTTGTTGATCCAAGATGCTTCCAGTTCAGACTGCACTTACTGTTGACAGGCAGATCTAGCAGTGCCTACATTTTACAAACTGACTTGTGGCAAAGGTGGAATCCTATGACCGTGTCATGCTTAAAGTCAATGAGCTCTTCAGTGCAACTCATTGTACTGCCAGTGTTTGTCTATGGAGATTGCAGAGCTATGTGCTTGATTTTATACACCTTTTAGCAAAGGCTGTGGTGGAAACACCTGAACTCAATAATTAGGAGGGATGTCCAAATATTTTGATCTTATAGTGTAGCTGAATGTTCTTTTGCTGTTATACAACAGGTTTGGATAGTTATAATAACTGAATATAATAACTGAATTTAACATTTTTAATATTAACAGTTTCTCATGCCAAAAAAGTAGTTCCAACGTTAGTGGCATGTTGCATACTACTCACAGCTGGCACTCAGTAGAATGATACAGGTATAGTGAGAAAATGTGCTGTTATCAGGCATCACACAGATAGGAAATTGTTTAACCAATCACATTGTGTGGTTGGAACAAAGTGTTGAATATTAATTTTATAACTATCTGTTAAATCCATTTGAATTTCATATTTTCTGCATTTTTTTTCTCTCTCCATCCACCATTGTAGCTGTCTGTGTGTAAGGAGCTCCAGTTGGCCCCCAGTGAGTACGCGTACAGTGCTGACCTCATCTCCATCAGCTCCTCTGCCCCACTGGAGTCAGCCTCTGTACAGGTACCACCGACTCTACATGAACCCTGCAACTTCCTTGGTGCTGACATACAGTTGAATGCAAAGATTTGGGCAGCCCTGACCAAATTACATATGCTATTGTTTAAAAACAGAAAAGTAAACATGACCTATGCAGCAAATTAAAAAAAACAATTTTCTGCAAAATGTTAATACGGACTTTATATTTGATGAACTTAAATGACATAAAAAATAAAGTGGTAACTGTGGCATGTGCTAAAAGTTTGAACACCATCCCAGGTGCAAAGTGTTAAGCTTTAATTGACTCATTAGGAGTTTCCAGAGTGTAATGAATTCTCTTTTCAAACCTTGTGCTAACAGTTAACAAGCATGGGCTCCTCTGAACAACTGACTGAGGAAAATTAGGCCAAATATATGAAAGTGCATCTGGCAGTTTCCACTGTGCAAAATGTCATTAAGAAACGGCAGTTAAGGGGAACTATGGAAGTCAAGGCAAGATCTCAAAGACCAAGAAAAGCCAGCCTAAGATCTGCACTCTTCCATTGATTATGAATACGTAAAGGCCATTGTTGTTGATTTAAATGTGTTAAAGTTAAATGGTTTTGGTTCTTAGATTTTCAGGATTTTATGTAAAAATTGTTTTGTTTATTCTTAATCCATCTTTATCTGTGTCCGAATCTCGTATTTGTTTGTTTTTTTCATGACTGCTGCAGTCGGTGTACGTGTTGGCAGTGTCTCCAGAAGGTTTGGCCCGGTTCTGGCCAAGTCTTGCCCATGAGGGGTCGTACACGGAGACGCCCACTGACCTGGGAGGACTGTGTAACTACGTCACTGCGGTCAGGGTGAGGAATGTGCCTGACAGAGGGGCTGAAGAAAGCACTGTCTAAATGAATGAATCTACAATATATATGTATTTTTAAGTTATTTGTCAGCATTTGCAAATAGAAAAGGCGTAGAGCGCGAGAGCACTGAAATCATACAAGATACACCGCCATGATGTTTTCACTTGCAAAAACAACAGAAGCAGATACCTTACTGAAGTTTTCGGCAGCTGTTTTCAGAATCAGAATCAGAATCAAGCTTTATTGGCCAGGTATGCTTATGCATACAAGGAATTTGGTTTTGGTCACAGGAGAATAAAATAAATATAAAATATAACAAAATAAAATAAAAACATGCATTCCTACCATCACTCACTCAAACACACACACACACAGTCATACCTGTAAACCTTACAGTGTGCAAAGTAGATTTTGTGGGTCTAAAGTTAAAGTGCTGAGTGCAGCAGCAGTTTTGATATATAGCCCCTCACAAACATTATTAATGGACTTCAGGGAGCAAAATAAAATGCTGGAATAATGTAGTATATGGATCCTTTAAATTTCAGACAAATATTGAGTCTTTTCTCCTTTTTCTCACCGTTCTTTCTGTTATTTATTTATTTATTTATTTATTTGTGTATTTACTTACTTATTTAAGACTCCCCTTCCTTTTTCTCTCTTGTCTCAGGGTGGGAGCTTTGTAGTCTCCTCATACCGTGGGCAGCTGTTGCGTGTGTGCCCGGATGGTTCTGGAAAGCTCCTCCAGAGGCCGCTGCAGCAGGGGCAGGGAATGCTGTCTGGAATCGGTCGCCGCGTCTCCAGCCTGTTTGGCATCCGTGGACCTCCAGCCGACACAACAGTAAGCTCCATTTGTTTTGTATCAACTGTCATCATAGTTTAAAATAGTAGCTGTTAGTTTGTCCGATTGCTGTTTGGGGTGTCGGGAAGCAGAGAGATCAATTCAACCTTTCAAAAGATCCACAAATCCCAAAGGAGTGGCTGAACTTTTTCCGCTTCAAACTTTACATATATATAAAATCAGTCTTAATGTCCTGTGTAATTCTTAGGGATAAAGGCTTAATTTTTTGCACATTCCTGTTATCTTGGTTCTTATGCACTTTTCTTTTCACCGTATTTTCTCTCTCTCTCTCTCTCTCTCTCTCTCTCTCTCAGGTGCACAGTGTGTTGTGGGTTAGGGACTCAGGTTGTCTCTACACTCTCAGTACCTGCGGGCTGAGCAAGTGGGAGGTCGGGGACAGTGCGGAGGTTCAGGTCCTGAGCTGGAATGCCTGTCCGAGTCTCGCCGACAGCGTCGCAGACGCCATCTGGGTGAGACATGCTACCCAAAAACAATATTTTATGTATATAAATAAACTATTACAAGCAATCCTTCTAACTATACTGAAATTCTAAAAGGTCTACAGTCTTTAAAGCATGGAATCACTTGTCATTCATAGTTTTTTACGCAGTTACATTTTGGTATTACAACACAGTAAAAGTAATTATGCAGTGAAGGATTAAATATTATAAAATAAACTCCAAGAGGTCTTTTAAGTTGTTTTATTCAGATGTTTCAAATGCTTGTTTCATAAATTCAACGTTGTTAAAGTGTTACTATCGAGTGGATTAACATGTTAATATTGTCATTTTTACATGAATTATTATGTCAGTCTATCAGTATATACCTGTAAATTCTGTCTTGAGATTTGATCACCACTTTTAAAGTGCAGAGCATACAGCTGCACATTTTATACATTCATCTGTTAACAGGTTGGTTTTGTATTATTAAAAACATTGATTACAAATATTTAAATGATTTAAACCTTCTGAGAAAAATACATCGACATGCAAATCACCTAAAACTTACATAATCATATCAGAGTTACGCCACAGAACTAAAGACTACGTGAAGACTACTAAAACTGGATTATTGTTTTTTTGTTATTATTTGTTCCAGGGCTCGGAGAGTAACTACGCTGAGATGAAGGAGGGGGTGAACGTGTCCTATCTGGACATGCAGCTCAGCCAGTGAGTAGCTCTGTGCTCATTTAATGAAACAGTTCAGCCCAAAATGCTTACATGACTATCAGAGAATAAAAGGCAGCAAAAACATTGAGCATGAAGCTGGCAATTAATGAAAGCTACTTAATCTGGTGAATAACACTGAGTAGCCAATTTATTGAAAACACCTACCATACAGGTGCACTTTGTAGGCTTCTAGTTACTGACAGTAACAGCCGTTTCTGGCCGATTAGTCATACCCTACACTGCCAGGTCGGTTTCACTGCTGAGCTGAGAATGATCCACCACACACACACAATATCTGGTCAGCAGTGGTCCTGTGGTGGTCTCTTTCAGTCATGTTTGGGTTGGAGGGGGCTGATAAATTGTGCAGAAACAGATGGGCTGCTGTTCGTAACTGAAACACTATAAGGCAGAAGTGAGTGGTATACTGGTACATCCATTATACTGGTTGAAATTATATCATTACACCAGCAATAAACACAGATAACGCAACGTTCAAGCGGTGCCAAACATACTAACGTTATCCCGTTTAGCTGAGCGACAGGGATGTTTCAGTCCCATTTCAAATGAAAATGAAAAGGCAGCAGCCATTCAGTCACCTCCTGTCTGGTCTGCTTCATCTGAAGTAGTCCACTTTGCTTTCAAAGCAGCGGGAATAAAGGAATTTCTGATCTTTTGGGGTAAGTCTTTGCCTAACATGGACACCAGAGAGATGATGGCTGAGGGGCCGTCTGAGCTGCGTCCGGCCAGAAGCCATGGACCAGCTGGGTCTGAATGACTGACTATCATTTCTGAATTCCTGCAGTGTCTGATGATCGGAGATGCGAGTGAATGTGACACATATGAGACGAATGTCTTGAGAAATTTGAAGAAGCTGAAGTTGCCTTCTTGTTCAAATTTCCTGTTCCATCTTAAATAGTGCAGAAGTTACGCTCAGGTGCCAGAATTAACCTGCTGGTCCTTTTTTTGGTCTCTCTTTGTTCCTGTCTTTCTCTCTCATACTCTTAATCCCACTTTTCCTCTCTCTTTCTGTCTCACTCTTGCTTTTCTGTCTCTCTCAATTTCTTTGTCTCTTTCAATCTGTTTCTCCCTTTCTCTCTCTTTGTCTCTCTAATAAGAAACCAGCGTCAGCTTTGTAAAAACTGACACCACATTTAGCACCATTTTTGCGCTGCCTGTCTGGCCACGTTTACATGGAGCCTGATAATCCGTTAATAATCCAACTAATGGCTCAATCGGAATGGAATACATGCTTGTAAACACCTCCATCGGAATAGACAAGTTCAGATGAACCCATTCGGAATAAAATATCTATCCGATTGAAGGAGGTGAGTAATCCTGTAAATAATCCGTTAAACAGAAGAATAATATCCGTGTAAACGCCTGTATCTGATTACATTCCCTATCTGAAAGTTTAAGTCCGTTCTGATTATGCGCGTCACGTCATAGTGAAAGTTTATACCGTTCAACATGGCGGAGCAGAAACTGGTCTGCAGAGGAGACGAAGTTTATGCTCTGATCTTTAAAAGACGGCGGTGGGACGGACGTCCAGCTTATGTGTCTCAGAACACGACGTCTTCCTCTCGGCCTTCTTTAATAAGGACATGTGAAGGATGTTTTCCTGAGTCTGACATCATTTTAAAGCAGTTAAAAACACGAGCACTGCTCACTGCTGCTCATCTCACTCTGACTGGACTCACATGATGCTCGTTGTCGTGGTAACGTCTACACTAAGTGGTTCTCTATGCATGCGCATAATTTTGGATCGGATTGCTTGTAGTGTGGATGTAAATGGAGATTTTCATCAGATTGTTGAGCAGAGTGAGCAGATTAACACCCCAGTCTTAATAATAGTTATAATCGGAACGTATTCAATCTGATAGGCAAAAATCTTTGCTTGTGAACTGATTAGCGTAGATTTTATCTGTCTGTGTGTGTGTGTGTGTCTGTGTGTCTGTCTGTGTGTCTGTCTGTGTGTCTGTCCGTGTGTGTCTGTCCGTGTGTGTGTGTCTGTCCGTGTGTGTGTCTGTGTCTGTCTGTCCGTGTGTGTGTCTGTGTGTCTGTCTCTGTCTGTGTCTCTGTCTGTGTCTCTGTCTGTGTCTGTGTGTGTGTGTGTGTGTGTGTGTGTGTGTCTGTGTGTGTGTGTCTGTGTGTGTGTGTCTGTGTGTGTGTGTGTCTGTGTGTGTGTGTCTGTGTGTGTGTGTGTGTGTGTGTGTCTGTGTGTCTGTGTGTGTGTGTGTGTGTGTCTGTGTCTGTCTGTGTCTGTCTGTGTCTGTGTCTGTGTGTGTGTGTCTGTGTGTGTGTGTGTGTGTGTGTGTGTGTGTGTGTGTGATAAGTACTGGCTTTAACAGCCAGACGAGATTGCTGTTGTTTGTTGCGAGCCACAGTAGCTGCTCTGTAATTGTTGGTATGCTGATGTTTTGTGTTGTGTTTCTTGTCCAGTGCTGGTTTGGTGGTTCTAGCTGCAGCGTGGCATCCTGCTGATACGCCCTGTTTGGCCTATTTCTGCCTGGTGACACTGCCAGATTCTGCTGGACCTGCCTCAAGTGAGCTCTCTGTAGAGGTCACTAAATACAACCCCCCCTTTCAGGTAACAGAGACCTGCAGCTTTAATGTGTCTGTGTAGTCTTTAATATATCAGTGTGAACTGTTGCTGTAAATGAAGAGACTGATGGAGATGAAAGAGAGAGAGACGTTGGGTTCAGAACAGTGGCTTTGTTTATTTCCTCTCTATCTCTTTATATCTCGATTGCTCTTGTCTGTCTGTCTGTCTTTCTTTTTCTTTCTTGCTGTCTCACTCTCTTCACCCCCCCCTCTCTCTCTCTCTCTCTCTCTCTCTCTCTCTCTCTCTCTCTCTCTGTCTGTCTGTCTCTGTCTCTCTCTGTCTGTCTGTCTCTGTCTCTCTCTGTCTCTCTCTCATTACTTCTCTCACCTTATCTCTCTCTTGTTCTCTCACTCGTTTCTATTTCTCTTGCTGTTTTTCTCTTTGTTCCTTTCTTTCACTCTCATACTCTTTATCCTACTTTTCCTCTCTACGTCTCTTTCTCTTTATCTCTGTATTTCGATTGCTCTCATCTTTTTTATTTTTCTTTCTTTCTTTTTCTTTCTTACTGTCTCATTGTCTTCACCTTTTCTGTCTCTCTCATTACTTCTCTCACCTTATCTCTCTATCTTTCTTGTTCACTTTCTTCTCTCTTTCTCTCACTCTTTCTTCCCCCTTTTTTGTTCCTTTCTTTCTCTCTTGTACTCTTTATCACACCTCTCTCTTTCTGTGTCATTCTTGCTCCTCTGTCTCTTTTCTTTCTTTCTTTCTTTCTTTCTTTCTTTCTCGGTGTCTCACTCTTTCTTCACTTTTTCTCTCTCTTCCTTTGTCTCGGTCTCATTACTTCTCTCACCCTATGTCTTTCTTGTTCACTCTCTCCTTTCTCTTTCTCTCACTCTGTTTCTTTCTCTCTTTTTGTTCCTTTCTTTCTCTCATACTCTTTATCCCACTTTTCCTCTTTCTGTTTCACTCTTGCTCTTCTATCTTTCTCAATTTCTCTTCTTTTTCTTTCTTTCTTTCTTTCTTTCTTTCTCACTGTCTCATTACTTCTCTCACCTTAACTTTCTCTTTCTTGTTCACTCTCTCTTCTCTCTTTTTCTCGCTGTTTCTTTCTGTCTTTTTTGTTCCTGTCTTTCTCTCTCATACCCTTTATCCCCTTTTCCTCTTTCTGTCTCACTCTAACTCTTCTGTCCCTCTCAAATTTTTTTATTTCTCTTTCTTTGTCTCTACTTCATTTTCTCTTTTTCTCTCTTTTTGCCCCTCCTTTTGTTTCATGCTGCCTTTTTCTCACACTCTTCTCTTTTTTCCCTGTTTTGTCTGTCTTTCATTGTCCATTTCTTTTTTGCTCTCACTGTTCCTGTCTTTCTTTACTTCTCTCTCGTCTCTCTGTCTCTCCCTCCCTCTCATTTTAGAGTGAGGAGGAGCTTCATAAGACCCGGTTGGTGTTGCCGTTGGCGACCAGTCCTGCAGCGTATCTTTATAATGAAGAGCTGGTGTTTGCCTGCACCACTGGAACCGGACGCAGCGGACTTCCTGAAGAAAAACTGGCCTTCAGCTCTCCTGGTATGAAGACTGGAAGCTCATATGAACCCTGTTTAAAATATTAAATGTTTTAATTTTTTGAGATGTTTTTATAATGATGGTATTCAAATGTAATATTTCTCTCAGTATAATATTAATATTATACTCTTTGGTGTTGTATGTAAACATTAACTGTGTTTACATGCACTTAATAATACGGTAACTGCAGAAAATCAGATTGTGTCAGTAATCAGATCAACGCGTTTACATGCACTTGAGTAATCAGATTATGGGAAACTCCGGGTCTACATGAGTCAGACAGTAATCATATTTCTGCTTTGCAACCGGCCAATAAACTCGCAGAAAAAGTCGCTCCAAAAGTGTTTTGCTGCATCTCGCGGTAACGCTGCTCGCTTAATTCCAGTACTATTGTCTGTTTCACTCATGCGCAGACCGAGAAATCCGAAAGAAAATCAGATTTTGAATTTACATGCACTGAGAAGTCTGATTACTGAGCTAAAATCCAGATTTCTTAATCTGATTTCCAGACCTTACTCCAGTCTAAGAAATCAGAGTGCTGTTTACATGACCATTTGAATAATCAGATAACAGCAGAAATCTAATTATGATCGGATTACTGAATGGATGTAAACGCACTCATTGTTAAAGTTGAAAATTGTACCATTCACTCTCTGGTCCATGGGGTCCATAAACGGAAGCTGCAAAAACAGCCAGTTTTGAATTCATCGTGGTTGAGATGTTACCGCAGCACAATTCCATGTGACCACCCACTGACAGTGAAGTGGTACGGAGTGTTGTTTCTGCAGACACTCTGTAGAAAAGTTATTGTAGTAAATATTTGAGGAAAATGCATTAAACGATGTGCTGTTTCTGGCTGCCGGGAAGTAAATAGATCATTGTAGCCTTCCAAGGCAGCCACACATCCGAAAGGAGCAGATTTTTCCCCCACACTCACACTGAGGATTTCAGTCTGAGCTTAACAGATTGTTCCACTTTTCAGCCTGGACTGCTTTTTGTATGAGGCACAATACATGGCAATCAGTCAGAGCAGAGGTCATTTACATACCTCAGTCTTAAAGGCACAGTAGTAAAAACAGCCTGTTTAATTCTAAGGGATAAAGAAAGGTTTTTCGGTCATGTATAAATGAATTATGACTGGTACATTAAGCTGCAAGAACATAAATGAGCTCATGTACAAGAATGTAGAACACAACCCTTTTAAATGACATTAGTAGTCATACACATTTGGCCAGTTTGTTCTATGGTCAATAATATAACTGATGATTAGTTAATCACCATTTATTTGGTCTGGTTCTTGTGTATTTCTCTCAATTTTCCATGTTAAGTTGACTCTGAATATTGTTTTCTGTCCCTCATAGGCGACCGTATCCGTGGCGGTGGCGTGTGTGCCAACCTGCCCGTGTTTTTCTCCCAGAATAACGGCCTGGTGGCTGTGGTGGCCCGAGAGAGCGCCTCCATCCTGCCTGAGAACATGGAGGAGTCCCTCTGCACCTCAGTGGCTGGACCTGGACCGGAGGTACAGATTACCGTTAAACTGGAACTAGACCCTAAAAACTAGACTGCAGGAGGAGAGGATTAGGACTAAACTGAGATTAGTAGATCAGAGATTAAAGGTTAATGTGGTGTTGCTGAACGTGTTCCGTTTTGTGCTCTACAGGGGACTCCATTGGAGACACCACCCAAAATGGACACAGTGGCACAAGAAGACAAAACCAAACTGCTAAAACAAGCATTCCTGCAGTTCTGCAGGTGAGCAGCTTTTCCATTTTGCTACACATTCAGTTTACATTATAGTTATTTAGATATAATTAAATAAATAATTCCATACGTGATGTAATGATTAACATTTACCTTCAGTTTGTATTCAGTGTTGACTAGGGCTGCCAAAAATTAATATTTTGATATTTGGTGTTTTATGTGAATTAAATCACTGATATTCGAGGAATCGGCTTAATGGGAGTAAGTAATAAGCAGTAGCTAACAATAAGTGCAGTGGTTACATCCTGGCTTCTGTAGACCATTTAAGGTAGCATGGAAAATTAGAATAAAGCTAACTTCAGCTTTGTCCATTTACTCACCACGTCAGGATAAACAGCAGCTTGTTTTCTCTTCCTGTAGTCAAAGGGTTTTTTGTGCAGGTGTTGGTTATTTATTTATTTATTTGGATATACAAACAATAATGCTTGATCAAATAATTAAAAGGAAATTACAATCAGGTTTCTTCATGTTCATGAAATATTTTAGTATATTTAGTTACTGATTGAAGTGACAGTTCTCATTATGGCAACACAGCAAGATTTGAAGATAAATCTGTAACACTTTTTTTTTCCCCCCTCAACTTTTCTTTTCATAATCTGTGGACTGTTGTCAGACTAAGTATCTTAAATCTAATTATGAAAATATATGTTTTGTCTCATTACTGCAACACATTGACAGCCATTGAGGTTTTTCTGTTACTTGCATTGTGTAATATTTGTTGCTTCATATACAAAGAAGAGATCAGTTAAAAGTAATACGGACCATTTCTTTTATTGCTAATTAAAAGAAGTGGAAATATATCATTAATGCGAAACAGATGTGTGGACGCATTACATTAACGAGAATTGGGGTGAAAAATGAACTCCACAAACTTGTACAGCTCCAACCGATCTACTAAGGTACACGAATAATTTTTATATATGTGACGCTTATGACGTTCACATTTAAAGACAAGTTTTAAAGTGGTTTCATGAGAATGACCCCGTAACTGTTTGTTCTTCTCTTCAATTCACTTTAAAAGAACTGTTGTCCTCTTCAGGCTAAGCTCTTAACTCACTCAAGGATGGACATCACTTTGAAAATGAAAAAGAAAAATTAGCAACAGAAATATTACTTTTTTATCGTCGATATTCTCAGTAATGTTGAGTAATTGTTTGAGTCCTAATGTTAAAAAGACTGTCTGAATGTTTCAATGTCACTGTGTCTCACTGGCTGATCTAATGCTGCATCCCAAACGTGGATTACCTACTACACTAATGTGTGCACTTCTAAAGCTACTGCACTGTTTTTAAATACTTTTTATTGTGCTAGCGTGCAGTTTGGGATGCAGCAGACGTAATGCAGTGGGAAATCTCATCTGTTTAGATTTCAGCTTTCATTTGGTGTCAGTACAGCAACAGATCAAAAGAAATCAAGGCAGTACGCTCAAATATAACTGTTAATACGCTTTAAAAATGAATTTTAAACTGAGTTTTCCTTGAAAAAAATGCAATACCTGAATCGGTTATGTCTTTATTTCATAACAAACTGCTGGTTAAACCAAAATGGTGGCCATAAGATCAGAATGCTATGAATTACATTACAGTAACGCGTCACTTTGTACCGTTTTACCCCCAACACTGTCATTTCTTTCTGCAGACATGATCTGATTGGGGCCCAGAACATGACTGACGAGCTTTTCCCCACTGAGGGAGAAGCAGGGGCAGGGGAGCTGGACGCCGTGGTGACGCAGATCGACCTCGACCTGGTGGATGATTATCCTGCGTCTGACCCTCGCTGGGCCGAGTCTGTGCCTGATGGTGAGAGAGAGCTGCTCAGTAATCTCTAATAGAACTGATTATGTGGTTTCTGATACTGTGACACACTGATATTTATGGGTGGGTGAAAAAAACAGACACACTATAAAATTGCTTTGTTTTGGGTTTATTGATAGTTTATTATTTAATATTAATGTTTGTAACATCGGCCCAGTCTTGGACCAATAGGATAGCAAAATGCATTGCTTTCATAGCCCACAAGATGGCACTGTTCCTGTTTCTTTATGTTGAGATCATAATCTCTGTCACAGATAAGATTGGGGTTTGCAGTGTACATGGAATTCATGTAGGGCTGCACAAAGCATGAAGTGGGCATACGATGCAATGTTTGATAAAGCTCTTGGATATTGTGCTGATATAAGAAGCTCAATTATTTTTAGTGTTCCACTGACTGGATGTGCATCATCAAATACAATGTTTAAACAAATAGCTAAGAATACTAAATTATAAAAGCACCATCAACTATTGTGCAAAATAAAAATAATGAAATACTAATAACTGCTTACATGAAAACTGCACAGCAAACAACAGTCAGCATTTCGCTTCTGTTTGACCAAAACCTCAAATCTCCAAAATGGCAACTTTACAGCAGAAGGCAAAAACATACTTTACTTTTAATGTAAAGCAATGGAACCAGAGTTTTTTCTAAGTAATTTTGGGCCGTTTTTTTGGTCCATTCATTTTGAAATTTACATGCAACATAAAGGACAGTAGGTATTTTCAAATTATGTCAAAAACTGAAACGAAAAAAATGGAGACACAAGGTTTTGGTCTGACAGCAGCGATTTCCTAAACAGATTTTTCTATAAATGAAGATTTTCTATAAAAGAATAACAGCTGGCATACAGTGGAAAACACATTTCTATTGCTGTATTAAAAGTGGTGTGAAATGTAGTTGGATAAAGGGAGCAAAACAATATTAAGTAAGTTGTGGACTGATTTAAAAGAGAGGACGAGGGGGAAAAAGGGACGAAATGCAATTATTTAATTAATTATCAATGAATGGAAACAGCTGACTCAGAAGAAAGCAGAATGTCTTGTTAGCCCCGAGTCTGTTTTCAGTGCTGTATCTCAGTGGCTGCAGACTTTTAGACCCAGGGGTCCGTCTCACGAAGCAGGATCCTGGGCTTATTCAGCTCACTTTAGACCACTTTTTACATGACTGCATCTCCATGGCAACTGATGCTGCACACCATCCTGCTCCAGGGCATGTTAAGACGCAGATTTCGGATCAATCGGTGCTGAGCTTCTGACTAATCAGGGACTTACAGAGACGGACGTTTCTGGTGATGATCACATGAAGAGCATCACTCCTTTAGGAGAAGAAGCAAATCATACTACAGAGAATAAAGAATGTGAAGCCCTTATTACTCCAGTAAACGCTAACACAGTGCAACTGGTGACAGCGTTGCTTTTCTACTGTTACAAATGCTTTGCTTTATACATAGTTAAGTATATCTCTTCTTCTTGTAGTTAGGTATATTTCCTCCACTTCTTTTGACAAATATAAAAAAAAACCCAACTTATGTTTCACTTGATTAGCTGTTCGTCATAAGCATCACTTTTTCATGTGCACGTGCATGAGGATTAATCACAGCCTGAGTGTCTAAACCTGGTTAACAGAGAAGGCTGTTAACAGCCACTGTGAAATGAGTCAATGCTGTTTCGTTTTTTAGCGAAGACGTCACAAAATTCAGGTAGTTAAAGATGCTTTGTGAGACCGCGGTTTGTGGTAAGTGATGAATTGTGTTTATCCCTCAGAAAGCGCAGGATTCACTCTGACCTCTCTGATACTGCTGCACCAGCTGGAGGACAAAATGAAAGCTCACCACTGCTTCATGGACTTCCTGCTGCAGGTCAGTGTTGATACAGCTTTCACAGACAGCTCAGAATAATTATCCAGGTTCAGCTCGCCGTAACTATCACTGTCCAAATCTATCATTGGCCAAAACCAGTCCCTGATTTTTATTATGAACTACAGTAATTGCACTGAATTACTATATAGTGCACCAAAATGTCAGCCACTGAAGTATTTTGCCTAAAAAAGGGCAAGATTGTTGATTTTTGGCCATAGAGGACATTTTACAATAAAAATGAGAAATAGGGATTAATAACGCTGTTTGTTTTCCTTTGCCGATCAGTGCAGATGCGTTTAAATGGTTTGCGCAGATCAACATTGGGGGGGACTATTTTGTGGTTTCTGTGGGAGACGTTAGACAAAAGATTAGTCATTATTCATGTCAAGCATCAGTAGAGGGCACGACGCTTAATTGCTTCACTACAGGTACCATTTAATACGCAGAATACAGCAAAACAGAAGCAGAAAGGAAAATTCCTCCTGGCATGATAGCGACATCTGTAGACAGGTTTTAAAATATTCAAAAACAATGGAGTCAAAGCGCAGATTATAACAAAAAAATGATGGAATTCATTACATTGGATGAACAGCTGTTTTTGTCAGCTTGGTTTTGTTTTATTGAAATCAGACTCTCTCAATAATGAATGTGGTTGCTCTTTATTACCTTGTAGTTTTATGTTTAGTATGTTTATATAAAAGCATAAATAAAACAGCAAATTAAAAAAAAAAAAAAATCTCTGTTTTGTTAGTTTTAGCCAGGGATTTCCATTTTGGTGCATCACTAATTATAATTAGGTCTAATAATCCAAAATCAAAGTCAGTGCGGTTGAATCACCATCTTATGAAGCGTCGCACCACAATGTGACACCTGCATTTTTACTTACTTTACTTTCACTTAATAATTCATGATCTTAGACTGGCGCTCTTAAAGTCTTATAAATTTGCACTTTAAATGTTTCAGTGCATTGAAACTAGAAAAATATTAATGTCACTGGTAATAAACGAAAGGCAGTGGTGTTGATCCAGAACGTTGGCCCAGTGTGCACATAGAATTTAATGTCCTCCACCTTTCTTTCTTCATCCCCATCTTTTTCTCTTTCTCTGTCTCTCAGACTGGGCTTCTGGACCGCCTCTCTTCAGCCTCGGTGCGGTCGTCTTCCATGGCGACGCGGCTGTTGCTGTGTGAACATGCAGAGAAGTTGTCAGCAGCTGTGGTTTTGAAGAACCACCACGCCAAGCAGCCGGAGCTGGTGAACTCCGCCATCCTCACAGCGCTGAAGAAGAGCGGAAATGATGTACCGGTCAGCCTTACACCCGCTGACGTCTTCTTCAGAGAGGTACAGCACCAACATCATCACAAGTAGAAATGGCTTTTGTTACTGAGAAGTTACTGAGTAATGCATAGTAGTTGCTGAAGAATTTATACCAGTTAGTAACGTATTATTAGTTATTAAATGATTTATAGTAGTTACTGAATAATTTGTAGTAGTTATTAAATAATTTTTATTATGTAGTTACCGAATGATTTGTAGTAGTTACTGAATGATTTGTGGTAATTACTGAATGATTTGTGGTAGTTACTGAATCATTTGTGGTAGTTACTGAATGATTTGTAGCAGTTACTGAATGATTTGTAGTAGTTACTGAATGATTTGTGGTAGTTACTGAATGATTTGTAGCAGTTACTGAATGATTCGTGGTAGTTACTGAATGATTTGTAGCAGTTACTGAATGATTTGTAGTAGTTACTGAGTACTTCATAGTAGTTACCGATAATCGGTAGTGGTTACTGAATGATTCGTAGTAGTTACTGAATGATTCGTAGTAGTTACTGAATGATTTGTAGCAGTTACTGAATGATTTGTAGCAGTTACTGAATGATTCGTGGTAGTTACTGAATGATTCGTGGTAGTTACTGAATGATTTGTGGTAGTTACTGAATGATTTGTGGTAGTTACTAAATAATTTGAGGTAGTCAGTAAGTAGTTTATAGTAGTAGTATAGTAGTAATAATTCCTAGTACTTAACGAGTGGTAAGTTTTAAGATTATTAATTGAATAATGTGTATAGATTTCAAGAGCCATCGATATGTTATTTGTACTTTAAGAGGTGTTTATGAATAGGCTGGCATTCCTTAGGGCAAAAAAGACTCTATAACCCACTAAAAAAACAAATGCTCTAACAACGAATGAAAGGTAGGGGTCACTAATTATATCTTTTTTTTTCATTAATAGGATCTTAGTTTCTACCGTGCTTTTATTCTAATCTGATTTGTGTGTGTGTGTGTGTGTGTGTGTGTGTGTGTGTGTGTGTGTAGGTGTCTCAGATTTCCTCAATCTTCGAGTGTTTGCTGGATGAGGAGGAGAAATGTCTGAAGGAGAATCCTGTTGGCTCTGTAAAATGGGCTGAGGTCGTGCTAAACGTCAACACCATCATCAAGGTGAGGCACCGTCTCCTCTCTTCAGTTAACTCATCCATCACTCCCACCCAAAGTTCATGCACAGTACACTCTCAGGCCTCGTCCACACACATCCAGATATGTTCAAAAACAGTTTTAAAAAAATCTTCCTCCACGTCAGTCCAGTGTGGGGGGATAATACCCCATCAAATGTGATGTCATTTACCTCAAGAACAACATTGTGAGCATGTGCTCTGCACAAAATATAAAGTATGCCTCAAAGCTAAAACAGATTTTTTCCAACAACGTGATGGCAGTGTGTTACAAACACTGCAGACTTATGGGCCGTCAGACCTCCATGGCTCCATATTTCACACAGATTCAAAGTCTAATTTTGCTTGAAAATACTAAAGAAGACAGGACTGGAGGCCGAAATGCACAGAAAAAATGTTTTTCAAACATGTTCAGATACTGTGTGATGTATATTCATTGTGTCCCAGTCCACACATGCCTTTTGAATACTTAACCAAGTAAACAAACAAGAACAGTTAGAATATCAATATATTGGTAACACTTTTATTTGGAGTGGTCCTTTGTAGATGATTAATAAACTCTTAACAGATGATCAGTAACACATCAACAACATATCAGTGAAGCAGCAGTAATGCAGCATCTGGATACACTGAAGTAAATATCCTTTAGATGTTCTGTTGACACATTACTTACATTAAGTAGATGTATTGTTAATGTTACTTCCATTATGCAAAACCTAACCTTACCCACCTAATCCTAACCCAAACCTTAACCTCAACCTAAAACCTAATCCTAATCCTAACCCTAACCCTGGCCCTAATCCTAACCTTAACTTCAACCCAAAACCTGATCCTAACCCACGTATGTTTGACATGTGACTGAGAGTCTGTTGAGTGTTTGTTTCATCTAAAAGGGCCACTCAGAATAAAGCGTCACCATACACTGAAATAGCCACACCCTCTCTGACCCTAAAGAGATCCGACTCTGTCATGCTCTGAGCTTGTTGTTCAGCTTGGTGTCGACTTTGAGTGGACAGCTTCTTTAAACTGTAGAGTGGCCGGTGTGAGGGCATCCTCTTATTGTTTTCCAGGACATGCTGCAAGCAGCTGTGCAGTACAGAGAGACCAAAGCCTCCCTTTACAGAGCAGCAGAGAACGCTGCCCCGGAGCCAGAGTACATTCCATGGACAGGTACAGCAAACAGACACACAGGACTTTCTATTTAACGCTTTCTTTTACAGTTCTTTAAAGGGGAATTCCACAGATTTTTAAAAAAAGTCATTCATTGGTTTGGTGTGTAATGGTTCATTGCAGAAAAACATGCTGTCACGTACTGTCGGCTTAGGGGATTGCAGCCTACGACTGCTCCCAACGTCAGACCACTCTGAATGACTTTGCCTACATCTGAACCATTTAATTATGCTGAACTTTTGGTGGAATTCCCCAGTTTGTGGTACAGACTTCAAAGTACTAAGTAATTTATTTTGGGTAACATGAGGGGAGGTTCCAAGACAGTCCAACAAAATGACACTGAAATGCCCAACTGGTTCTAGATATTAAGTTTGTGGCATTGATATTCCAAGTGAAGTTCTAATAAAACTAACATCCAGAATGAAATTACAGTAGCATTAATAACCAAAATGAAGCTCTGATAAAATTAACATCCATAATAGCTTATGTTTAAAAAGTTGTGACCTGGAGACAAATAGCTTATCAATAATTATCTTCTTGATGCTCCCAAAACTTTTAATTATGTTTTTATCTTTTTTTAAGCTACTGTCACTTCATTTTTATTTACTTTGTTTTTCACTTTGTCTTTAGTTTTACTTTTGATGTTCCTTTTGCATTTATTTATGTAAAGCATGAACTGCCTTAGTGTATGAAATGTGCTATATAAATAAACCTGTCTTGCCTAATACATGCTAATAGTATTGTACTATGTTTTAATATATGTTGTAGGAGTTATTAAACCAAAATTATGATAATAAATGATTTCAAGCTGAAGATCAAAGATTGTGATTTTAGAAGTAAATGAATGAACAGTGAGAAGTCAGTTCTCTCATCTTCTTCTGTGTTCCTCCTCATTTCCGCTGTAGCCTCAGGTGGAGTCGGTGGGGTGCGTACAGTCATCGCGAGGCAGCATGAGGTCATTCTGCGGACGGTTTACCCTCACGCTGACTCTGGCCTCCGCAACTCCCTCAACGAACAGCTGGTGGCACTGTTGGACCTGCTGCTGGGCAGCTACGTAGCCCAGCTCACCTCACTGCGTCGCCCAGGGCAGCAGGATCGCTATGACGCTCTGGAGATGGAGTACACGCAGCGCCGCTCCGAGCTGCTCACTCCACTGCGTGAGTTACGCTGCTGTCATGGTCTAATAGGATTTTTGTACATAATCATATTTTAGTTTGTTTTTGCTTCAGTGTTTATATTATTATTAATGCGTGTTTTATATATTAAAGGGCTCATCTTAAATGTTTGTTGTATTTTAACGTACTGTTTTTGTTACTGTGCCTTTAAGACTGATATATGTAAATGAGCTCTGTGCTCATTGGCTGTATGGACAGCCACATCAAACTGCTTTATTAAAAAACACGTGTTTAGTTCACGATAATTGTTGTTTTAATGGTGTTAATTATTGTATTGTGGTTTATTGCTGAAACAGAGACTATTTCAGTATTATTAATTATAAAAGATTAACTGTTAGAAGTTCCTCACATGTAAGTGCAGGTTATTGCTGTTTGTAGTAATTGTTTCATTTTTGTTATTGTTATTTCAGTGGAGCTGGGTCAGTATCAGTGGGTGGCGGCTCTGGCTGAGAAGTTCTGTGATTTTGACATCCTGGTGCAGATGTGCGAACAGACGGACAATCAGAGTCGTCTGCAGCATTATATGACCAAATTCGCTGACCAGGTAACAGAAACATTGTCATGATCATGTCAAATGTAATACTTCAGATTGCTACACTGACTGTGATCACATGGTAGTCAGTACAGGGGGATCAGGCATTAGAGGGCTCGCGTGAGAGTCCAGAATAAGTGCTTTAAGCCTATTTAATTAACGTTCTCCATTCACCCACATTCACTGGTAACTCTCTCTGGCGCTCTCTAGCATTTTGCAGTCATGTTTTTGATGTAATGGAAGGACTAGGAAGTGTCCATCGGCTTTGAGTGACTCTGTATCTTAATTAAGTTTGTTTTTTTGAATAAATAATTAAACATTGTTTATCAACAACACTGCTGACTGTTTCGGGGGTGACCATTTTAGTGAATTTTAAGCAGAACTCAAAAACACCAGCCAGAAAATGAAGACAGCTTTGAACAGTTACACACATAAAACCATAATAGCTTTCATTAAAACACAAAGTTTACTTAATTGCAGAAAATATGTTTTGATACTGACATTTCTTAATGTTACACACTGATTGTCAGACTTTCGGAGTACAATAGAATCTGACTATTGGAATCTATCTGTTGTCTCGTAGTCATAGTTGGAAAGTTGTATCTCATAAAAAAAGAAATGAAACTTGAAAAGAAAAATGAAAAAAAGGTAAAATAATGAACATTGCAAGCAAATCACACCTATTTTAGTTAGTTTGCTTGTTTTTGTTTTTGTTTGTTGGGGGTAATTTGAGTATCAAATTTGGCTGAAATGCTGTACTTCTAACACAGTATGATGTAGTCGTATGGAAAAGTTAGAGCGCCCCTGGTCACATTTTGTTGGTTTTCTTAATGAAAATAAGTTAACACACCTCTACAGAGAACACAATTAAATATTACTTTTTCTGCTAGTTTTAGTGCGCAGTTTGTGTATATTTGCTAAGTTTAATATATTGGAAAAACAGAGTATAAATGTAAAATGTGCCAGAATGTCTGCACAGACCGCATTTTGTTTTTTTTTCCCCCAAATGTGTTAAATTCAGCAAATAAACAGTAGCTGTGCAGAAATGTGCTCTCTGTAGAGGATGTTTAACTTATTTTCTCTTAGAAAACCAGTTAAAACCAACATGATTTGACCAGGGCCTCCATTTGACTTCTGCACCTGACTCTACCTGTATCAGTGAATGAAGTGCATGTGAAGATTGTGGCCCTTTTTCCTGTAGAACTTTGCAGATTTTCTCTTCCGCTGGTACATGGAGAAAGGGAAGCGGGGGAAGTTGCTCTCTCAGCCAATCGCACAGCACCAGCAGCTGGCCAGCTTTCTGCAGGCCCATCAACACCTCAGCTGGCTTCATCACATCCAAATACAGGACTTTCAGAGTGTAAGATAAATAACGAGTACGTTTATGATGATGGGCTGTATTGTAGTTTAGGTTGTTTTTTGTCATCATTTTAGTGTTACACTAACGAGATCACTCTGCTTCACCCGTTATGAGCTACAGAAAGCTTTTCAGTTGAATCGTTCTTTCAGCGCTTCCCACTCTAAGCTTCTGTGATCTCCCACCCCTGCAGGCCCACAGAACCCTGTACAGCCAGGCCAACGCAGAGGCGCGATACTTCAGCAAGAAGAAAACACTGCTGGCCCTCAGCAAGCTCACAGCTCTGGCCTCTGACATGCCAGAACCGCTGCAGCACAAACAGCTCGACGGTGAGTCTCTCACTGCAGCTGCTCTCGCCCTTTGGGCCTGCTGACATTTCAAATACTCAAATGGGCAGTTTTGTGGGAGGCTTTTGGTGATCATGCCATTTTAACCATTAAACTGTAAGGCTCAGTATAGGTGCACACTCCAGTTCCTCACAAATTAGTTTCGTAGAGGTTGATCAATACTTTATAGTGGTTACCGAATAACATAGCAGATACTGAGTAATTAATAGTAATTATCACGTATTTTTTTCAATAGTTATTGAATAATCAATAGTAGATGCTGAATCATTTTTAGTAAATACTGATTATAGTAGTTGCTGACTTATTCATAGTAGACAGTGAATAATTTAGAGTTAATGCTGAATAAATTATAATAATTACTGAGTAATTCATTACAGATACTGCATTTATAGCAGATACTGAATAAATTGTAGTAGTTACTGAATAATTTATAGTAGATACTGAAAACTGCATAATTAAATCTTCTGATTAATCTTTGTTTTATTGTTTTTCTGTTTGTATGTTTAGATATTGTGGAGCAGGAACGTTTCCTCCTTCATCAGGAGACTCTACCCAAACAGCTGCTGGAGGAGAAACAACAGAATCCAGACACCATGCCTTTACTGAGCGCACACAACCTCATTAATGTAAGTGTGTGTTTGTGTGTGTGTGTGACATTGCTGTTGTCTGAACAAAACCTTGTATCTTCAAAATGGTGACTTTACAGGGAAAAACATACTTCACTCTTAATGTAAGTCAATGGAACCAGACTTTTTTTCCAAAGTGTAAAGGGCAACAGGCATTTTCAAATATATATATATATATATATATGTATATGTATATATATATATATATATATATATATATATGTATATGTGTATGTATATGTATGTATATGTATGTATGTATGTATGTATGTATGTATACACACAGAACAATAGTTCCAGGGGTCATCTAAAAACAGCACCTAGTGCACTGAATTTAACTCCCACTCAGTATATTTCTGCTTTTCCTCCCAATGTACACCCACATGCTCAAATCCACGCTTATCTCTCTCTCTCTCTCTCTCTCTCTCTCTCTCTCTCTGTCTCTGTCTGTCTGTCTGTCTGTCTGTAGTTGTATATATGTGAAGATAACCGTGGAGCCAATGAGTACGACTTCAAGAAAGCCCTCGACCTGCTGGAGTACATAGACGAGGTATTTCTACAAAACATCCCATATGCTGACCCAGCATTCTTCAGGAAACCCCTAAACGCTGGGTTAATGTGCTATATCTGTGTTCTAGAATGATCTCCCCATTCACGTTCTAGAGTTCTCCTTCATTCACACCATTATAGAATGATCTCCCCCCCATTCACACTGTTCTCCCCACATTAAAGTGCCCATATCATGGAAAAAAGGAATGATCCTTACCTTCACCTTCAGAAATACGACTTTAATGATGCTACACAAATATTATTAAAGTTTATACCACTGTTAGTTTCGGCCACGCAAGCTGGTTAGTTGAGAACCGTTCTAACCATGCTGTTATTTCGCCATATCACGTTTTTTTCCACAAATGCTGTATCACTCCACTGAGACACTGTTGCTAAGCAACGACTTTGACAGCTGTAGGAGACGCTCAAGACATTTGAACGTTTTTACTTCTTACTTTGCCACAAACAGAAAATGGACACTTTTAAGATCACATTTGACCGACAGCCGATTTGGTCAGACTCTGAAGATCAGACTACACGTTTGGCGAATGGTATTGGGTTCATTTCTGGCTGATTCCAGGTTGTTTAGGTGTTCTTCTGTCACAGCTGCCGACCTGAAAACCAAAGCACTTATGAGTTATATATATGTAATCTGCTATCCACCTACTCAGCCTACAACAGCTTATTCTCAGCCTGTTAATCAAAGACATGTTCATCTTCTCCCCCTGGCTCCCGAGTGGCGCAACCGTCTAAGCGTTGGCCCTATCATCAGGAGATCGCGAGTTCGATCCCTGGTGATGCTACAGCCATCCGTAGCCGGGAGTCCAAGAGAGCACAATTGGCCTCGCTCTCTCTGGGTGGGTAGGATGGCCCCTCCTTCTCCCCCCATCACTCAGCGCGATGCTAGTCTGCGCAGGCGTCTGTTAGCTGACGTAACAGATCTGGCGGTTGGCGCTTTCCTCCGAGCGCGTTCAGCTGTCCAATGACGTTGCGTGAGCGGCAGTTCGAAAAGATACGGTGGCTGGCTTCACAGGTCTCGGAGGAAGCCTGTGAGAGTCTTCACCCTTCTAGCATTGATAGTAGTGTGATTGGGGGAGTCCTAACTAGCGGGTGGAATTGGAGACGACTAAATTGGGGGGAAAATTAAAAAAAAAAAATTTCTCCCCCTCTAACACAGTTCTTGAATGTTGTCTTCCATTCCCATTGTCTAGAATGTTCTTCCCCTTTTAACACAGTTCTAAAATGCCCCCCAAAATTGTGTCCTCGAATGTGTTTCCCCTTAACACAGTTCTACAATGGTCTCCCCTTCATTAACAGGATTCTTTAGTGTTCTCCCCTCATTTATGATGCGCTGCAGTGTTTTCTCTCTCACTCTCACTGGTTCATTTGGTTCATCGGTTCTTTTGCTAATCATTCTGAAACAACTGCCCCCATTAAAATGCAGGTTTTGGTAGGATAATGTTTGGTCAGTGTACTCTGGCTGTTTCTAATCTATTGCTCATATGGTCTCTATGTCTACAGGAAGATGCTGTTGATATTGAGGCTCTGAAGCGTGAGATTTTCAGCAGAGCACTGAAGAAAGACTGGAAAGAGAAGTAAGAATGAACTATAGCACTATAGAACAATCTAATAAATAAATTAGAAGTTCTCTAGATGGTTTTAGTGATTGGTATAGTGTAGTGGGTAACACCTCTGCCTTCTACACTGTAGACTGGGCTTCAATCCCCTGCCTGGGCAGCACCCTACACTATTCCAATAAGAGTCCTTGGGCAAGACTCCTAATGCTGCTTTCACCTACCTGTGTAAAACGATCAGATTTTGTGTGTATTAATAAAGGTGTAGTCTTCATTAATTGTTGATGGATTTGTATTGATGCATTGATTACAGCTGGTCAGCATCAGATGGTACTGATGACCCTCTAGAAGCAGCCAAAGACAGCATCTTCGTTAAAATTCTCCAGAAGCTCATTCAAGAAGGTACTGTGACCTTTTTGTTGCTTACTGTATTTAATATGCTCATTAAATGAGCCGACTGAGATCTAAAAGCAACGTTGACTGGCCTGACATTAATGTCTTGAATTTTAAAGCAATACTCAGTCAGTCATTGGTTAGGCCAAGAAACTCTTGAGGTTTTGTGGGATTTTTGTCTATTTTTATACACAATTGTATTTACATGGTTGTTTATGCTTCAGTGTTAGTGGGACCTTTTAATTTATAGTATTTATTACATTTACTAAAAATTATAGTTTGACCCAAAAGTCAAATGTACAGAATTTACCTTAATGTAGTCGATCAGCCAAGACTTGTTTGGTGTCTGAAGTTTGCTTCTTTAGTTTTACACTGGAGCTACGAGGCTAATGTTGCTAACAAGTAATAGAAACTTACAGCCACCAATTAGCATTGTGTTAACTGCATGCCTAAATTATCAGTTACTTCAGACCATGTTGACTTGTTAGTTAACGTGATATAGACTTGATTATGTGGTTTCTGACACTGTAAAACACACTGTTATGTTTGAACATGGATATAATTCACAGCTTCTACTGCTGTTTTTAAACTGACACAGTTTTGTCAGTGTTTATAGATAAGTGTCATACACATCCAAAAAATGCAGTTTTAATGAAATTAATACCCAGAATGAAGGCATTACAAAATTAATATTCGGAATGATGTTCTAATAAAATGAATATCCACAAAGTATTTCAAAAGTGATCAAATCTGGAGGCTGGTAACTTACGTAAATTACTAAATATATATAAATATAGTATATTATTTATCATTTTATAGCTTTATAGGGTTCACAAAAAACTTAATATTGAATAAAACGTTGAAATACCTCCTGATGTCTAATTTATAGTATTTCAACATTGTATAAGGTACTTTTGGGAAGAAAAGATAATTATTAATGTGATGAGTTATTCCAAACCTTTGAATGGTAGGGTACTTTGGCCCTGAAGCTCCAGTATAAAACTTCAGACACCGAACTAAAGTCTTGGCTGATTGAATACATTTGGGGTGTAAATAAGATTTTTGGCTCATGTTAATAGAAACTGATACAACAAAAAGATGAAAGCATATAGTTTATAAACACAGGAAAAAATATCCTTTTTACAAACTTTCCTCCTCCTTCTGTGTAGCTGTTCTTTTTGGCATCTGTTAACGTGTCCTCTGTTCCCCTCACCCTCACGCTCTGGGTACAAACAGGTGTTCCTCTGCAGTCGTATCTGCCGGACGTGAAGGATCTGCTGCAAGTGGAGGAGCTGGACTGCCTCAAATCCAAGCCCTTCTTCGAGTTCCTGCTCAGAGCAAATTACGAGCACTACCTCCAGTCTCAGATCTGACCTCCGGCTTCACACCATCCCACCCACTTCACACCAGGCCACCTGTTTGTATAGGACTTCACTGTTTTTCTACTGTTTATTTGGCCTCCCTGTGAGTTCTTTCAATAAATGCTTTATTTCTGTACCCTCCTGCTCTGGTCTGTCCTTAATTGTTAGTAATGTGTTTGATTTATGGTCCAGTTAACAAAAAACCCACAGACACTAATACAACAAAATATGTTTACGTCCGTCTGTGTTTATTAGCCAATACGTTTGCTCATTAGTAGTGAAAAAAGCCTCGATCTGAAGGTGGTGATTTAACTGTTGTTTTTGAAGTGTTAGAATTAGAGGTCTGCGTGGGACTGTTCAGTCCCGCTGCAGTTTATGTGAATGAGGCCTATGAGAATTCGCGTGTTCACTTATTCATTTTAACTGTTTTACTGTTATCATTTTATACTGTATGTGTATGTTTTAGTGACTGTTCTCATTAATTTAGGCTATTCATTAATTTGCTGGATTTCTCTATATGCGTGCTTGCGCCCACTCCCGCCTACAGGGATCTAATTTCCGCCCGCTCCCGCGAGCAGCATTGAAAATATTGTCTCGCGTCACAAGATATTGTGTCGGGTAGTGCAGACCAGAGAACTTGCAGGGAGGAGAATTTCTACTCTGTAATGTCTTCCTGGTTTCTCAAACACTAGGGGGCGCTCCCAAGCGAGTCCAAAATGAATGGGTTGATATGGAGCATTTGAGCAAAATCAGAGTTTATAAATGCTGAATGTGAAATAATAATCATTTCCTGAACACAGAGCAGCATAAAACATTTTAACACCGCTGTTATATTTTTAAGAGCTTTTAAACTCGAGTTATAGGAGTTTAAAACGGCGCCTCATGTACGTTCATGACGTCAGTGAGCGCGAACAGCCAATCAGCTGCTCCGCTCGCCAACCAATCAGCACTCAGTATCATTAACACCCACGTTCTGCTGCCCAAAACCCGTTTGTTGTTTTTTTTTTTTGTTTAGTGAAATACATCCTTCTACTTTCTAGAATTAAAGGAAAGTTCTGGTTCGGTGATTAGAAACTATTTTAACTGTTCGTTTTTAGCTGTTGAGCTCCATTCACCCCCATTCATTGAGGACTCGCTCGCAGGTGCGAGTTCAGCAGTCCTGTTTTTGATATAATGGGGGGAATAGGAAGTGGCCAGGCAAACAGAAAGACAGAAATGTTTAAGTATATAATCAGTTTTCCACCTTATTCACCTTATTGCTGCACCCTATGATGCTTTGAGTGGCTTAATCAGCTTAACTTCCTGTAGTCAGTCACAATTTGTTAATGACATCCTAGTGTGATAGAAACATGGGAAAAAATAAAAATATAAATAGTCTTTATTATTTGAATAACTGATTTTTTTTTCCTTTTTTAGTTTTTTTTTTTTTATTATTTAACCAGCGCTAAGCTAATGCTCCTCATCTGGTATGTTAGCACCAAGCTAGCAGGATTGACTCAGCACTGTGTTGGATTTTGATGTCTGCTCTAGTTTAAAGACCTTTTAAGCTCTAACAGGCATGTAAACAACATGTTCTCTATTTTGCATGTCTCGGTTTTAAGTAAGTCATGCAAAGGCTTGAACTCAAAATCTGCCCTTTACTGTTGTAGCATTAGCTGGTTAGCTTTCTGCTAACCTGCTTAGCCCTCTGTAGTGAGAGCTGAATATATCCAGCTATAAAGAGAATTTAAAGTATGAACCAGTTAAAGGGAGTCTGTTAGCAGCAACCAGTGATGTTGAACTGGCAGTTTATCATCTGGTTGGATTTTATGGGCACAGAGTTAAACATTAACTGGGAATTTCAAGTGATTAAGAAGCAACATTCATCTGTCTTCTGGTATACTTTTAGCTTTAGTTAGCAATAATGAAGTAATGAAATAATGAAGTGATAAAAACTGAGCAGACTTTTTTTTTTTTTACTGTGCTAAAGGAGTTAAGGGCATTTTGCATTTGCTAATCAGATGTTTTAGTGAAATTCTCAAAACACAGCAGATACAACAGTTCTGGCATCGCAATCAGATCATATCTGTCGTTGATCCTAAACAAGCTTTTCGATTGGTATCTGTGAACAGCTAAACAAACCAAATTGACCAGGAACAACCAGACTGCTTTACAGACTGATTAGAGCGAAACTGCATTCAGGTTAATCTGGTGACTACTGAAAATGCTGAGCTGAACCTGATATTGTAAGAGTTTTATGGTACTCCTTTTTGTGGCGGAGGGATTTGCCAGTATTTTATAGCACGTTTGTTACAGTGTTTTGGATCATCTTAGCTGTACTTTGCTCTTTATTTAAGCAGAACTGTTGTATAAAAGCAGTAGAACACTGAGGGCTGTGTATGAAGAGGGTTGTGTATCAAGAATAACATCACAGCTGTGATAATCTACAGCAGGGGTGCTCAATCTGAAGCCTGAAGGCCCTCGTTACCTGGATCAAGTGTCTTAGACATCTGCATGTCTCAGGATCGAGTCCTTGCGGACCAAAACACTGCAGACTTCAGCACAGTGCCTCTTTAAACACACCTGACTGAGCACATCAGCTACTTTGCAAGGCCTTCATGAACTGAATTCAGAACATTAGATGAGATTAATTGCAAGGGGTGGGAATCTTTAGGCACCTCACAATTTGATTCGATTACGATTCAGAGGCTGCGATTATAAAACGATTATCGATGCATCTTGATGCACCTTTTTTTCTATACAGGATTTCTATTTTCTCACTGCGTGAAGGCTTGGTGATTTTAAAGCATAGTATTTATAACGATCCATAACGAATTTATTTCCAATATCTTTTGGAAGCAGCAAGTACAACCGGACGGAAAACAGGTGGAAACGTGTAATATGGTCTCTCGTGTTTGTCATTTCCCAAATATCTTAGTTTAGTTTAGTGTGACACAACTTGAATATAGTATGGCTCTTGTCCAGGTCCCTTTTCCCCTGGCGTGCAGACTGCAGGTCACCTAGCAATGCAGTCTCGCCTGGCTAGCAGCAAACAAAAAGGCAAAGAGAGAGATTTAAGACGAACATTTGGAGACGAATGGACTTATTCACATTTATAAGCAACGCAGTTGGTTTCCTTGTACATTAAATCTGCAACAAGAGACTGTCAAACACTAAAAAGTTGCGAGGTCAGCTTCTCTTTAGAATTTTCCAGGTCCACCTTAAATGGTGCCACATTTACACTCTGGCACCTCAGGCAGAATTTAAGGTGGAACGGGAAAATTCAGTCGAACGTTGAGAGACATTTTACAATAAGCTGTTCAACATTTGAGGAAAAGTTTTCTGGCGGAGATGGAAGGAAAGCCGCTAAAGCTTAAAGCAGCGCAAAGTAAGTCCGTGTTTTCTTTTATAATGTTTAGTCTATACTAGGACATCATCGCACACTGAGACATACTGGACATTAAATGTTGTGGCTCCCAAGGTGGTTTGATTTTTGTTGAAAGGACAAAATGTCTCTTCTGATCATTTGTGTTGTGACTCCTGACCTAACCTGGCTTTAATGCAGAGGGAGCCGGTCGGATTTCTCACTCATCCAGTAGTGTTTTTGTTATGTGCCGCCACAGACTGTCCGGGCGCCGCACTTCTGCACTTCTAGTTAAGCCTTTTGTGTTCCGTCAACATCACGTTATCAATTAAATATTTAGAAAATCGATTTTTGACATTTGTGAATCGATTCAGGATCGTACACGTCCTCATCGCGATGCATCTAAGAATTGTTTTTTCCCTCCCACCCCTAGTAATTGCTAATCTCAGCAGAAGGTCCCCAGTTTGATAAGCCTATAGTGTGGTAGATCGCCAGGATTTAGGACTCAGCACCCCTGATCTCCAGCACAGCACTCACCTTCAGCTCAGGAATGTTATCACATGTTGGATGTTATTTGTGATAACACAATGTGACAATATAAAATGTAATAAACTAAAACTACCAGGCTGTTTTCCAACAAACGCAATAAATAAATAAATTATTAGTATTGTTTTATTGTCTCTATTCCATTACTGTGCGAATGTCAGGGCACCACTGGTCAGATTACATGTTTAGCTGATGTCTGTCCACTACAGAGAACACTCTCCTGCTAACAAAAACAGCCTGTTTAATTCTAAAGGATGGAGAGATGATGGAAAATGGTCATGTAAAAATGAAATACAAGTACAGATATGAGCCCTTTAATAAGAGTAAAAACAACGCTCCCAGTTATTTGTCGCGTTAAGTATTTTTAAAGGTCTAATTAACTCACTTTTTCTGCTCTATTGTTTTGTACTACGGCACTCCTTAAAATGAGGCCTTGGGTGTCAGTGGATCTTCATGAATGAATGAAAGATTAAATAAAGATCATTTTGCTGTACATGCAATAAAACAGGATTAAATATGTAGCAAAATTACACTCTACAATTATGCTGCTGTTGGAACAAAACCCTGTATCTCCATTTTTGTCCTTTTTCAGTTGTTGACATAATTTGAAAACGCCTGTTGCTCTTTACATTGTGTGTAAATTTCATGATGAATGGACTAAAAGAAACGACCCAAAATGACTTGTAAAAAAGTTTGGTTCCATTGACTTACATTAAAAGTAAAGTATGTTTTTTTGCTTCTCCTTTAAAGTTACTATTAACTTAACTTGCTTATACATTCTCTCTCACTGTTTATCTATCACTCTGTGCTCAACCCCCATCTCTCCTTGTGTTTGTGTGGTGAAGGCAGCAGCTGATCGTTCCTCAGTAGCTGTTGGACGGCAGATGTGTCTCTCTCTCTCTCTCTCTCTCTCTCTCTCTAACTCTCCATGCCTCCTGAAATAGTTGCAAGGGGTTAAATTAGGCGCCTCTACAGTAAATAGCTGGAGCTGAGTGTGGTTGTCACTGACACCCTATATGGCTCTGAGACCCTGAAAGAGTTCATCCATCAGCTTCTGAATGGAGTCTTCAGTCTGATCTCACTGCAATGTTCCCACCAACCGCAGAGCTAAAGGCCCATTAAAGTGAAATTCCACCCATTTTTCAAAATTAATTCCGCATCGTTAAATCATTGAGAGTCATTCAGAGTGGTTTGGTGTGAAACGCTCTGTTCTAGAGAAACTTACAGTCAGAAATGTTTACAGTGGT